TAGGGAGTGAGGGAGAGAGGGAGAGAGGGAGAGAGGCCCCCCAGGGAGAGAGGGAGAGAGGAGTGACAGGGAGAGAGGAGTGACAGGGACGCACCGTTGTGGACCGACAGCGAGCCGTACGTGCAGCCGAGCTGCTCGAGACGCTCCGAGAGGATCGTGAAATGCCTGCGCGACATGGGATCCGGGTCAGGCTGCGTCGCACGGGCCATGCGACGACGCGTACGAGAGAGAGAGAGCACGACGCACTTGGCCTCGTCCTCGGCGACCTTGAGGAAGTCGCCCACGAACCCCCACCCGATGCGCTTGCCCTCTCGGCCGTCCAAACTCGCCACGCGCCAGTCGAAAAACCGCCCAATGTGGTCGACCGCCAAATCTATCGCAAAGAGCTCGATATTTGCGAGCGCGTGAAGCAATCTGACCCGGCTCTCTACGCTGCCGCCACGTCCGAGGCGAGCCGTCTGGCCCGACGCGACCGTCTTCACGGTGGGCGCGCGGTACGGCTCGAACGGGTGCGGCGGGTCGGTCAACGGGTCGGCGAGGCGCGAGAGGGTGCCGCTGCGGAAGAGCGACACGAGGCGGCGCACGAGGGCGACTTTGGCGGCCGGGGTGGGCGCGACGAGGACGTGGCGGCAGTAGGCGACGATGGTGCGGGGCTCGACGGCGGGCGAGTCAGAGAGGGCGAGGGAGGACAGGATGGCGGGCGAGTCAGAGAGGGTGAGGGAGGACAGGAGGTCGGTCGGTGCGGCGGGGAGGTCGGCAAAGCCTGTGGACGAGCAAGAGGATCAGACTGACGACTTGGGAAGGCCGACACGACGAGGGCGACGAGGACGCACGCTCCGACACGCTGCGGATGCCGATGACGCGGTAGTCGTCGCCGAGATCGCCTGGAGGCTCCATCCACAGCTCGCCGCCGTTGCGGACCTCGAGGGCGAAGGTGCAGGCGCGCATCCCGCTCGACGAGGCGCCCGTGTCGAGGCCAAAGTCGAGGTTGTGGAACGGGCAGATGATGACAGGGCCCGTGCGAGGGTCGACTCCGTCGTCTTCGTCGTCGTCGCCGTTGTCGTCGCCGCCGCACAGGTCCTCGATGTCGCCGCCTGCAGGGGAGGGGATGAGGGAGGTTAGGGCGCGAGGTCGTCGAGCGAGGGCGAGGCGAAAGTGAGCGGACCTTCGAGGGGCAGGCCGAGGTGAGGGCACTCGTTGGCGATGCTGTAAAACTCGGGCTGTGCGTTGAGTGCGCCTGGGTGCGGGTCGCGGCGGTAGACGAGGACCGAGTCGTGCTGGGAGGGGTTCCTCCACGAGCGCAGGGCGACGACGTGTCGAGCCGAGTCGGCGAGGTCGGCGACGGGCGCGACAAAGATCATGGGCGGTGGTGGTCGGGGCGCGTTGATCATGGTGGCGGTCGACTGGGAGCTGGCCGGGAGGAGAGCGTCAAGGAGAGCTTCGAGGACGGCGAGGTGAGGGTACGCCGCTGGGCGGGATGGCGCGTTTCAGGGGGTGTTTCGCAGCTGTGCGAGTAGGTGTGCAGGCTGTCCCGCCAGCCCAGGGCAGTGTGGGGCGAGAGCGAGGGTCCACTCTACGCGTCTCCCCCTCTCGGCTGCTCCTCTCCCTCGCTCCTCTCACCAACCACAGCCTCGCCCAAGCGCACACCATGCAGGGCTTCCAGCGAGGCCACAAGCAGGCCGACAGCTACGGCGGGCCCGGCTCGGCATGGGCTCTCCCGCCCTTGTCCCCCGTCGAGACGCTCGCCCTCCAGGCCGGCTTTGTCGCCCAGGGCGCGACAGACGCCATGCGCTTGACCGTCGCAGGCCACCACTTGACCAACGACAAGGTGCGCACCCCCCCCCTTTCCCCCAGGTTGTCGACGTGTCCCCGCCTCTCTCCTCCGTCGTCACGACCTCCGAGCAGTCGCTCACCCTCGTCCTCCCTCCCCTCGGTCGTACACCCACGCAGGTCGTCCAGGCCAACGTCGTCAAGTCGAGCGTGTGCCAGGGCATCGTCCTCGTGTCGGCCCTCGTCATCAAGCCCATCCTCCGCCGCCTGGTGGGGCTGCGTTCGTCCGACCCCGTCACGGCCAGCGTCGTCTTCTTTGCGTTCCACGTGCGTCCCCCACTCTCTCTCTACAGAGCCCTGATGCAGACGCCGAACTAACCTCTGTGTGCCCCGCCACGACAGCTTCTGTGGCTCTACCCTGTCGCCGCCGCTGCAACCTACTTCTCGGGCCTGCTCCGCCCGGCCGCCGAGACCGACAAGCGCCGCGCCTCGAACAGCAACGACAACCGCGGCCAGGTCGCCAAGCTCGTCGCCGAGGTGCGCCCCCTCTCTCTCTCTCCTTTCGCGCGGCGCAACGCTGACCCTCCCCCTCGCCGCGCAGAGCTACCGCACGCTCGTCACGGTCAACTACTTCCTCTTCTTCTACGCCCTGCGCCTCATCCCGTTCCTCGGCGCACCCCTCTCGTTCCTGTATGCGTCGGTCGTCGATGCCTACTACTGCTTCGAGTGCGCCCTCCTCCCTCCTCTCTCTCTCGTTTCTCGGCATCAACGCGAAACTGACGTCGTCTCACACACGTCGCAGGGCTCACTGGGTCAAGAACGGCTGGCCGTTCGGCGACCGCGTGCGGCACATCGAGCAGCGGTGGGCCTACGCGCTCGGGTTCGGCCTCCCCATCACGCTCGCGTCGTGGTGGTCCTCGGACCCGGTCGTCAACCTCGCCCTCTTTGCCCTCCTGTACCCACTCTTCAGCCTCACGTCGACGTCGGCCATCCCGCAGCCGCTCGACCCGTCCCTGCCCGGCGCAGGCGGCGGCGGGTCCGGCTCGGCGGCGTCGAGCTTCCTCCGCAGCGCGTCCGGGTTCGGCCACGGCTCGTTCTCGATCGCGGCGGCCGAGGGCGGCGAGGAGCACCGCGGGCGCAAGGGCGCCGCAGGGATCCCGACCCGCATCCGCGTCCTCGTCGTCGCCGAGCTCGCCTACTCGGCGCTCGCGGCCGCGTTCGGGCTCGGCGGTGCGGGAGGCGCAGGAGGAGGTGCCGGCGGCGGGGGGAGGAAGAAGGACGCGGCGATGGGGCACGGACACGGCGCGAGCCCGGCGAGGATGGCCATGGCGCAGCGCGTCAACTCGTTCGACCCCAACTACGGCGCGCCGCAGACCGCCAACGGTGGCGGCGGCTCGGCGTACGCCGGGAGCGCGTACGGCTCGCCCGTGCGCGCGAGGCCCGGCGCCGCCGAGCGCTACTCGATGGAGAGCGACCCGTACGCGACCCAGGCCCCCTACGCCGGTGGCCCGGGCGGCGGCGTCGGTGCGGCGCACGCGACGCCCCCTCGGCGCGGGTACGCGAGCGAGTACGCCTCGCCGGCGGCGACGCCCGCGAGCGCGTACGGCGGCGGCGTCGGCGTCGGCGCGGGAGCGTACGCTCCGCCGCCGCCGCAGCAGCCGGCGTTCGTGCAGCAGCCTGGTGGCGGCGGTGGTGGTGGAGGAGGAGGAGGCGGGTACGGCGCCGACAAGACGCTCGACTCGTTCATCCGCCAGGCGGGCATGCGGGGCAAGAACAAGGGCGACTGAGCGCGCGCTCGAGCCCTCGCCTCGGCTCTTCCTCGCCTTCTCGTCCCTCTCCCTCACCTCCTGTTCTCGCACTCTCTCTTCTCTCTATCTCAGTAGACCTCGTCACGCCCCTCTCTGCATCTCTCGTTTCGCCCGCTCGGGCCCCCCCTCCCCTCCTCCGCAACCTCCCTCGACCCTCCGTCTCTCTCTCTCTCTCTCTCTCGCAGTTTGAAACGCCCGCGCCGTGCATAGCTTTCGTCTCTTGGTCCGTACCTCTCGAGAGCGAGAGACAGCGAGGGAACGAGACGGACACAGAGAGAGGGAGAACGAGCTCGGCATTGCGAAACTCCCTCGGCGCTCAACCAAACGCGGCCCACTCGAGGCTGACGTACAGCGCCCTGCCCTCGCCCCCTTGCGGCGCCTCTGCGTCCTCCCAGCTCGCGAGCAAGTGGGCCTTTTTGACGCCCGTCGCGAGGCGGCCGTACGCGACGAGGTCGAGCGGCATGATGGCCGTCGTCGGCGTCGAGAGGACCGTGAGCGTAAAGTGCGAGTGGTACCGCAGCGGGTCGCCTGTGTTGGGTGCGTGGGGGGACGAGGTCAGGACGACGAGGCACAGGAGGACAGACTGTGTGTGAGAGAGAAAGAGAGAGGGAGAGGAGGGCGCACCAGGGTACACGAGAAAGTCGCCTCCGAACCGCAAGCCGCCGCCCATGTAGTGGCCCCTGCGCCACAGGTCCTCAAACACCCTGCACCTCGCCTCCTGGAGCGGCGTCTGCGGGTAGCTCCACACGCCTGCGGCGGCCGCCGCGTCGAGCGTCGAGTAGGTCGCCGAGGCGAGCGACGGGTCGTACCACGCGAGGGACGACGAGCGCGGCTCGATGATGATCGTGTAGGCGACGGTCGACAGGTCGCGAGAGGTGGGTGCGGGAGGCGCGGGTAGCGGCGTGGACGGTGCAGGTGCGGCGGCGGCGGCGGATGGAGGACCCGTCGTCGTCTCGCCCTCGCGCAGCGGCGGCACGCTCACCTCGATCCGCCCGTCCCCCTCGGCCATGGCGCCCTTGTCCTCGAGTTCCTTTGCGGCCTGCGCCCTGCGCCGGTCCTCCTTTGCGCGGCGCTTTGCCGCAATGAGGTCGGCGTTCTTGGCCTCGTGGAGCGCCTTGCGCTCGGCCTCGCTCGCGAGCGACGCCTCGCGCTGCGCCGTGATGGCGCTCGAGCGCGACGCGGCGTACGACGCGGCTTGCGCCGGGGTCGGCGGGAGGTGGGCGGCCGAGTCGTGCACGAGGACGGCGAGGTCTGGAGGGAGGGAGGGGGCGAGAGGTCAGGGGCGGTGCAGGGACGAGAAGGGGAGGGAGGGAGGCGAGTGGGGGGAACGCACTGTTGCGGACGAGGAGGACGACTTCTTCGGGGAGGAGGACGAGCGGGAGGCCGAGAAAGACGTTCTGCTGCGTCACCTGCGGGAGGGTGCCCTGGAGCGAGCCGCAGATGTGGTGCTGCACGCGCAGGTACTGGATGTCTGCGGGGGCGGGCGGCACTGTGTCAGTGAGTGGTGCTGGGCGGTAGTGCGCGTCTCTGGTTGGCCCGCAGAGCTGCTGCGGGAGAGGGAGGCGGCGGGACTGATGAGGATGAGGACGTAGGCGAGCTCACCCTCGAGGTCCCACAGGTAGGCCTTCTGGTGGGCGACACGCAGGCGGATAGGGGCTCTTGCAGCCATCTTGAGCGAGCACTGGCTCAGCCGAGGAGCAGCAGGCGGTGGGTCGAAGTCGAGGGCAACCGCTTGAGGTTGGCTCTCCCCCTCTCCTGGCTTGCACCTCGCACCTCTCCCCTGCTTGCTCCAGTGCCTCGCCCGACATGCCCCCAAAGAGCCGCAAGCACCGCCCCACCGTCGCCGTCGAGGTCCCGCCTCGCTCCACGGGCCCCTCGTCCCCTCCCCACCCAGGTCGGTCAACACGCCGCACCAACCTCGCCCCTCAGCCCTCGCCTGCCCAGCCCGCACCTGCCCGTACTCGTCCTAACCCTGCCCTCGCCGCACCTGCTCCCGCGACCCCCAACGACGACGACGGCGACGACGACACCGACAGCTCGTCCGACGCCCACATCCACAACCGCCTCGTCGTCCCGACCTCGCCCGCTCTACGCCGCACACAGCGCGCCGAGACCGAGCTCGTCCCCGAGACCGACCACGAGGGCGCCGCACCCGCGACCGTCGCCGCCTCGAGCGAGTTCGGCCACCCTCGCTCGGACCGGGCGACGAGGGCCTCTGCGTCCAAGGGCCGCGCACCGAGGCGCAAGGGCGCTGCCGAGACGGGCGAGGGCCGTGAGACGGTGCAGCAGGGGCAGGCGGCGGGCGGCGAGGACGAGGACAAGCGGGACGAGGACGATGACGAGGACGAGGGCGCGTCGCCGCCGCTCGCGACCCGCATCCCGGCGGCGGCCAAGCGCGCCGCGCCCGCGGCCGCAGCTTCGGCCTCGGCGCCGGCTCGGTCGTCCCGACAGACGAGGGCGGCGGCTGTCGACGTCGAGGAGCAGGCGAAGCGGAAGAGCGAGGAGAGCGAGGGCGAGCCGGACGGCGGCGAGGACGAGGTCGACCAGCTCGACGAGGACGACGAGACCCACTCGTCGCCGCCCATGACCGCCACCACGCGCAAGGACAAGGGCAAGGCGCCCGCGCAAGGGCCCGCCTCGTCGTTCTTCAACAGACGCAAAGCGCCCTCGCAGCGCGCCTCGCCCGCCAAGAAGATGAAGAAGCGCGCTGCCGTGCCCGAGCGCGACAGCGGGTCCGAGGAGGAGCTGCCCGACGGCAGCAACGAGGGTGAGGGCGCGGGCGAGCTCAGCGCAGACGAGGCGAGCGACGAGGACGACGAGCGGCCGCCCGAGAGCGTCTTTTCGCACCGCGCCGGCGACGGCAGCTGGGTCCCGGACCGGGTCTGGCTGCACCGCGAGTGGCAGAAGGAGGGCAAGAGGGACAAGGTGGCGAGGTGGATCAAGGTGCGCCCGCTCGTTCCCCTCGTTCTCCCCTTTCTTTCTTTTTGTCGAGGTTCGAGCGCTCACCTCGATCTCGACGCACTGCAGGAGCACGGCGGCAAGGTCATGAAGCGTATGGAGGATGCACATTACGCCATCCTGCCCGAGTGGACGTCGGACAGCTACGTCGAGCTGTACGCTCAGGCCTTCAACTGCAGTGCGTCCGCCTCTCCCTCTCGCCCCGTCCTCCCGCCCGTCGAGCCCTCCCTGACACGCCCCTCGTCCCCTCGCAGACGCCCTCCCGACCCTGTACGCCTGGCTCCTCGCCGCACGCGACGACACGGCGCGGCACGGCGTCCCGTGCCGCCCGAACCCGCTCGACTTTGCCTCGCCGCGCCCGCTGAGTGGCGCCGCCGACCGCCGCGGCGAGCGGTACCTGCGCCTGTCGGACGCCGAGCTCGACGAGTTTGCAAGGCTGTACAACCTGTGCGACGAGGGCGAGATGAGCCGCGCAGAGATGTTTTCGAGGATGCAGCGAGAGTTCTACTCGGAGCTCGACGTGCGTCCCTCGTTCCTCCTCCTCCCTCCTCCTCTCTTTTCCCATCTCTTTCGTCGTCACTCACTCTCGCCGTCTTGCCCCGCCGCAGAGCCGCCGCACGACGACGTCGGCCTACCGCGACAAGTTCGACCTGCACAAGCGCGCCATCAAGCAGCGCGCACGCCGCCTGCGCGAGGACGCCAAGCGCGCTCACGCTCACGCCGGCGGCGGTCGCGCTCGGTCCCGCACCCCGTCCGCCTTCCGCTCGCCCTCGTCCTCGCCCGGCCCGCCGTCCACGGACAAGGGCAAGGGCAAGCGCCGCCGCCGCTCGACGCCGCCCGCGCCCGGACCCGCACCCGCGCCCGACCCGCTCGCCGCCCTCGCGCAGCGCTACGGCCGCTCGCGAGCGTTCGTCGACGCGCTCCTTCGCGCGTGCACGCTCGACGGCGCGGCGGCCGAGCGCGCTTTGCGGCGGCTCGCGGCGTACGAGCGCGCTGCTGCGCTCGACGAGGACGGCGAGGAGGCGCAGAGGGAGTGGGACGAGGTGCTGCGCGGGGTGTGGCGCGAGGAGGACGATGAGGCGCTGCGTGAGGTTGAGGAGGAGGAGGGGGAGGTGGAGGTGAGCGATGGGGAGCTCGCGAGGAGGTCGGATGGGCGGTGGAGCGGGAGGGAGGTCGGAGAGAGGAGGGAGCTGCTGCGCGTCAGGGCAGACGAGCGGTGGGGGTGGGAGGAGACGAGGGAAGAGCTGCGACGGGCGAGGGAGGGGAAGGCGGTGAGGGACGTCGAGGAATGAGCTGTCGTTCGAGCCTGTTGCCTGCATTTGGACTCTCTGCGTCTCTCTTTGTGTACGCGCACGTCGTCGAGAGCGAGAGTGTCGTTACACCCGCAGCTACTGCTCCTCCTCCCCTCGCGCACCGACCTCCTCCCTCGCTCCCCCCTCCCCCTCCTCCTGCTCCTCCGCCGCCGCATCAAGCGGCTTCCTCCACCTGCCCTGCATCCACACGCGGAACATCTTGAGCTGGCGCTTGCGGTTGAGGAGCAAGCGGCGGTCGACGCCGAGCTTGAGGAGCTCGAACCGCACGGGCGTGAGCGTCTCGCCGCGCTGGACGGCGAGCGAGGCGGGTGAGGGTGTGGGCGCCGGGGCGGATGTGGGCGTGAGTGCGGATACAGACGAGGGGGCGGCGGGGTCGGAAGAGGGCTGAGAGGGCGTCGAGGGGCGGGACGAGGCGGGCGTCGTGTCGAGCGATGGGAGCGCGCTCGTCGGCACGACCTCGCCCGAGGGCAGCTCCTCGAGCGTCGTCGTCGTCTCCTCGGTCGCCGCGTCTGCGTCTGTCGGCCCTGCTGCGCCTGCTGCGCTGTCGACCGAGGCGGACGCGCTCGTGCCGGCGCCGTCGACTCGTCGCACGCCGCCAAAGATGTACTGCAGCTCGTCTGCACGTGCAGGTGTTTCCTCTCGTCAGTTTCCCGCGCTTGAGTAGGAGAAAGAGAAGGCGCCGAGGGGGAGGAGGCCGAGGGAGAGGGGAACGCACCTCGCTCGAAGAAGTAGACGCGCGTGTTGTCGCCGCGGACGTACAGGCCGTCCTGCATGTACCGGTTCGCCTTGAAGCGCAGCATGGCGAGATCGTTGCGGCCATAGTCGCGGAACAGGAGGATGCCGCCTGGCTTGAGCATCTGTGCGCCCGGTGCCGTAGAGGACCAGTCAGTGCGCCGCTCTGGCAAACAGAGCGAGCGAGAGACACGCTCGAGAGGGACGAGGGACGCACCTCGTGAGCGTTGCGGACGGCCTGGGCCCATTCGTCGGGATGCAGAGCGCTAAAGACAAAGATCATGGTGAGGACGTCGACCGAGCCGGGCTTGACGGTCGGCGGCGGGCCCTCGCGCGACGAGAGGTCCCACACGTCGCATGTGCAGCGAGCCGGGTCGAACGAGGGCGAGCTCTGTGGTCGAGGAGGAAAGAAGAGGGTGAGCGGGTCGGCTTCGCGAGGACGGGCACGGTGAGAGGGACGCACCTTGACGACAGAGACGGCCTCTTTCGAATAGTCGTAGCCATGCAGGTCGAGCAGAGGGTTCTCGTTGTCGGCGAGCAGAGGAAAGAGCGTGCTGCCGTTGCCGCAGCCGATCTCGACGACGGTTCGCGGTCCTGCCTGCGGGCGTGGTGAGAGATCGTGAGCACGACTCGGGCGAGAGGTCTGGAGAGACACAGAGAGGTAGACGCACGTCGGGTTTGAGGCACGCGGCGAGGTCCGGGAACTCGTTGTTGAGCCACGAGCGCTCCTTGAAGAAGTTGTCTGCGGGGCCGGGGAGCGTCAGGTCCTCGCGCGACGTCAAGAAGAACGAAAAGAGAGAGTGCGACGGACCCTTGTTGAAGGCGTAGAACTTGTCCCACTGGGCGGCCGGGTTGGCGTTGAACTCGTCCTGGAGGTGTTGCGGGACGGGCGAGTTGCGCTGTCGCTCGAGGGCGGCCTGGGCGAACGTCTCCTCTTCTGCGCCCCACGAGACCTGGTCCCTGTGCGAGTGGGAAGAAGAGTGAGCTCGGGTTACGGCGAGGGAGACGAGAGAGAGAGAGAGTGGGACGAGGCGGACCAGGCGTTGTGGGTCCACGGGTCGCGGTCGTCGGTGAGGAGCCTGCCGCCGTTGCGCGAGGGAGCGCCCTCGATGAGCTCGTCGGCGACGACCTCGTCGGCCAAGAGCTGGGGGAGCTTGCGGCGCACTCGAGGCTGCGGTTGCTGGTGGTCGGCGGTGGTCGAGGTGGGCTCGACGGGCGGGGCGAGGGCGGGTGTGCCTGGGGCTGCAGGAGGATCTTGTGGGTCGGTAGACTGCATCGTGGCTGGTCTGGTGCGAGAGCGAGCGAGGTGGACGCGGCTGAGCTCAAGTCGGCTCGATCGTCCTCGTCTCTCAGAGGAGATCCGCGGCCGAACGTCTCCATCTTGCGTTGGCTGCACAGCTCGAGCAGCTTGTACTCAGCACTCTTGCCCAGGTGCGCCCGAGTCCCACCCTATCGCGCCAGCGCCTTGAGCGCATGCACGGCCTCGCGCTCACCTTGAGTCGGTCGCTCGCTCGCAGCGTCGCATGCTCCGCTCTGCCCGCCAAGTTCGCCTCGCCAAGCTCCCGAGGACTTCTACCACCACCCTCGCACCGACCCGCACCCTCACCCGCCCCGACTCGAGCACCCTCGCGGTTCGCTCGCTGTCCCCACCCTCGTCCGCTCGCCTCCGCCTCGTCTCGTCCTCGTCCATCCGCACCCTCGCCACCATGGCCACCCAGCAGCCCCAGTCCGGTGCCCAGCTCATCGACGGCAACGCCACCTCTCTGTGCGTCCCCTCCCACCTCTTGCCCGTCGAGCGCGGCTCGTTTCCGGCTATCTCGCCGTCACTGACACTCTCCCTCTCTCCTGCCACAGTGCACTCCGCCAGGGCATCGCCGCCCGCATCGCCGACACGCGCGCCAAGTTCCCGCGCTTCGAGCCGAGCCTCGTCATCGTCCAGCAGGGCGCCCGCTCCGACTCGTCGACCTATGTCAAGATGAAACTCAAGGCGGCCGCCGAGGCCGGCATCAAGTGCCACCTCGTCCAGCTCGGCGGGTCCGAGGACGGCATCGGCGAGCAGGAGGTCATGGCCGAGGTCGAGCGCCTCAACGCCGACTCGAACGTGCACGGCATCATCGTCCAGCTCCCCTTGTCCGACGACATTGGCCGCGACGGCGAGCGCCGTATCACCGAGGCCGTCTCGCCCGAGAAAGACGTCGACGGCTTCCACGCGTACAACATCGGCCTCCTGTCGTCGCGCGCGAGCGAGCCCTTGTTTGCGCCGTGCACCCCGGCCGGCGTCATGCTCCTCCTCGAGTCGACCGGCGTCGACCTGCGCGGCAAGCACGCCGTCGTCCTCGGCCGCAGCGACATTGTCGGCTCGCCCGTGTGCGCCCTCCTGCGCCGCAAGGACGCGACCGTCACCCAGTGCCACTCGCGCACCAAGAACCTCGAGCACCTCGTCAAGCAGGCCGACATTGTCGTCGCCGCCATCGGCGTCCCGCGCTTCGTCCAGGGCGCGTGGCTCAAGCCGGGCGCCATCGTCATCGACGTCGGGACCAACTTTGTCGACGACCCGACCCGCAAGTCGGGCTCGCGCCTCGTCGGCGACGTCGACTTTGACTCGGCGCGCGACGTGGCCTCGTTCATCACGCCCGTGCCCGGCGGCGTCGGCCCCATGACGGTCGCCATGCTCATGGAGAACACGGTCCTGTCGGCGCAGCGCCTCCTCGAAAAGAGCCAGCAGCGCCTCGTCAAGCCCCTCAAGCTCGTGTGCAAGCCCGACGTCCCGAGCGACATCGAGATCGCCAAGAGCCAGGTGCCCAAGCCCATCGACGTCCTCGCCGCCGAGATTGGCATCCCGGGCCAGGACCTCGAGCTGTACGGCCGCAACAAGGCCAAGGTCAAGCTCGACGTGCTCGACCACCTGCGCCACCGCCGCGACGGCAAGTACATTGTCGTCGCCGGCATCACGCCGACCCCGCTCGGCGAGGGCAAGTCGACGACGACGATCGGGCTCGCCCAGGCGCTCGGCGCCCACCTCGGCAAGGCGGCGTACGCGTGCGTGCGCCAGCCGTCGCAGGGCCCGACGTTCGGCATCAAGGGCGGCGCCGCCGGCGGCGGCTACTCGCAGGTCATCCCGATGGACGAGTTCAACCTGCACCTGACGGGCGACATCCATGCGACGACGGCCGCCAACAACCTGCTCGCGGCCGCCATCTCGGCGCGGTTCTTCCACGAGTCGACCCAGTCGGACAAGGCCCTGTTCAACCGCCTGTGCCCGCCCAAGAAGGGCGTGCGCACGTTTGCGCCCATCATGTTCAAGCGCCTCGACAAGCTCGGCATCACCAAGACCAACCCGGACGACCTCACCGACGAGGAAAAGGCCAAGTTTGCGCGCCTCGACATCGACCCGGAGAAGATCTCGTGGCACCGCGTCGTCGACACCAACGACCGGTACCTGCGCAAGATCGAGACGGGCCTCGGTCCGGCCGAGCAGGGCAAGACGCTCGAGACGGGCTTCGACATCGCCGTCGCGTCCGAGTGCATGGCCGTCCTCGCGCTCGCGACGTCGCTCGCCGACATGCGCGACCGCCTCGGCCGCATGGTCATTGGCGAGAGCCGCGCCGGCGTCCCGATCACGTGCGACGACATTGGCTGCACCGGGTCGCTCGCCATCCTCATGAAGGACGCCATCAAGCCCAACCTGATGCAGACGCTCGAGGGCACGCCCGTCTTTGTCCACGCCGGCCCGTTCGCCAACATTGCGCACGGCAACTCGTCGATCCTCGCCGACAAGATTGCGCTCAAGCTCGCCGGCATCGAGGAGGGCGAGAGCGACGACAAGAACGGCTACGTCGTCACCGAGGCCGGTTTCGGCGCCGACATCGGGTGCGTCGACCTCTCTCTCCTCTCAACGACGACGACGCAGTCCTGACCAGTCCGTCCACTCTCGTGCGCAGCATGGAAAAGTTCGTCAACATCAAGTGCCGCGCGTCGGGCCTCGTCCCCAACGCCGTCGTCCTCGTCGCGACCGTGCGCGCGCTCAAGATGCACGGCGGCGGGCCCGAGGTGACGCCGGGCAAGCCCTTGCCCGAGGTCTACCTCACCGAGAACCTCGACATCCTGCGCGAGGGCTGCTCCAACCTCAAGCGCCACATCGAGAACGCCAAAAAGGTCGGCATCAACGTCATCGTCGCCGTCAACCGGTTCACGGCCGACACGGACGCCGAGATCCAGCTCGTGCAGGACGAGGCGCTCAAGGCCGGCGCCGACGCGGCCGTGCCGTGCAACCACTGGGCCGAGGGCGGCCTCGGCGCGCTCGAGCTCGGCGAGGCCGTCATCAAGGCGTGCCAGGAGCCCAACCCGTTCAAGTTCCTGTACGACGTCGACCAGCCCATCAAGGCCAAGATCGAGACGATCGCGCGCGAGTTTTACGGCGCCGCCAACGTCGCCTTTAGCGAGCTCGCCGAGTCGCAGATTGCCGGCTTCGAGGCCCAGGGCTTTGGCAACCTGCCCATCTGCATGGCCAAGGTGCGTCCTCTCGTCTCTCCCCTTCTCTCTCTCTCTCGCTCGCCGTCGTCGGCAGCTCGACCTCGAGACACAAAAGTCGACCTTCTCAAACCCGCGACCTGACCTCGTCTTTGCCTCCCGGCCTCCTCGCGCAGACCCACCTCTCGTTCAGCGACGACCCGTCGGCCAAGGGCGCGCCCACGGGCTTCACGACGACCATCCGCGAGGTCAAGATGGCGGCCGGCGCCGGCTTCGTCTACCCGCTCGTCGGGTCCATGTCGACCATGCCCGGTCCGTCCTCTCTCTCTCTCTCTCTCCTTGTCCTCTGCGCTCTCGTCGACGTCCTCGAGCGTTTTCCCTGACCTTGGAAAACCTTGTCCGGATCACGCAGGCCTCAGCACCCGGCCCGGGTTCTTCGACCACCAGCTGCTCGACGACGGCGAGATCATCGGCCTGTCCTAGACGCCCGCACGACCTTTGTCTCGGCACCTCTCTCGGTTCTCAACGAACACCTTCTCGCATCTCTATCTCTCTTCAGTTCAGGTCCCGCCCGCCGCCGTCGTCGTCCCCCCTCTTTCGTGCAGTTTGTCCCCCCTCCTCCCGCCCTTTCCTCCCTCTGTGTGTACTCCCTATCGCACCCTCGCTCTCTGCCTAGAGCCGTCGTAGCAGCATCGAGTTCAACCTCTGAACATGAAGAAGTCTTTATCCCTCTCTCGGTGCGCGAGCGAGAGTCGAGAGAGGCGGAGCGAGATGAGGAGGGCCTGCGGTCGAGCCGCTCGGGCTTGCGAGCTGTCGCTGCTCCTCGCTCTCTCGGCAACGCAGGACGCCTGAGAGCACCTTTGACGGCTGGGCGACGACCGCAGAGCAGGACTCGGGACGACCGCTCGCCCGCGAGAGGAGCTGCTTTCAGGCCCGCTCGAGCCGCTCCTTCTCCCCGTCGGCTCGCTCGTTCACTCAAGCTGCTGTCGACGGTCACACAGGCTCTCGCTCGCAAAGTACAGTCGCTCTCGCTCGCTCGCAGCTCTGCCCAAAGTCGCTCCAGGACTCGCCTCGTCAATTCCACCTCGGCCGCTCGCTCGGTCGCTCGCTCGCGACGCTACGTGCTCGGGTCAAAGCTCTTGAACGCGGCCTTGAACTGCTGCGCGTCCTTCTTCTCGTCGGCGTCGGGCTTGGCGCACTGCTTCCAGTCGGCGCGGTCGGGCGCGTGAAGGAGGAGCGCGAGCGTCTCGCTGCGGGCGCCAAGGGGGTCGTGAGTGCTGGCTCCTCAACCTCTTGGAACACGACGCGGCCCGAGGAGATCCTGGAGCCCGATCGAGAGACAGAGAGAAAGAGGAAACGAGCGCGACGCACCGGCCAAACTGGAGCGAGAAGCCTCCCTTTGCCGGGTCGATCCAGTGCACGAGGCTCTTGCCGCCGGGGAGGTCGACCTTGAAGTACTCGGACCCTTTGCCGTCCTCGTGGGCGCGCCCGTGGAACGTGGACGGGTCGGCGACCTCGACAAAGTCGTACGCAAACTTGGCGCCCTGGGCGAGGAAGGTCGACTCGGCTTCGGGCGCGAGCGACGACGGGATCGGGCAGACCTGCGGGTGCGGCGACGGCGAGAGTGTGTGTCAGTCATGCTGCTTCCAGAGCAAGTAGCCCTTGCGGGACGGCGACAGGACGCCGGCCCGACCAGGGCGTCGCTCGACGAGCCGAGACCGACGACCGACGAGGGAGGGGACCGAGCGCCGACGCACCTGGACGTGCGCGTGGCCGCCCTTGCCCGAGCTCCTCGCCACCTCGAACGCGACCATGTCGGCGCCAAACGTCTTGTAGCACTTGCGAAGCGCCTCCTTGTACAGCTCGACCTCCTCGTGGACGGGCGCGGCGAGGTCGGCCGGGATCGAGCGCAGGGTCGGGTAGTGGGCGATCTGTGCGGCGCGAGGGGGCGAGTGTCAGGCCCGTCTGCCCAGCTTAGTCACGTCACTCGAAAGAGGTCGAGCGCCGGGCGAGAGGGAGAAAAGAGGGCGCGAGACGCACGGGGATGATGAGGACGTGGCCGCCGCCGGGCACGGGGCTCGAGTCGGTCGAGCACAGCTGGCCCTTGGGCAACGTGACGTACGTCTCGGAGCCGATGCTCGCGATGAGGTGCTTGGTCACCTTGGGGTTGGACAGGCAGAACCAGCACTCGTCGGCTGCGGGCGGACGAGAAAAGGAGGGTCAGTGCGCGTTCTCGAGATGCTCGAACGTCGAGCGACGTGCACGAAGTCGAGGACGAGGACAAGGGAGGACGAGAGAGGGAGGAGCAGAATAGGAACGAGTCGACGCACGGCTGATGGGCTTCTGCGGGCCCCGGCTCGTCCCCTGCCCGCGCTGCGCCGCCCGCTCTGCGTCGCGCGCCTCGCGTTCGGGGCACTCCTGGATCCAGTGACCCTTGTTGCCGCAGATGTTGCACGTGTAGTGGTCGCTGCGGGCGGCCGAGAGGATGGTGAGCGTGCGTCCGGCTGCTCAAGATGAACGAGCCGTCTTCCCCGCACTCAAGCGCGGTGCGAGAAGGCGACAGACGTCGAGAGCGAACAGGACGACTCACGGTGGCGGTCCTCCCTTGCCTTTCTTCTCCCTGCCCTGCCCCGCTCCTCCCGCACCGCCGACGCCGGCGAAAATGTAGTTGGGCACGCCCATCTCGTTGACGTCGTCGGCCGAAACGTCCATGGCCGGGCGCTTGAGCCCTCGAGGCCCGTCCGAGCCGTTGACGGTCGCGGCGACCTTGGCCGTCGAGGCGGCGGCGCGAGGGTGGAACGGCGAGGGCGTCGAGGTGGCGGGCGCCGAGGGGGACGACGAGGGCGTGATCGAGAAGGCGTAGAACCACTGCGAGCGTGCCAAGTGTCAGTCCCTAGACCTGTCGTTGTAGCGACGCTCGCGCAAGGCGGGCGAGCCCGGCGCGAGCGCCGCAACGAGGCCGAACGAGAGACGCCGGCGACGCACCCGGTCCTTGGTCTTGTTGCCCATGGCGCCGAGGCTCAACGCCCTGCAGAAGCTCCTCTCGCCCGCCGCGCCCGCACCCTCGACCCTCGGCCACTCGAACGGCTCGCGCTCCCAGAAGGCGCCCGGCGCGGCGACAAAGTGGTACTTGGCGCGCGCGGCGCGCGCCACGTCGTCGAGCTCGGCGGCGAACGAGTCCTCGGGCTTGCGCGGGAGCGGCGCGGCGTCGTCGGTCGGGGCGTCGTCGGTGGTGACGGGTTGGGTCGGGACGAGGGGCTTGGACGAGAGGAGCGGGAGGGACGAGGGGCACAGGTGGGTGAGGAGGATGTCGACGGGCTTGGCCGGGGGAGGGGGCAAGGACGGGTTGGGCGACGTCGGGGTGAGGGACGAGATGAGGTTCGAGATGTCGGCTTTGGTGAAGGCGGTCGGCTCGTCCGGGTTCGAGGGCGAGGTGCCGGCGACGGTCGCGATGCGGAGGCCCGACGCGAGGGTGAGGAGGCCGGCTTTGGCTGCGCGCGGTCGACAAGAGTGTCAGTCGTGGCTCTGTGTTTGGCTTGAAGGAGCAGAGGGGACGGACGCAGGACGCTGAGGTTTGTGGTGAGCTCCTCGCCGCGGTCGACACGGTCCTGGACGCGCTTGGGGAGGACGCCTTTGCCCTGGGCGGCGTAGACCTGGACGGGGACCTTGATGTCGCCGTTGAGGAGCTTGTCGAGGTCGGCCTGGTCGGCGTCGTTGTTGGAGAAGAGGTCGAGGGCGAGGACGAGGTCGAACGAGTGCTTGGACTGGAGGGCGGCGAGCTTGTGGACGTAGGCCGCGAGGGACGGAGCAGGCCCGGTGACGAGGATCTTGAGTGCGCTCATCGTCGTGCAGCTGTCCAGGCGCGGTGGACGAGCGTGGTGGAGGAGCGAGGTGGGGAGAGGAAGATGAGCCGCTAGAGGGAAAAGGCAACACTCGCTCGCTCTGCAGGCTTCGTCCGACCGTGCAGTCCACTGAATAGAGTATCATGGGTGCATGCAAGCCCTTCGTACACCGCCCTGCGAGTGAGAGAGAGTGAGCGACGCGTCGGCTTCGCGTCGTGCGGCTCGCCTCTCTCCTCCTTCAGCCTCTCACCACCCCGCCAAGCAGCCATGACGCAGCTCACACAGGGCGCAGTCTAGTGAGTCCACCCTCCCGTTGCACCCTGCCCTCCCCCCGCCCCCTGCGGCAGCGCGCCACCTCCGCGTCGTCCTCATCTCTCGCGCTCGCGGTTGCTGACTCTGCACTCCCGCCGCCCCGCCTGCGCAGCCACATGTACGAGGAGACGGACGTCCTCGCCAACGTCGACCCGATCCTCCAGGTCCTGTCGGCCAAGAAGGTCAACGCCGCCAACCAGGCCCAGGACCGCTACCGCCTCATCCTCTCGGACGGCGACCACTTTGCCCAGGCCATGCTCACCACGGGCTTGAACCACCTCGTCGCCGGCGACACGCCCATCATCGGCAAGAACGCCGTCGTCAAGCTCCAGACGTACGCCGTCAACGTCGTCCAGAACCGCCGCATCATCATCGTCCTCGCCGTCGAGCTCGTCGACGACACCATCCCCGACAAGATTGGCTCGCCCACCTCGATCGAGACGGCCGTCCAGGCCGGCGCCGCCGCACCGGGTGCCGCCGCCGCCGCCGCCGCCGCCGCGACGGCCGACGCGCCCATGCGCGACGCCGTGTCCGAGTCGTCGTCGCGCGCCGCCGGTGGTGGTGGTGGCGCCGGCAGCAACGCGAGCAAGACGGCGGCCGCGAGGAGGCCGCAGGGCGGGGCGGCGGCGCAGCGTGGCGGAGCGGGAGGACGCGGCGGTGACAGCATCGCCAACGCGCCCGTCTACCCGATCGAGAGCCTGAGCCCGTACCAGAACAAGTGCGCCCCGCTCTCTCCCTCTCTCTCTTTCGCGTCGTTGCTCTCGGCATCGACGACGACGAGCGCGAGCTGACCCCTCTGTCCCTCGCAGGTGGACGATCCGCGCCCGCGTCACGAGCAAGTCGGACATCCGCCACTGGTCCAACCAGCGCGGCGACGGCAAGCTGTTCAGCGTCAACCTTCTCGACGAGTCGGTGCGTCCGGCTCTCTCTCTCTCTTTCCTGTCCTGGCTCTCGAGGGTCGTCCTCCTCCCTCGCGTGCTCGTCTCGCTCACACCTTCCCCTCCTTCACAGGGCGAGATCCGCGCGACGGGCTTCAACGAGGCGTGCGACAAGCTGTACCCGATCCTCGAGGAGGGCAAGGTGTTCCGCATCTCGAGGGCGCGCGTCAACATCGCCAAGAAGCAGTTCAGCAACCTCGCCAACGAGTACGAGATCACGTTCGAGAACAACACCGAGGTTGAGCCCGTCAACGAGGTGCGCCCTCGTCTCTCTGCGTCCCACGAGAAGGGAGACTCACGTGCCCCTCGTCCCGCAGTCCGAGGAGAAGGACGTCCCGCAGGTCCAGTTCAACTTTACGCAGCTCGCCGAGTTGACCAACATCGACAAGGACGGTACGTGCGACGTGCTCGGCGTCGTGCAGGACAACGGCCAGGTGTCCGAGATCACGGCCAAGGCGACGCAAAAGCAGATCAAGAAGCGCGAGCTCACCATCGTCGACCGGTCCCAGTACGCCGTGCGCGTCACACTGTGGGGCCGCCAGGCCGAGAGCTGGACCGAGCTCGACAATGGCATCGTCGCCATCAAGGGCGTCAAGGTCGGCGACTTTGGCGGCAGGAGCCTGAGCGTGTCGGGCAGCTCGACCGTCGCCGTCGACCCCGACATTCCCGAGGCCCACGAGCTGCGCGGATGGTGCGTCCTGCCTCTCTCTCTTTCTCTCGTGCGGCACGATGTGTGCCTCGTTGCGCCTTTATCGCACCGTCACTGACATGCGCACGGTCCCCTCCCCGTCTCCTCTCCCCCCTCGTCCCTCCTCCCTCGCTCGCCCTCGCCCAGGTACGACACGGCGGGCGCCACCCAGTCGTTCCAGTCGTTCTCGTCGGGCGGTGCGGGCGCCGGCGCCGGCTCGTTCAAGTCCGACGCGTTCAAGGCGCTCAAGGACGTCGTCGACGAGAACCTCGGCATGTCGGAAAAGCCCGACTACTTTTCGACGCGCGCGACCGTCAGCTACGTCAAGGGCGACAACCTGAGCTACCCGGCGTGCCCGACCGACCGCTGCAACAAGAAGATGAGCCAGGAGGGCGACCGCCAGTGGAGGTGCGAGAAGTGCGAGATGACGTACGAGGCGCCCCAGTACCGGTGCGTCCCCTCTCTCCCTCTCTCCCTCTCTCTTCTCTGTGACTAGCGACTGACGAACTCGGGATCCCGACGCAGCTACATCATCTCGATGTGCGTGAGCGACTACACGTCGCAGATCTGGGTCTCCGGGTTCAACGAGGTCGGCGCCGACCTGTTTGGCAAGACGGCCGACGAGATGCAGCAGCTCAAGGAGGACGACGACCCGCAGTACCAGGGCGCGATCGCGAGCGCCGTCGGCAAGGCGTACAACCTCAACGTCAAGGCAAAGGCCGACTCGTTTGGCGACCAGACGAGGGTCCGGTACCAGATCCAGCGCATGGCGCCCGTCGACTGGGTCGAGGCCGCCAAGACGCTCGCGAGCCAGATCGAGGCGTGGTGAGCCCGCGAGCGTTTCCTCCTCGGCGGTGGACGAGCTTGTCGGCGCCGGTCCGTCGTCCTTTGTACTTTCTAGCCTCTCCCTCCCTCTCTCTCTCCTCTCTCCCTCTCTGTGTTTCTCCCAGCCTCTCTCTCTCTCTCGCTTGCAAAGCAGTGTTTCCCTCTGTGCCTCTCTCTCTCTCTCTCTACGCGAGACCGTGCGAGAGCGCTCGAGGCGAGAGATGCGCGTTCCAGCGACGATGCAGACGAGGTGGGGCGGTCAAGCCGGCGGCTGGCGCCGACGGCATGAGGGACGATGAGGGGGACGCGTGACTACATACAGGTCTAGAAGGAGAAACGAGGACGGAAAAGGAGGAGAGGAGGACAACGTGCGAGCCGGCTCAGTCTGAGAACTCCTCGCGCGCTCGGCGCTCTCGCTCGGCGGCGAGGGTGAGGCCCGTCGTCGACGCGTTCAAGTCGTCGTCCTGCATGTCCGCGAGTCGAGGCGAGTCAATATGCGGCGAGCAGAGGAGAGGAAAGGGAAAGAGGAGAAAGAGACAGAAAGAGAGGACGCACCGAGTCGTCGCGGAACCGTACTCGCGCCGCCTCGTCGCTCCTCCTCGCCTCTGCCTCCTCCTCCGCCTCGTCGAGCGACATCCTCCTCGTGCCCCTCGCCGGCGCCCTTCGGTCGACGAGCTCCGTCCCGGCGTCCTCGTCGTCCGAGTCGAGCGCGAACGCGTTGAACAGCTCCTTGGTCCTCCCGCCGCCGCCACCGCCGCCGCCTTCACCGCCCTCGGCGAGCCGAACCCGCCCTCGCTCCATCGCGCTCATCGGCACGAGGTCGTCGCCCTCGTCGTCATCAAAGTCGTCGTCAAAGTCGGTCGAGGGCGCGAACGCGTACCCGCCGCGCGCGCCCGACCCGCCGGCGGCGTTGCGGCGCGACGCGGCCCGGCGACGCAGGCACAGGAAGGCCGTCGTGCCCGCGACAAAGATGACGATGACGCCGGCGGCGACAAAGAGCCAGGTCGTCGAGCCGACGAGCGCGCTCAGGCCGCTCAGGTAGCCCGGCGTCTGGTCGTACAACGACCCGCTGCCGACGCCCGACAAGGCCGAGTCGTCGTCGCCGTCGCCGTCGATCGAGTCAGACGCGTCGCCGCCGTCGAGCACGTCGTCGCTCGAGGCGTCCGTCTCCGAGTCGAGCTGCTCCGTGTCCTCGAGGACCGGCGCCGGCGTCGCTGTCGGCTGGTGGTAGTCCTCGCCGAACGACGAGTGCGCCTCGCCCGTCGCCTCGGCGTGGTCGTCGGGCAGGTGCGCCGTCGGCTTGACGTACGTCTTGGTCGGCGCGAGCTTGTCGGTCGACTGGTCGGCGGCGGCGCTCGTCGGGACGGCGACAGGGACGTCGTCCTCGGGTTGGTCGTCGGCGTCGGCGGGGAGCTGGTACGGCGTCGCGATCGAGGCGTCGATGGCCGAGCCCCACAGCTGGAGCTGGTAGCTGTAGAACTTGCCGGACCGGCGGTTGTTCTGGCGGTCGCGCACGCGCAGGGTCCACGTGCCGATCGGGTCCTCGTCCCTACAGGCGAGCGAGAGAGCAAGTCAGTGAGGTGCTCGTGCGAGAGACGAGGAGAGAAAGAGAGAGAGAAAGGCGGGCGCACCAGTGCTTGACGCTCATGAAGACCCAGCCCATCATGCCCTCGGCGCTCTCGTCGAACCGCCTCGGGCGAGCGAGTATGCTCTTCATGCCGCGAGGCGACACGAGCTCGACCTCGACGTTGCCGCGACGGGCGTGCTGGATCCACACCGTGATGGTGACGTGCTCGAGCTTGTCGACGTTGGCACCCTCGAGGTCCTTGGCCGTCACCTCGATCGTCGCCGTCGCGCCGTCGGCCGTGATGAGCTGGCCGACCTTGGCGTCGACCGTATTGGCGTTGGCGACCGGGCTCGTCCACCAGGCCTGGGGCTTGACGAGCTCCCACCGCTTGGCGAGCTCGACGATGGCGTACGCGTCGAGCTTGCCGAAGCCGTACTTGTGGTTGTACGGCCGACCCGAGGCCGTCATCTGCCAGTCGGGGTCGCTCGGGTTGATCTGGACCGCCGTGCGGACACACAAGTGCTGCATGTCGCGCCACGTGAGGTCGGGCCGAGCTTCGAGGACGAGGGCGAAGATGCCGGCAGCGATGGGCGCGGCGGCCGACGTGCCGCCGTGACGGTCGGTGCACGAGTTCTTGCCGACGTCGGTCGTGTGCTGCAGGCGGGCGAGGGAGTGTCAGTGAGAGGCTCAAGGACGGCGCACGAGAGAGGAGAGGTGCGAGAGGGCCCGAGCGAGCGAGCGAGAGGGGGACGCACAATGTTGTCGCCGCTGCCCGACGAGTAGGTGACGACCATGTTGGCGCTGCACGCCTCGGAGTAGAACGGGTGCAGGCCCTTGCGGTCGATGGCGCCGACGGTGATGCTCAGGAGGCTGTTGGTGTAGCCATCAAAGTTGCACTGGTCGTCCACGGCGCCGCCGTTGCCGCTCGCAAAGACAAAGATCGAGCCCTTGCCCTGGCGGCCGTTCTGGACGCCGTTGAGCATGGCTTTGACGATGAGGCTGCCCGGCGCCTCCATCGAGCGGCCGTCGTCGGGCGGGCCCCACGAGCACGAGTAGATGTCGTTGGTCTGGTACCCATAGTTGAGCGACGACGCCTCGTCGGCGTCCGAGATCGAGGCCGACAGGATGCGGATGCCGGCGATGCCGGCGCCGTGAGCGACGCCGACGCCGCACACGTCGTTCTTGACGGCGGCAATCTCGCCGGCGCAGCGCGTGCCGTGCTGGTCGTCCGACAGGCGAGGCTCGGGCAGCGGCGTGTTGTCGTTGTAGTCCCACGAGCCGTCGGCGTGCTGCAGGGCGCGCGAAGAGGGAGAGGGTCAGTGCGGGCGAGAAGAGGCAGGGCAGACGAGGCTCGACGACGCACAAAGTTGGCGGCGAGGTCGTCCGAGTTCATGTCGAGGCCGTCGTCGACGATGGCGACGTTGACGCCCTTGCCGACGATGCCCTGGTCCCACACGCCCGTCACGTTGATCGAGTTCTCGCGGATGGCGCCGTTGACGAGGTGCCACTGCTTGGGCCACAGCGGGTCGACGATGCCGAACCGGGTCGCCATCGCCTTGATGTAGTCGTGCCCGGCGCCGACGAGCGACGAGATGGCCGCGAGCTGGTCGGCGTCTTGTCGGCGGTCGAGGTGGACGAGGGCACGGCGCGCGAGCTTGGCGAGGACGCGCTCGTCTGGCGCGAGGACGGGGAGGTCGCGCTTGGTGCGCTGGCGCGGGTACTGCCGCTCGAGGGAGCGGACGAGGCGGTGGTGCGACGACGACGACGACGACCGCTTGGCGAGCAGGTGCGCGCTCGCCGGGCCGGGCAGAGCTCGCCGCAAGAGGTCGTACCGCTCGAGGACCTTGTCGCGCTTGCCCTCGGCGAGCTCCTTGATCGCGCGCCGCTGCACCGTGCGCTCGCCGCCGTGGACCGCCGCCGCCGAGAGCCAGCTGTCGTCGCCGGCGTCGACCTCGTCGACCGGCGCGCGCACGAGGTAGTGGCCCTTGAGCTCGCCGACCTGCTCGACATGCTCTGCGCCGAGTGCGCGTGCGACGTCTTGTGGCGTCCAGGCGTCGGCCTCATCTGCGCCGCCGAGGGCGAGTTGCGCCGGGTCGAGTTCGACGACATAGTAGACGTGCGAGTGGTAGTCGCGCTTGGCGGGCTGGAGCTTGGCGTTGGCGTGGTGCGGTGCGCAGGCGAGCACGAGGGCGAGGGCGCACAGGGCGAGGGTGCTCCACGAGGCGAGTTGGCGGCGGGAGGACGAGGAGCGTGGCGGAGCGCGTCCTGCTCGCGCGAGGGCCGGGGCCATGGCGGGCTGGCTGGGTCGGACGAAGGTCGTGGTTGACGGGCAGCTAGCGTCCTGGCCGGGCTGTGCGCGTGCGTGCTGTGATGGTGCGAAAGCCAGCTCGCTTCTCCGCGACCGCGGCGCGACTGGAGGTGGTGTCTCGCGTTTTGAGCCTCTCGGACACTTGCACGGCAGTGTGAGCATTCGCTTCGTACGCCTTCGCAACTAGCTAGCCGGCGACAGCGACGAGACCAAGAAGCTCCCGCTCGGACCGCTCTCGGACCGCTCTCCTCCTCGCCCAAAGCGCCGCAGACGCACAGACAGCTGCTCGTTCCACCCCACCAGTACACACTCCCACCTTCTATAACTAGCCCCTCGTCGGCAGCAACCCCAGCCTCGGGCCCGGCTTGACGAGCCCGACGCCCGTCGCCTTGACGTCGGCGCTCGCGACGGGCGCGCCGAGCGGTAGCAGGCGCGCCGTCGACGACAGCGGCTTGTGCTTGACCGCCGCCGTCGTCGTCGTCGAGGTGTCGGTGGCGGTGGCGAGGGCGGTGGACGAGACGGGGAGGAGCGGGGCGAGGATCGACTGGGTGCGCTGCAGGTAGGCGAGGGCCGACGATGCGAGCTGCGAGGGGAGCGAGGTCGACGAGGGCGACACCTGCGTGTGAAGGAGGCGAGGTCAGTCGTGTTCGGCGACGCCAATCGCGAGAAAGAGCGAGACGGCCACGCACGAGTCGCAGGAACGCGCTCTCGACCTCGCGCCACGCGTCCTCGCCCGGGCCCTCGGCGGCGAGCGCAAGCCTGCGCAAGAGCGCCAAGTCCCACGCCGCCTGGCTCGCGACCTCGGCCTTGCGGTCCGCCTGCAGGTCGCCCTGCGCGAGCTGGTCGGCGAACGCGGCGGCGGCGGCGAGGACCTGGTCGTCAAAGGCGGCGAGCAGCGACGAGGCGATGGTGGGCGAGGCCTGGGTGCGGTGGAGGCCGACGCGGGCGAGCGAGGTCGAGAGGGAGCGCAGGGAGGAGAGGAGGGCGGACGAGGGCGAAGAGGGAACGAGCGCGGAGGAAGGGGTGTCGCCTCGCGAGGCTGTTTCGGCTCGGTGGCAGAGTCAGCTCGGCGTCCACAAGAGGGCGCATAGACAGAGAGAGTGTGTGAGGCGCACCGTCCCACGCCCAGAGAATTGCCGACGGGGCGGCCGCCGCGACGGTGCTCATCGACTCCTGCAACTTGCGCACGGCCGTCGCGACGGCCTGCTCGCGCCACACCTCGAGCGAGCGGTCTTGGAGCGCCTCGAGCCGAGACGTCCACTTGGCGAGGAGCGGCGCTTCTGCGGGAGGAGGGGCCGGGGGCGGTCAGTCGTCGGCTGACAGGCGAAAGAGGGAGGGAGAGGGACGACGCACCTGCAGACGTGGCGGCACCGAGGAGCAGGTCGCGCACAAAGGTGCGGCTCGACGACACGAGGAAGACAAAGTTGCCGACGAAGAGCGCGCCGTCGACGTCTGCGCGCGAGAAAGAGGCTCGTCAGTAGTCGGCTCGAGGAGGGAGAGGGAAACAGGCCCGGCGCACCTTGAGCGACATCCCGCACGACCACCTCGAGCGCATCCGCCAGCGCGTCCAGCGCCTCGCCCGCCGCCGCGACATAGTCCTTCCAAAGCAGCGCGCGCAGCTCGGCCGCCTCGTCGCCCTCGCTGTCCCTCTCGCCCGCACCCGCACCGAGCCAGCCCTCCAAGTCGGCCCTGAGCTCCCTCGCCGCGTCCTCGAGCTCGACGAGCCCCTTGTCGACGAGCGGCGCGCGGCCCTCGACGCGCTTGGCCACCTTGGCGAGGAACGCCTCGAGCGGGTCGACGACGACGACCTTGTCCTTGTCGGGCGCCGCGCCCGCCGCCGCTCGCCCGGCGATGGCCGCCTGCGTCGCGTAGGCGCCCGCGCCGGGGAACACGAGCGGCGTGTCGAACAGGAACGCGGCGGCGTCGCGGTCCGGGTCGCTCGTCGGGAGGGCGAGGAGGAGCGCCTCGAGCGAGGGGACGACGCGCGCCGAGAGGGCCGAAAGGCGCGCGCGGTAGACGTGCGCGAGGCGTGACTCGATGACGAGTGAGAGGCGGGTGCGGAGGGTCGTGGCGACGCGGGTCGAGGAGATGGAGGAAGAAGGGGAGAAGGAGGTCGAGGTCGAGGTCGTCGTCGTCGCGCGGCGCAGCGTGGTACGCAACACGGCGAGGGGCTTGGCGCTCGCGACAGCGCCCGAGGACGACGATGACGACGCCGACGCCGACGAGAGGGACGAGATCCAGGCCGTGACGCCCTCGACGACGCGGTCCGACTCGTGCGCGAGCCACGCGTCGACCTTGCGCGCAACGCCGCCGGCGTCGAGCGGCTCTCGTGCCGCCGAGGCGGCCAGGGGTGACGAGTAAGCGAGGATCGAGGGCGGGAGGTGGCGCTCGAGGGTGGCGAAGTTTGGGAAGGCCGCGAGGACGGGCGGCAAGGACGGGTCGACGACGGTATCTGCTCGCTCGGGAGCGTCGCCGATGGAGTTCGGGCGCTCGACCTCGGCGAGGAGCTGTCGCAGCAGGCCCGGCGCGTAGTCGTCGTCGCTCGACGAGCCAAAGATGGCCGACACGGCCTCGACGGTGCGCAGGACAAGCCCGAGGACCTGCTCGAGCCTGCGCGCGACGGCGCTCGTCTCGTTGTACGCCTGGGCCGAGGTCGATGGCCCGTTGAGGATGGCGCTCAGGGCGCGAGAGCGCGCCTCGAGGAGGGTCGAGAGGGCCGACGAGACGGACGCGCCCTGCTGCAGCATGACGGTGGCGGCGAGGGTCCGAGCCGTGTTCTGTGCGCGAAAGGCAGTCGGTGAGTGGGCGTACACGAGGTTTGAAGGAAGGCAGAGAGCACGCACGAGGTGAGGACCGTCCCAGCTCTGCAGCTGACCCATCGCCCGCCGCAGCACGACCGGTCGCAGCGTCGACAGCGTCTCCCACTGCTTCTCGACGATCGGGAACGCCTCGCCAAGCCGTCTCGGCGCATCGCCGTCGTCGTCGCCGTCCTCGGGCGGCAGCTCGTGCTCGGCGAGCTCGCGGTACACGAGGCGGCCGAGGTCCTCGAGGCGGGCGGCGGCGAGAAAGTCGGACGTCTCGAGGAGGGTGTGGACGAGCGAGGGGATGGTGAGGAGGAGGTGGATCGTGAGGGAGAGGGTGGCCGACGAGTTGAGGGTGCGCTGGCGGCTCGGCGAGTTGTTGCGATGCCGTGGGGCTTGCGGCGCCTTGCCGCGAGTCGAGGACGGACCTGCAGGCTCGATCTGTCAGGAAGGTTCGCACCGAGAGAGACAGAGTGAGGTGGACGCACCGTCGACCGCTGCTCCCGCTTCTCGCACGGCGTGCCCGACCGAGTCGAGGTGGCCGACGAGCTTGTCGGCGGCGCCGCGCATGCGCACGATCGAGTCGGCGGCCGACAGCAGGTCGCGGTAGCGCTCGCCGACCATGGTGCGCAGGTCTGCGACTTTGGCGGCGGCGGCGTCGCTGCAGTTGAGGAGGGCGAGCAGGTCAGTGCGGGGGCTCGAGAGAGACGGGCGCAGTCACGAGGGCAAGGGGACGGGACGCACCTCGCGCGTTGCTCGATCCTGCGCACGTCGCGGACGCCGAACGAGCGGAAGATGTCGTCTGGCTCCTCGAGGGCCATGAGGTCGACCTCGTCCGGGTTGGCCGACGACAGGGCGGCGACCGAGGGCCCTGGCGGCTGGTGCTGGCCGGGGCGCTTGCGGACATGGCCTCGGCGGAACTTGGTCGAGCCAGCATGGGCGCCCGTCGCGGTTGAGCCGGCGAGCGAGGGGGAGCCGCTGGCTGGAGGGCGGGGGAAGGGGTTGGAGAGGGTGAAGCGCGAGGGGGCGAGCGAGACGCCGCTGATCGACTCGGGCGGGCGGTTCGAGCGGTACGAGTGGGCCGGACTCGAGCCCTGGACGGTCGACAGCGGGGAGAGGGCAGGTCGGCGGCGAGACGGAGGCGAGACGAGGGACGAGGTGGACGCCGCCGCACCACCGGGGCGGACCGGGGTCGAGGGGAGCGACATGGATACGAGCTGGGCAGAGACGCTAGCGACGCGTCCTGCTTGCCCCTGCGACGGGCGCTGGTCGAGCGAAGCTGAGAGGTGGGGGGGGCGTGGCACCTGCCGGAGGTGCGCTCCCTCTCCTCGACAACAGCCCGCTCCGCAGCCAGGCTAGCTAGCCTGCACTGTGCGCGCTCGCCTCTGCACAAGCTGCAACCAGCGAGGCGTGCCCGGACTCGCTGTCGTCCGCGGTCGCTCCTCCTCGCGGTTGGTCCTTCCCCCCTCGCTCGCAATGCTTCCCTCGGTCTCGTGCGTGTGCGCGAACAGCTGCGACATGCTCTATGTACGCTCTGGGCTCAGGTACGCCCCCTCCCGCACCCTCTCCGAATGTCCACGCCGAGCCACCGTCTGACCCTCCCTCTCTTCACAGCCGCAAACCGCGACACTCGCCTTGTGCGCCGGGCACGACCTGCCGAGGCTAGCCACCGGCGCTCTGAGCCGATCCCCAGCCACGCGGAGCCAGGGCGAGCCGCCGTCGTTCGCCAAGGGCGCGTTCCCCTCGTGCTCGTTCGTCCAGCCGGCCAATCCTGCTGCGTCTCGCCTCGCACCCGCTCAACATCCGCCTTCTGCGCCCGAGAGCCCTTGCGGAAGGTGCGCGGTGCGGCATTGTCGGCGCATGCCCTCGCTGCGGCAGCTTCCGCTGTGTGCTCGGACGGCGGCGACCTCGGCCCCCTCGGGAGGAGCCGCGAGGCCCACGTCGTCTCCTCCGGCGTCGTCGCCTCTCCAGATCGTTCAGTCGCTCTGCAGCTCTCTTCTCGTTGGCGTTCTTGTCGCCTGCAGCTTTCGCTTTCGTCGGCGCCGGTCTCTCCACCTCGCCGACGGCAAACGTCGCTTCGAGCCCCAGGAGCGTCTCTCGGCGGCGCGTTGGCATCTGTGCAGGCCTGGACGGCACCTCAAGAATACGGTGGCGCTTTGGCGGATCGCGTCGGGCGAGCTGCCGCCGGCTGAGGTGCGTGACGCCACCTTTCTTTCGCGCTCTCTTTCCCTCTCACTGACCCTCGCATACGCGCACGCAGGGGTCCACGAGCAGCTCACGAGACGCAGCTACAACATGGTGCGAGCGAGGCAGCGACCGAGGGAACGAGGCGAGCTGGAGGTGCGAGAATACGTTCGGGAGGGGGCACGAGGCGGATTCGACGCAACTTTTCTGCCGACAAGCGCTCTCTCGCCGTGCGCTGTTGGGCGGCCTGTCGAGAGACGACACGATCGAGTGCCTTGCGAGCAACTGCCAGCGAGAACGAGTCGAGATGAGCGCGTGAAGGCTCGGGAAGTGGGTGGTCCCTTTGCGGCCCCCTCGCTCCCCCTCCCTCCCTTCTCTCCCCTCCGTCGTCCCACATCGCGCTCGCCCGCCCCGCTCTCGCTCTTTCGACCGACACCTACACGCGCCATGCCCCGCGCCTCGTCCACCCACGGGACCGCGTCGGGCGCCAGCACCCCGGAGCCCGCAGCGAGCGACGCCGCCGCCGCCGCCGCTGCCCTCGAGCCGACGACCGCCGACCTCGTCTCGCAGCCGACCGCCGCGGGTTCCCCAGCTCCACTCGCCGCCGACGACGACGACGCCGACGACAGCGGCCTCGACCCGCTCACCCAGCTCGAGCTCGGCGCGTTCGGCACCGACGCCGTCGACGACGCGCTCCCTGCGCCGCCGCGCGACCCCAACGCTGCCGCGGGCGCACTCGGCGGGTCGGGAGGAGGGGGAGCGGGTGCACCGGCGAGTGGATCGGCGGGCGCAGGAGCTGGGACGCCGGCGCTCGCGGGGCAAGGTGCCGGCACCAAGCGCACGCTCGCCGCTTCTGGGCCTCTCGCGCGCGCCAAGCGGCCCAAGAACGTCAAGTTCAGGTGCGTTCCTCCTCCTTGTCGTCTCCTCTTCCTCAGGGTACTCGTCCTGACCCTTGTTCTGTGTGCCCTGCAGCCCGGCCAAGACGGGCAAAGCCCTCGCTCGTCGTTCGGCCGCTTCTGCCGTCGTCGGCGACGGAGGCCCCGGCGCCTACCAGCTGGTCCGCCTCTTTCCCTCCCTCGGGCGCTCTTGCCCGCTCGTCGACGCACCCTGACGCGTCCCGCCCGTGTGTCGCGCAGCCCAACCACGATTACTGCGACGCGTGCGGCGGCAAGGGCCACTTCCTGTGCTGCGAGGGCGGCTGCCTGCGCTCGTTCCACTTCTCGTGCCTCGAGCCACCTCTCGAGCTCGACGAGGTCCCCGAGGACAGCTGGTACTGCAAGACGTGCCGTGCCCAGGTCGTGCGTCTCCCCCTCTCTCTCCCGCTCGCCCCTCTCCTCGTCGCGCCAACCGTACTGACACCCTCATCGTCGAGCAGAACCCGCCCATCGAGAGCCGACACCGCTTCTTCGGCGAGCTCATCACGCGCGTCGAGACCGAGAACCCCAAGGAGTTTTCGCTGCCGGCCGAGATCAAGGGCTTCTTCAAGAATGGTGAGCTCTCTGCCCTCGCGGTCCCGGTGTCGAGACGAGCGCATGTGCTCATCACGCTCCCGAGGCAGTCGCGGTCGGGACCAACGGCGAGTACATCGACGCGGTCGAGCACCGTCCGCCGTCCAAGATCACGTGCGTCCCTTTCTCTCCCTCTCTTTCCCCCTCCTCCTCCTCGAGTCGGACCTGACGCGTCTCTCGTCCCTGCAGGGGTCGCGCCATCGGCCAGGAGGACCGAGACGGCTTCCGGCTCAAGGACAAGAACGGGCGCCCGATCATCTGCTACAACTGCGACGGCGCCGCCAACCCGCAGCAGCGACGGCGCATCATCTCGTGCGACTTTTGCGACCAGCACTGGCACCTCGACTGCCTCGACCCGCCCATGACGGGCATGCCGCCGCCGACGCGCAAGTGGATGTGCCCGCTTCACTCGGACGTCATCATCCCGCGCAAGCGCCAGCCCAAGCAGACGCAGCTCGTCAACGTCGACCAGCCGTACCGGCCCAACAACGGCGACATCGTCGTCGTGCCACGCCCCGAGCCGCAGCTGCAGCAGGACGTCGACGAGATGACGGTCAACCGCGTGCGGTACCAGGTCCCCGAGCAGCACATCATCCTCGACTTTTGGGGCCGCATCACGGGCCAGAAGAGCCAGCCGCAGCCGCCGAGCAAGAAGTGCGTCCACGTCTCTCTTTTTCTCTCTCTGTCGCACCGGCGCACGAGCCTGACCATGCTCGACCCTGCAGGAACAAGGGCAAGTCGCCAAGGAGGCGACCCGCGACCGGCTACGACAGCGGCGACTCGTCCCCGCTCAGCGACCTCACGTCATCCGACGAGTCGGGCAGCGATGCCGGCCGCTCCTCGTCCCGTACCGCCGCCGCCTCGACCGCCGTCGCGCCCGTCAAGGTCGACCCGTCGCCGCTCGACAACCTCGCCCTCCTCGCCGAGGTGCGCTACATCGACTACCTCGAGCAGCAGCAGCAGCTGCTGCCTGCCTCGAACGGCACGCCCGTCAAGGCCGCCACGAGCGGTGGCGCCACGCCGGGCCGCGCGCACGACCTTCCTCCCGCCCTGCCCAACTCGACCCAGCGCCGCCTGCCCTCGCGTGGCCTCGGCGTGCCTCCAGTCGGCGCCACGGGCTCGGCGGTCGCGAGCAGCAGCACGGGCGCTGGCACTGCCGCCGCTGTCAAGCGCCCCTCGTTCGGCGGTCGGCCGAGCGTCGGCGGCGCGCCCTTTGCGTCGCCCGCCGCCGGTCCGACCTCGTCGCGCTCCCGAGGTGGGTCGCCGAGCGTGAGCCCGGCGCCGGGCAAGCTCGCCGACGTCGCCGTCGAGAGCAAGGAGGACCTCAAGGCGCTCGGGCACGTGCGCCGGCTCGTCGCGGCGCAGAGCAAGCTCAAGGAGGGAGACGCCAAGAGGGCCGCGATGCTTGACTACCTCGAGGGTGCGCTCATCGTTGTACGTCGCCCGTTCCCCTCGTTCCTCCGTCCTCCTGTTCGTCCTCGCCCGTCGACGAAGCCTGACCCTCCTTGGCTTCCCCTTCCCGCAGCCTCGACTACAGTCGGTCGGCACCGGCACGAGCGCAGCGCCCTGGTCGCGACCGTGGGACGACAAGCCCGCAGGCGCATCTGCAGCAGGCGCCGCCAAGAAGCCGTCGGCCGCCGCGAGCGGCTCGCAGGCCTCCCCTCTCGGCTCGCCCGCACTCGCCGCCGGGCCGGTCGCCGCCTCGTCGCCGGCAACGACTGGCTCTGCCTCGCCCGCACCCCCCACGTTCCTCCCGTCGAACGCCCCTCCTTCCACGGCCGCCGCCGCTTCCGCACCCGCACCCGTCGTCGTCGCCGCTCCGGCCTCGACCGCTCCCGCCACCGTGGCGCCCACGTCCGCACCTGCACCCACACCTGTCGCGACGCCTGCCCCAGCATCGAGCGCCAACGGCGGCGGCGCCGCATCGACGCTTCCTGCGTCGCCCCTCCCGTTCTCGCTCCCGGCGAGCAGCAGCACGTCGCCTCGCGCAGCTGCCGCCGCCATCGCCGCCGCGTCCGTCAAGAAGGAGGACGGCGGCGACGCAGGTGCTGGCGAGGCGATGGACGTCGATGCGCCTGCGTCGGCGGCAGGCATCAACGGCGGGGCCTGAGCGCGGGCGAGGGCACGAGTGCGAGCGCTCGAGAGGGGCAGCTGGGTGCGCGCGTCGAGACCGAGGAGCTGGAGCGTCGAAGAGGGACATCCTACACGTTGTGCACCCGAGGGGAGGGAGGGCAGTATCTGTTGAGCAACGAGCTCGTTTTCTCTCTATCTCGTTGCGGACGTCGAGCGATCGCACTTGGAGAGAGGAGACACTGCTTGTTTGTATTGCGAGAGAAGAGAGGGGGGGCTACATGATAGAGAGAGACCGTGGCTACACAGAGACCGGCTTCTAGATGAGAAGAAGGAAGGTGACGCGAGGAGAAAGGTCGCTCGCTCGCTCGCTCAGCGCTCGACGACCTGGGCTCGCCACGCGTCCCTCGCCCGCTCGCTCGACGCCTGGCGCTCCATCTTGACGGCGTGCGACGGGCCCGGGAAGGCGAGCGACCCGCTCGAGAACGAGAGCGAGATCGAGCCCTGGCGCGAGCGGGTCCGATCGCCGGCGGGCGAGCTCGCGCTCGTGAACGACGCCGACGACGAGAGCGACTCGATCGAGCCGACGCTGCTGTACCGCTTGTGGCGCTGCGGCGACCCGCTCTTGGACGGCACCGGCGGTGGCGAGCCCGACCGGCTGCGGCGGTGGTCGTGCTTGGGCGAGCGGCGGAAGACGGCGTCGAGCGAGGCGCCGAGGTCGTCGGTGCTGTCGAAGTGGAGCGACGCGAGTTCCTCTCGCGAGTCGTCGGTCGCCTGGCCCTGCCGCACGTACGCGGCGACGGCAGCCGACGGGTAGTGCACCATCGGGCGGCCGCCGACCCGGTTCGACATGGCCGAGCTCGAGCGCGTGCTGCTCGCGGCGCCGCCGGCGACGCCAAAGTCGAGCGAGTGGACCGAGCGGCTCGAGCGCTCCCGCGCCAGGGCCGAGCTCGCCGCCTCGAGCTCGAGAGGGCCCGACACGACGGGACGAGGCTTGAGCGACGAGCGCCGGCTGCCGTCCTTGGGCGCGATCGAGATGGGCTTCTTGGCCGTCTCGGGCGCCTTGGAGATGAAGCCGCCGAGGAACTTCTTGGTCAGGCCGCCCGCTCGAGGAGGGACGGGCAGCGAGCTCGACGGCAGACAGCCCGGCGTCGGCGCCGAACCCTTCCTCGGCCGGTCGTACTGGTGCAACGTCGTGAACCTGCCGGCGTGGCTGTCGACGCCCAAGTCGACGGCCGAGCGCGAGCGGGCCGTGCGCGTCGGCGGCTCCTCGGTCAAGAGCACGTCGAGCCACGACTCGGGCCCGAACTCGTCGTCCTCGGGTGCCGCGCGAGGCCCTCGTGGCAGGAGCGACGGACGGCGATGCCCGATCGTGCGGCGCTGCGACCGAGAGGCGGCACGGGCGCCGAACGCCTCGTCGTCCGTCTCGCTCACGCGCGCCGACAGGCCGGCCGCCGACTCGGCGTCCGAGGCGTACCCGAGAGCGGGCGCGAGCGACACCGTCTTGGTCTCGACAGGCGGCGGCCAAATGGCGAGCCCGGCGAGAGGCTGGCCGGGCGAGGCGGGCGCTCGGGCCGTCGACAAGCGACGCTGGTGCGAGGTCGACCGGTCGAGCTGAGCCGATGGCGGCGTGCGAGGCGTCGACGAGTGAGTCGTGGCGCCAGTCGTGCTCGACGTGCGGCGCATGGCGCGCGAGAGGCGGTGGCTCGCCTCGCCGACGGGCGGGTCGATCTGCGACAGGCGCTGGCTGCGCCGGGCGTTGATGGCCGACGAGCGCGCCGTCACGCTCTTGATGACGATCGGTCGGCCCTTCTTGAGCGACGACGAGTTGGCGCGCTCGAGGCTGGCGGGCGAGTCGGTCGACGAGCGCGAGCCGCAGGGCGCGGCGTCCGACTCCTCGGCGGCCGAGTCGGTGACGGCGTCGCCCAGCCAGTGCTCGTCGTACTTGCTCTTGGGGCGCCCGGCGTGAGGCGAGGTGATGGTGGACGGCGAGCTGGCGGCGTGGATGGTGGACGGGGTCGCGGCCGTAAAGTCGATGGCGGGCCCGAGGCTGTACAGCGCCGCCGACTGCTCGGTCGCCGAGTCCTCGGCGACCATCTCGAGCGGTCCCGACCTGCTCGACCGACGCTGGTACTCGCGCTCCCACTCGCCGTCGCTCAAGAGCGGGCTGCCCCTCGGGCCAACCGCCGCCGCGTCCGCTGCGCTCGCCATGCGCGCGTGCTTCTCGTCGGACCAGCCCTCGACGCTCGACGCCGGGCTGTCCGGCAGCGGAAGGCTGCTCGAGCGGCTCAGGGCGCTGTCGTCCGTCGACGAGGTCGCCGCCGTGTCCTGGCTCGCCGTGCGGCCGCGCCGAACGTGGAGCGGCGGCGACGGCGACGGCGCGAGCGAGTCGCGGTGCGCGCCGAGGGCGTGCCCGCTCGACGCCGAGTCGAAGTAGCCGAGCGACCGGCGGTTGCCCGGCGTGCGCGGCGACGACAGGCGGCGAGCGCCGGGCGAGGACCGTGCGCCGTCAGGCTCTTTCGAGCTCTGGCGGACGAGCCCGAAGCTGCCACGCCTCGGCAGGTCGGCCGAGCCACGCCGGGTAGTCGGTGAGGTTGGGCTGAGGCTGGTGAGGGGCGCCTGGACGGTACGGGTCGGGGTGAGGACGAGCGGCTTGAGGTGGCCCGAGGGGCGTGGAGGGGACGAGGTCGGCGCGGCGCCGGCGACAGACGTCCTGCGCGTGGCGAGGGGCACTTGTACCGACGCCGGGAGAGCCGAGTGGCGGCGGCTTGCGGCGTGAGCGGGACGCTCGTCGGAAGAGCGGGTCGACAAGGAGAGGCGGGCCTTGACGCGCCGAGACGCCTCCGATTGAGCCTGCAGGCTCGCGCGTCGGCGGAGGAGGATAGCCTGCTCCTCGAAGGCCGATCGCGGCGAGAACGCGTGGCGGTCGACCGGCGAATGTTGCAGCTCGGCGGTCGAGACAGGCGCGACGGGGCCGGCGGCGGCGAACGAGGGGACGCCGAAGAGGACAGGTGGCTCGGTAAGCTCGGAAAGGTGCACTGCGCGAACGGAAAGCAGTCAGTCTGAGGACCCGGTGACGCGGTGCGAGAGAAGGGAACAGGGACGCACGAACTGGCAGGACCTCGTCTGCCGGCTCGTCGGCGTACAGGTCCTCCTTGGCGTCCTCGTAGACCGTCTCGCCCGTCGTGCTCATCGAGTCGAGCGTGGCGACGCTTGCACGGTTGCTCGAGCTCGTGCGCGCCCTGGTCGTGCGAGCTCGCGGTTGCGGCGACGTAGAAGGAGCGCCGCCGACCTCGCCGCTCTCGAGCTCGACGGACGCAAGCGTGACGTCGCCGAGTACAGGGGGGCCGGTAGAGCGACCCTCGAGCTTCGACAGGCTGTCGGCGATCTGCCACGCGCGCGTGCTCGCCTCGTCGCGCGCCTGGCTGGCCGGCAAGTCGCTCATGCCGGCGAGGCCGCTCGGGCGGCTCATGGTCGGCGGCGCAGGTGCAGACGAGGACGTCATCGGGGCGAGTGGCGGACGAAAGGAAGGCGGAAGTGCGCTGCCGCGAGGCGAAGGCCGGGTTCGCTCGCCGGCAGATGAGGAAGACGAGGAGGTGAAGCGCGGCGTGTGCTGGACTGGGGATGGGATGGTCGGACGGCGAAGTGTGTCTGCTCGGTGCTGGAGGTGCTGGCGGAGCTCAGGCTGGCGGTGGGGCAGCGCAGAGAGGCGAAGAGGCGGTGCACGACGAGCGACGGGTCGACGAGTGCGGTGTGTCGCCGCGGCGGGGCTGGACGAGTGGCCGGTAGGAGCGGTGGTGGTGGCGGACGACGAGGAGCGTGAGCGCCATCTTGGACAGCGCTCTCAGCCTCGATGTGGACGACGAGGCGGAGCGGAGGTCCCAACCTCTCGGAGCTTCGCATTCGCCTTCCGCGCTTGGTAACCACTCTCCACGCCGAGCTAAGCTTTGATGAACGCGGTGGCTCTATTCCGCACTAGCACCGCCGAATCGGGGCAAAGCCGGGCCTCGACGCCTGGGAATCTCGACTCGCGCGCAACTCCGTCCCCGCCGGCCACCTCACACTCTTGGCTTCCTTTCTCACGGCAAGCATGCCGCTCGTCACCCCCTGGCGGCGCGTATGTAACTAGCGGCTTCTCGTCGGCTGCGTGCTTCTCGCGCTCTCTTGTGCGCGCGGCGGCGCACGCTCCCCGTCCGCTCCTTCACGGCGACGCCGCCGCTCCTGTACCAGCGTCCGTCCGTCCTTGCTCGACGCCGACTCTCTCCTGTTCGTCTCGGTGTCGGCAATAGCTTGCCCAGTGCGCGTGGCCTCGGACCGACCGCGGAAAGTCCACGGACCACTCGGTGGCCGGGTTCAAGAGCGCCCTTCTGCCTGCTGCTCGCTCGCCTTCTCTCTCTCTCTCTCCATCAGCCTCTCCAGCTCTTCCTAGTCCGCTCCTACCCCCGCCATGCCGTCCTACTCGTCCCGCTACGGCGCTCCCCCGCTCAACGACGACCCGCTGTCCGAGTGAGCACGAGCCTCTCCTCCTCCTCCTCGACGACGTCGCACTGACTTGGCTTTCCCTCGCAGGCCCAAGTTCCTCGCCGGCCTCGAGGCTGCCGGCTACCTCCAGCGTCTCGACACGTCTGAGGCTCGCATCACGGCCCGCTACCAGCACGCCCTCTCCAAGATGTCGTTCGCCTCGCACTCGGAGGAGTTCCTCACTCGCGCCGGGGTCCGCAAGGTCCACCGCTCGACCGTCCAGTGCGTCCTGCTTTCACGCCCTCAAGTCTGACGCAGCGATTGACCCAGTCTCGCCCGCATCCAGGTTCTTTACCGAGGACGTGCGTCGCCTTCTTTCCGCGCTCTCTTCCTTCCTCGACTCGAGCCGACGAGCATCTCTTCCGCACACAGCCGACGCCCATGGACCCGTTCGTGCACGTCATGGTCGGCAGCCTCCCGCCGTCGCGCCCGTCGCTCGTCACGCCGCGCAACTGCGAGACTTCCTCGTGGACCCCGATCGGCTCGGAGGACGAGGCCGACGGCACCGTCCACTTTACCGTGACGCACCCTGGGTCCGTCCTTCTCTCTCTCGAGCCCTCCTGGACCCGTGCCTGACCCGAGTGCACCCTGGCCCGCAGCTTCTGGCCGGTCACGGTCGTCTTCGACTGCAACCGCGAGGACCTCCGTCGCGAGGACAGGGTGCGTCCCTCTTTTTCTCTCAATCTCCTCTCGCCCGGCATCTCGACTCGGCTCCTAACCCTGAGCACCCGCACCCAGTTCTCGTCGATCCGCGCCGGCGAGGAGTCGGACTCGGACCCCGAGGCGTACCTCCCGCCGACCTCGTCCCGTCGCGCGCGTGGCTCGACCGCTCGCCGCGACAGCATGTTCGACGACACGTACGAGGCTCCTCGCGGCGCTCGTGGCGGTTCCCGCCGCGGCTCGTACATCGCGCCCGACGAGGACTCGACCTCGGACGACGACGACGAGTACGCCGGCCGCCGTGCCGGTCGCAGGCCCGCTCGTCGCGAGTCGATGAGCGCGAGGGACCTCGACGACGCCATCGCCGGCATGAGCCTCGGCCGCTCGAACAGCCGTGCGTCGATGCGCCGCTCGAGCTCGCGCGCCGGCTCTCGTCGCGCGTACTAGGCGGGCGTTCTCTTTCGTAGACTCTCCTCCTCCCTCGTCGTCTCTCTGCAACTCTCCGAGTGTCCTCTTCCAGATTGAGAGCGTGCGGCCACGAACGAGAGAGAAACAGAGCGACCTTCTCAAGTTGAACCCGCTCGTTCACTCTCTCTCTCGGCTTTCGCGAGCACGGCTGAATCTTCGAGTTGCACATAGTTCTACTTGCTCAGAACTCGGTCTCGATGTCGTCCATGTGCTTCATGAAAGCCCGTTGCGGCGCCGGCTTGGCCGCCTTGACGAGCTCGTCGATCTCGTCCTGGGTCAACTCGGGGAGCGCGCCCGCCGCGAGCTGCTCCTTCATGCGCCAGTCCTTGCCCGACGTCGTGATGACGATAGTGCCGCGCTGTGCGGCGAGGCGGAGGAGGACCTGGCTCGGCTCGACCTTGTCCCGCCCGGCGCGAGCGGCGACCGCCTTGGTCACCTTGGCGAGCACGCCGTCGAACTCGCCGCGGTTGCCGTCGAACCGGAACGCCGGCGAGGTGGGACCGTACGCCTCAATGACGATATCGTGCTTCTTGCCTGCAGGGCAGCGAAGGAGAGAGAGAGAGAGGCGTCCGTCAGGTCAGGGGCTCGTGCGAGGGGGAGAGGGCGAGAGAGCGACGACGCACAGAACTGGTAGAGCTCCTCGCCGGCCGTGTACATGAACGGGTGGAACTCGATCTGGTTGACCGCCGGCCGGTGCTTGAGGTCGGGAATGGCGAGGATCTTCTCGAGGTCGCGCACGCGAAAGTTGCTCACGCCGATGCTCTTGGCCCGGCCCGAGTCGCGAATCGCCTCGAGCTGCTTCCACGCCTGCTCGATCGTCGGGTAGCCCGGCTTGGGGAAGTCTTGCGGCCAGTGGATGAGGTACAGGTCGACGTGCGCGAGGCCGAGCTTCTTGAGCGAGCCGTCGAACGAGGACGGGATGTCCTTGAGCCCGGCGCCGCACTTGGTCGTCACTGCAGAGATAAATCGGTCAGTTTCCTGGTTGTGATCGTGTAGGTGGGACGAGAGACGCACCGTACAGCTCCTCGCGAGGAACACCGCCCTCGGCGATGGCCTTGCCGAGCGACTCCTCGTTCTGCAGACGAGCGACGTCAGCCCACGCACGCAAGGGCGCGAGAGAGAGGAGGAAAGGGTGCGCACCTTGTAGCTCTCGGCGCCGTCCAAGTGACGGAAGCCGACCTTGAGCGCCGTCTTGATCGTCTCGACGAGCTCTGGACCGTCGTTGCCGAAGTGGGCGGTTCCCACGCCGAATCCGACGCCAGGAACGGTGGCACCGTCGGCGAGGGTGACAGGCGCAAAGGTCGACGAGCTGGCGTAAGCCGTGGTCGACATGGGGAGCGAGCTGTGGGTCGGAGCTGCGGCGAGGGAGGAGGCGAGGGCGGACAGGCGGCGAAGGGCAGCCAGGGTGCGGGTGTTTCGAGAGGGCGGGTGCGATATGCAGGCGAGTAGGTGCAGCGCAGCCGAGTGCGTGTGCAGCGAGAAGTGGGAGGAGGAAAGCGACAGGGTGACGACCGCGAGGCCGCGGCCGGTCGGCGTCGGCTCCGCAGGTGGGGCGGCTGCAGATCTGCATTAGCGCCTGCGGCTAAGGTGAAAGCTGATCGGCCTCGTATTGCTCCCCCGCTGCGGGCTCGCTCGCAGCTCGCCCGTCGTCCTCTCCCTCCAACTTCTCCTCGACGAGCTCCCGCCGCTCTGCGCACGACACGCTCGAGCGCCCGTACATCTCCCCTGTCCCCGAGCGAGAACAATGGTCGCCCACGCGGTGCGTGCCCGTCGCCGCACGCTCCGCCCGCTCGCCTCAGCCGGCCCTCCTCGCGCTCTCTTGCTCTCGTTGCTCTGTCTAGCGTCGAAAGATGGTCCGCAGTCGCACGGTCCTTGCTCTGCTCGGTGCGTCCACCCTCCTCTCCCCCCTCTCAGGGCTCGTGGTGCCTCCTCGTCCTCCCTTTCTCGACACCGACCGCCCGGTGCGGCGAGATGCACTGCAGCCTCAAGGACAGCAGAGACCTGGCACGCGCAAAGACGCCGAGCTGACCTCGCCTTGCGCCCCTGCAGCCTGCGCTCTCGCCGCCAGCGCACAGCTCCTTGGCGAGGAGGACGGCGGTCGCTATGCCGACTTTCCCTCGACCTGCACCGCGACCTGCGACGCGTTCGAGTCGGTGGCGACTGTGAGTCACCATTCAGACTCGGTGGCGGGCGGGCTTGGCGAGGACGGCGTGCGCTGACCCTCCCTTCTGAACCTCTGCAGACCTGCACGAACGCCTCACCCGGCGACTCGGCGTCCGACGAGGCGGCGCTCGTTGCGTGCATGTGCACCGACACCGTCGGATCCGCGATCGAGGCGTGCGGCAACTGCATCGCGAGCAACACGGCCGACATGTCGACCTCGGCGTCGGGCGCCACCATCATCCAGCTCGCCGTCTCGTTCACGCGGGCCTGCGGCCTGAGCCTGTCGATCGACGGCGTCGACGCGGCCATATCCTCGGTCTTGGCCGACGGCGGCTCGAAGTACAGCAGCGAGCGCGCGACGGGGCAGACGGTGGCGGCGGAGGAGACGCTCGTCGCGACTTTGAGCGACGACGCAGCCCAGACGGGCGGCGCAACGACGTCGGCGGCATCGGCATCCTTCACGTCGGCTGTCGGTGTGCAGCAGACGTCGATGGCCGGGCAGGCGAGCGAGACGAGCGGGTCGAGCGCTGCGAGCGCGAGCTCGACGGGCGATGCAGGCTCGGGCGCACGCTCTCTTGCGGTGGGACGAACTCTCGGAGCAGTCGGTACCTTGCTGGCGGCCGCACTGCTCTGCTGAGCCTGTCCAGCCGTCGCGAGCGACGCGGCACGAGCATCTCGCGCTCTCGATCCCTCTCTTCCGCCTTATTCCCTTATCTTTTGCAACTCAGCGGGCGCCTCTCTCTCGGCCATCGTGAGCGTCTGTAGCCTTTCTAGCAAGTGATCCCTTTCGAGAGCGGTAGGGCTCGAGAGAGGCGCAGCGACGCTGAGAGTGTCTCTGCGTGCAAGCTCGCCGCTGTTTGTCGACGACCACTGCACTTCGGCTTCTTGGGTTTGCCTCTATGGAGGCTCGGGTCGTCAATGAGCTCAGGTCGACGATGTCGAGAGGAGGCTCGAGCGTCGGAAGAGGCGTCGGGAGCTCGTCGAGCCGGCGCCCTCTTTCACCGGCCCCGCTCCTCGTCTCCTGCCTTCCTCACTCCAACATGCTCTTCAAGCGCGCGCTGTTTCTGCTCGCCAGTGCGTGCCGCTCTCCCTGCCCACACTCTCCCCCTCGCCCGTTAACGGCCTTCTCAAGCAGCGGTCGCCCCTTTCCTCGCCGCCGCCCAGCTCCTCGACGACGGCTTCCCCATCGCGGGCTTCCCCGAGCAGTGTAATATCGCCTGTCAGCCTCTTCAGGAGACGCTCACGGTGCGTCCCATCTCTCTGCGTTCGCGCCGCCGGTCCAGCCAGCTGACGCCGTCCTTTCCCCTCGCCTACTTGCAGGCATGCCCCGCCGTCGGTAACGACATCGCCCTCGCCAAAGCCTACGCCTGCGCCTGCGCGTCGCCCGTCGTCGACCAGGTCGAGCGGTGCGGCTCGTGCGTCTTTACTTCGACGTCCTCGACCTCGCGCGCCTTTGTCGTCGCCGAGGAGCTCGCGATTGCCTACGCTCGCGCATGCGGCGTGTCGCTCAACATCGACGGGACGTCGACGAGCGTGTCTTCGGTCCTGAGGGACGGCGGCGCGAGCTACTCGAGCGAGAGGGCGGCCATGTCGTCCAAGTTCGCGGCGGCGACGGCGGCAGCGGCGACCCGCACGTCCTCGCCCGCCTCGAGCGCGGTCCTGGCGACGTCGACGAGCGGCCAGACGTCTGCGACGGGATCAGTCGGCGGTGTAGCCGGGGCTACGGCGTCGGCGACGAGCGGCGGCGGCGGGCGCTCGATCCCCTTCCTCCCTCTCTCCCTCCTCTCGTCCCTTCTCGTCATCGTCCCAGCTTTCCTTTGGTCATAGTGCCCCTCCCTATTCCCTCTCCTGCTTGCTGTAGCGCTTTGCAGTTCAAATCCGCGGTTCCGAGCCCTTCTCCGGTCGCGCCGCTGCGTCCGTCACAGCTCTCTCTCGCAAGCGACTTTGCAGTCTCTGTTCGGGGGCTTCTGTTGTCACTGAGGGAAAGCTTCCGAGCGGCGGCAAGCGCACACGGTCGAGACTTTGCTGTGAGCGTGGCCTCCCCCGCGCCGGGACCGTGACGACGTCGACGACGCGCTCTTGGTCTCACCTTCCACCAGCTCGTCTCGAGCCAAGCCTGCACCCGACACACGACCTGCACAGCTGCAGTACCGCGATACGCCCAGCACAGCACCCGCCTTTGCCTCGAGCACACGCCTGCGACCGCCGACCACGACATGTGCGCCCTCTTTCCCCCGGCACAGAGCGTACGCGCGGCAGACCTGACCTCCCAAGCCCATCAGGAGCACGCCCGACAAGATCGCGTCTACCGGCAGCCTCCAGGACCGGCTCAAGCGCCTGGGTCTGCAGGGCTCGGGCTCCCCCACCGGCCCCCCGTCGAGCCCGTCCCCCTCCTCGTCCAGCACCGCCTCCAAGGGCACGCCCATCCGCACGGGCGCCACCCTGTCGGTCAGCGACAAGCGCTCGCGGTTCGCGGCCGGCGGCGGCGAGGACAAGCCGTTGCTCCCGCAGGGCGGCAGCTTCGGGTTCGCCCCGGCCAAGCCGCGTGCGAGCGGCGGCGGCGACCGCTTCGACGTCAAGCCGCGCGTCGCGAGCCTCGGCGCAGGGCGCGCACCTGTCCCGCTCGACGTCGTCAAGCCGCGCAGCGTCAGCGCCGGGCACAGCCCCGCGACGAGCGAGAGCGGGTCGGCGCCGGGCAGCCGGGTCATGAGCAGGGAGGGGTCGACGCGCGAGGGCAGCAATGTCGAGGAGCCTGTCGAGCCGGTGGACGCCACGCCGGTCCCGTCGCCGAGCCAGCCGACGTCGGCGAGGCTCAACTCGCTCTCGCTCCCGAGCGGTCTGCGCACGCCGGGCGCCATGTCCGTCTCGTCGATGCGGGTCGAGACGGGCAGCATCGGCAGCACGAGCAGCATCGAGGGCGGGCCCGACCCGGCCGACATCGACGTCCAGGCGTCGCTCGCCGCTCGCGACATGGCCGACTCGCCCCTCTCGTCGCCCGTCCTCGCCGGCATCGCCATTCCCGCGCCGTCCGAGGGCTCAATCTCGTCCATGGACGGCGTCGCGCCCGCCCTCAAGGGCCCGCTCGACTCGCTCCGCGCGAGCAGCCCTCGCCCGGGCTCGATCCGGTCCATCTCGTCGCTCAGCGTCGAGGCCGCGTCCGAGGACGTCGCCGACCTGTCCGAGATGTCGACCAACGGCAGCGCCTACGGCGGCGCATCGACGCCGACCATTGAGCTCACCGGCCTCGGCCTCGAGCACGGCGCCGGGTCGGCCAACGGCGACGGCGAGCGGGCGAGTGGCGAGGGCGAGGCGCAGGAGCGCGCGCGCCACGCGCAGATGAGCGCTGAGCTCGCCAAGTACGAGTCGGACGAGCGCGACCCAGCCGCGCTCGGTCCCTACCAGGAGGACGAGCCCGGCGGGTGGTCGAGCGGCGGCGAGAACGGCGAGTCGAAGGAGCCGCCGTACGCGAGGGACGAGCGCGACGAGGCCGAGCTCGATGTCGAGCGACCCGAGACGCCCAAGCCGGGCGCGAGGACGCCCACGTCGCCCATCCCGGGCGTCAAGTGCTCGGACTGCGGCGAGGAGGTCCAGCTCATCGAGTGCGTCCGCCGTCCTCTCTCCTCTCGTCATCATTTCTCCTTTCCCTCGTCGCAGGCGATTCTGATGTCGAGCTCGTACCACGCAGACTCGCCGACCACTCGTGCGCGCGCTCGACCCTCCCGCCCGCTCTGTCCTCGCCGCCCTCGTCTCCACCTGCACCTGAGCCCGCCATCCTCTCGACGCACGTCTCTCCCCCTCGCACCGCTCCCGACGTCCCCGAGGAGCCGCTCGACGACGACGAGCCGCCGACCGACGACTCGATCTCGACGCCTCGCCGCCAGAAGAAGCGCTCGAACGAGTCGGGCGGCGAGAAGCTCGACGCGTTCGTGCCGCAGACCGACGACCTAGTTCCCGAGGACATCCTCGACGCGTACGGCGACGACCACGAGGACGACGGCGACGAGCAGCCGGCGGCAGTCGACGCGCAGGTCGCGTCGGCCCCGCAGGACGTCGCCGACGTCCCGTCCGACGACCTGGACACGACGGCCGAGCCTGGCGCTCCTCGTCACGACGGCCAGGGCGTGTATGATCCCGAGCCTATGGCGCGCTCTGCGTCGACGCCGGGCGGCGCCGTCGCCCGAGTGCGCAAGGCCTCGACCAAGCCTCGGGTCCAGTCGGCGTACGGCGGCTCGACCAAGCTCCCCGGCCGGTACTACACGAGCGACGACGAGATGGACGGCGAGCCCGGGAGCGCGACCATCGTGCGGTCGCCGTCGTCGCAGCGCTTCGACCCGCAGCAGTGAGCCGGCGGCCGGCCAACTTTCCCTTCCCTCGCATGTTTTCCCTCGCGTGTCCTTGCAGCTTCTCTGTTTAGCATCTCGTTAGCCTCGTTGCGCGCGTCGCCTCTGCAACGTCGTTCCTGCACTCGTTTGAGAAAGCCGGTCCGTCGCCTCCGAGACCCTCGCGCTCTCAAACCCCACTCGCGACGACGACGTTGCGTGCGCCCCACGAGCTCGTGCACAGCTGCGCCACCTCAGCGGACCAGTTCGACCCACCTGGACGGCACCGCAGCTCGAGCCGGCCTGTTCACCTCCGCGCCGGCCGCCCTGGACCCGTCGACTCGCCCGCGCTCACCGACACACGACCAGCCGCCCTAGGGCAGCACACGCGCGCACCCACTTGCACAACTGTCGGCACGCCTCGGTGCACGTCGAGCCGGCGCGTCTCGGTTCCCCCACTCGTCCGACCTCCTCATCGTGCCCCGCCGCGTCTCTCTCTCGCACGCCGGCGATGAGCTTCTGGAAGCTCACCAAGGCGCTCGCGGCGGCACCGACCGACGGCATCAACGGCGTCCTCGCGCCGCTCAAGGCCCTCGACGACCACGTCGACCCACCCGTCCGCTCCCCCTCCTCGTCGCCCTCGACCTCGTCTGAACCCGACCACCTCTCGCCCGACGACCTCGCCGCCCACTATCGCGCCCTCGACACGCTCCTCGCAGAGCCCGACTTGCTCTCGGAGATCAAGAGCGGCAGCAACCCTCGCCTGACCGACTTCCTCGCCCGCAAGGAGATCGTGCTCCGGCTCGGCGGGTGGGTCGTCTGGGGGCTCGGGCGCGGCTTCGTCGACCCGCACGACGCGGCAGATGACGAGGGCGGCGCGGCCGCCGGGCGCGGGTTCGACTCGGGCCTGCTGCCGGACGAGATGGAGCAGGGCAAGGTCCCCGACGAGGTGCTCGCGGCGGGCGAGCGGGAGCGCAAGGGCATGGGCGGGGTTCCGAGGCGGCGGGACGTCACGGCCGAGGGCAAGTTCGCCGAGGGCGACCCAGTCGAGGAGACGGACTTTGAGCGCAAGTCGGCCAAGTGCGTCTTCTCGTCCTCCCGTCCTCGAGGTCGTCGCGTCGCGGTCGTCGGCGACTGACGCCCTCGCACCGCGCAGCTATCCTCGTATTTGTACCGAGATCCTCGTGTCGAGCTCGCCAAGCCTGACCGACAGCCTGTTTCGCCACGACTCGGCGTCGAGCAAGCCGCACACCTGTCCCTCTCCCGCCTCGTTCCTCCTCCCGTTCTGGTGCGTCCCTGTCGTCCTCCCTGCCTTCAAGACACACATACTGACCCTAGTGACTCACACAGGGAGAGCATCCTCGGCAGCACCGAGCTGCAGCTAGCGTCGCGAGCGCAGCAAGTCGGGTTCTGGGCGCGCGTCAATAGCGTCCTCCTTGACGGGCCCATGGGCCAGGAGGTGCGTCCCGCGATCGCTCGCTCGAGCCCACTCTCACACAGTCGCACTGACTCGCCTCCTCCTGCAGGTGCTCTCCCAGATCCTCACCATCCCGCACCTTCCAGCACGCCTGCTCGCCCTCCTCCCCTTCTGCTCGCCGATCAACGACCTCCTCCTCCTCCTTCTCCGCGTCTCTCGACCTCCCTCTCCACTCGTCCCCTCGGCCGTCACGCAGACGATCCGCATGCTCGACCCGTTCTCGGCGCTCGGCAAGCCCGGACACGTCGCCGCCGAGGAGCTCCTGCGCGGCATCATCGAGATCTGCCTCGCCGTGCCGCGTGCTCAAGGCGGCGCAGGCGGGCCCGGCGGTGCGCCGTTCGGTGGACCGGGCGCAGGACCAGGCGCGGGCGAGGAGCCCGTGTTCGAGTGGAGGGACACGACGCTCGCGCGCAAGATCGCCGACGAGAAGAGCGTCCGCACCCTCCTCGACTGGGTTCTCGCCGGGCAGGACGAGGCGGCGCCTGTACGGCCGGCGCCCGTCGTCGAGGACGCCGCACATGGGCCCGCGCCGGCGCTGTCGCCGAGCGACGCAGCCTCGAGCGAGGCCGGCTCGGCCACGGTCGTCGACGAGCAGGACGACGACGCGCGACAGCGCGAGCTGCGCACCTCGTCGCTCATCTCGTCGCTCGCCGTCCTCACCGAGCTTATCCGCAAGAACAACTCGGACTTTGTCGAGCAGCAGATGCTCACGTGGGCCCGTCGGCGGCAGGCCGCCGAGGCCGAGCGCGAGCTGCTCGAGGCGGACGGCGCCGAGGTCGTGCGCGACCCTCGAGACGAGCACGACGACCGCGTCGACGACAAGGGCCCGTCGGTCGTCGACCTCGGCACGATGCTGTCGCTCGTCGCGAGGCGGATCGGCGAGTTCCAGCAGCTCGTCCAGAAGCCTCGAAGCTCGGTGCGTCCTACTCTCGCCCTCTCTCTTCCTACATGCGCCAAGGTACTGACATGCCCTCGCACGTGCCGCACAGACCGCGCCCGTCCGCACCGCCGGCGGCATGCTCTCGCCGCTCACCCTCGAGCGGTTCCGCATCTGCGAGTTCTACGCCGAGCTCCTCCACTGCTCCAACATGTCCCTCCTCAACCGCGCCGACCGCACCGCCGCCCTGTACGACGAGAACGGCCACCTCGCGCGCGGGTTCGACGCCGCCGACGAGCTCGCCGCCGCCCTTGCCGCACCCGGGCAGTCGTCGGCCGAGGACGAGCTCGACCTGCCCCGAGGGCTGCAGAGCCCCGAGTTGCCCGTCCCGTCCGACTTCTCGACCAGCCCGAACGACCACAGCTTCGGGCCGTACTCGGGCATGTCGACGCCGTCCGGGCGCGAGTCGCTCGACGAGGAGTCGGGCGGCGTCCTCACCAAGGCCGAGGCCAAGGAGCTCAAGGCGATCATCGCCGCGGCGGGCAAGATTGACGAGGAGGACGACGACGGCGACGACGAGCGGGGCAAGGTTGCGGCGGACGAGGGGCAGGAGGTGGACCCGGCGTCGACGCCGGGAGCGGCGACGAGCGACGGCGCCAAGCGCGACAGCCGGACGTCGAACGGCTCGTCTACGCGCGAGGAGCACGACCTGCCGCCTACGCCGAGCGTCTACTCGGTCGCGTCGCGGCAGCTCCCGGCCGTGCCTCTTCCGCCAGGGCCTCTCCTCAAGAGCAAGTTCCTCGAGCACGGCGTCATCCCGACCATGCTCGTGCGTCCTCTTTTTCCTCTTCTCTCTCCCTCCCAGACGTCGTTCGCGACTCACATCGTGCTTCTTTGCCGACAGACGCTCTTCTTCGAGTTCCCGTGGCACAACTTCCTGCACAACGTCGTGTTCGACCTCGTCCAGCAGATCTTCCACGGCCGCCTCGACCGTACGCTCGACCGACAACTCGCCGAGTCGGTCTTTACCGACGGTAAGCTGTGCGAGCGCCTCCTCGACGGTCAAAAGGCCAACGATGTCGCAGCGTGCGTCCACCTCTCCCTCTCTCTCTCCCCTTCCCTCTTTCCTCTCCCCGCCTCTCTGCGACCTCGCTCACTCTCTCGGTCACCTGCAGCGCGGCAAGGACCAACATGCGCCTCGGCTACATGTCCCACCTCGTCCTCATCGCCGAGGAGGCGGTCAAGCTGTTCGAGCGCTTCCCCGAGCTGCACCAGGCCGTCGAGTCGTCGATCCCGCAACCTGCCTGGAGCGAGTTCGTGTCGACGACGTTGCGCGAGGCGCGCGAGCGCGACTCGGCGCCGCTCGGCGGCGGCCGCACGGGCCTCAGTCTGTCGATCGACAAGGCGCCGTCGGCAAGCTCGCTCAGCGACGAGGACGACGAGTTCCCGATGAACAGCGCGAGGGCGATGCGCGCGATGGACGCTGCGGGTGGGCCGGGCGGTGGCAGCGTCGGTGGAGCAGAAGGTGGCGGGCTCGGCAAGATGGCGGCCGCGGCGGACGTGGGCGGGGCAAGCAGCGTCTCGGACCAGGTGCGTCCCCTTTCCCCTCTCGATGATGCGCTCGATGCACGAGCTCACTCTCGTCACCGTGCTCGCAGTTCTCGCGGTATCTCGCCGACGCCCTCACGAGCGACCGCGCCGTCGGCAGCTCGGACGAGGACGACGAGGACGACAACTGGCTCGGCGGCAGCCGCTTCGACCCGGGCGACGTCGACTTTGAGCTCGACGCCGACGCCGACAGCCGCACGCCGCGCGCTTTCGGCTTTGACGACCGCTTCGACGCTGCAGGCCCGTCGGCGTTCGGCTCCCGGGTCGGCTCGACGGACGATGTGCGTCCCACTCTCTCTGCGCCTCTCCCCTCTTCCGCGAATTATCCTGACGCTCTGTTCCCTCGTCGCAGGACGGCGAGTGGGCGTCGTACAGCACGGGCCAGTCGGCTTCGACCTCGGGCGCCGACGCGTTCGGCTCGGACGACTTCAGCCCGACCGTCGCCTCGACTTCTGCGACCTCGCACGACGGCTTCACCTCGTTCGCTCCGACTTTCGGCTCCGACTTTGTCTCGGCGTCGTCGTTGAGCGCGCCGCAGCAGGACGAGGACGACTTTGGCGACTTTGAGGGCGGCGACTCGAGCGAGGCGTTCCCGTCCGGCGCCTCGATCACGCTCCCGCCGATGGACTCGTTCGACGACTTCGACTTTGGCGAGGAGACTCGCGCCGGCGGTCCCGCCGCGCCGAGCTTTGGCGGCGCCGTCGACCGCCCGCCTTTCGCGCGCACGGCGACCGAAGAGGAGGACGGGTCCGACCGTTTCGGCCGCCTCTCGCTCGGCGACATGTCGGAGCCAGGCAGCCCTGCCGAGGTCCAGGACAAGCCGCTGCCGAGCATCGACGACGCGCTCGCCAACGACGCCCTCGCCACCTCGCACGACGACCCGCACGATGGCTCTACCGCCGCCGACCGAGCGACCTCGCCGACCGAGCCTCTCGGCCCGAGCGTGCATCCCGGCGCACACCTGACGCACGACGGCATGGTCGAGGTCGAGGTCGAGGGCAGGACGGTCCGAGCGCCGGCCGACGACATCATCCTCGCGCACCGCCGCAACAGCCTCGACGGCACGCAGTGCAGGCCGTCGTTCGAGCAGCGCAGGACCTCGTCGTCGTCGTCGATCGGTCGCAGGTCATCATCAACTGAGCGCGACAACGTCACGCCGTCGTCGTCGTCCTGAGCGAGCCGCAGCCCGTATCTCTCTTGTTGTACTCGCCCTCTTTCTCTCTCTCCTCTCGATACCCCCCTCTGCCTGTACCGCCTCTCGCTCCCTCTCTCTCGATACACCTGCAAAGCATCTCGCTATTCGGTCGCAGTCGCAATCAGGCTGCACTCGCGCGAGAGAGGCGGTTCGAGAGTCGATGTATATGCGCAACGGGCTCTGCCGCCACCTTGATCCTTGAGCCAGCCTCGTCGGCCGTCGAGCAGTCGAGATCCCCCTCCACGCACGCACCTTAGCCCGAGACGACGGCCCACGCGTTGAGGAGAGGGAAAGGTCGAAAGGGAACGGGTCGAGGTGCAGCGGCAGGACGGTAGACGACGAGAGACTCTTCCAAAGGTCCTTGAGCGTCCGTGGAGAGCTAGTGAGAGCGAGAGCTCGAAGTGCGAAGCGAGCGAGCCGACGAAAGGAGCACGGGCAGCGCACGGTCCTCGCCCCGCAGCCGGCTGTCGCGCGCGCCTCCCTCGCCTTGCCTGTTGGCGGGACGAGCGGAGCAGACCTCAGTGCCGCAGTGTCGACCTCGACGGCTCCCGTCGCACCTCATGTCGGGGCGGACGCCCGCGACGCCGTCGTCGTCGTCAACGAGCCGCGCTTCCTCCCTGTCGCACTGTCTTTCCTCTCGATGCCACTCTGCCTGTATCGTCTCTCGCGCTCTCTCTCTCACGATACCGAACACGGTGCCATTCAATCTCGGTCGCACTCGTGCTCAGTCGAAAGAGTTGCGACGGGCCTGCCGAGCAAGTCTACGAGAAAGAGGGGAGGAGGAAGAGGAAGGATGGGAGAGGGAGCGCTCGTCGTCGGTGCTACTCAGGCCGTCGGACGATGACGATGATGTCCGCGACGACGAGTCGGACGAGGGTGATGATGCTGACGACGAGGACGAGTGCTGCGACTCGTCGGAGCGAGTGAGCTCGCGCTCTCGCTCATAGTACCAGGCGAGGCCGCCGAGGAGAGCGACGACGGCAAGGAGGGAAATGACGACCCACCAGGACGTACTCGACGAGCTTGAGGCGGCGGCGCTCGTGCTGGCCTCGTCGTCGTTCGTCGCCGAGGAGGTCGACGTGCCCGGGCCGTGAGCGGTAGCCTGCGCCGACGTCGACGCCGCCTTGGTAGCCGCCACCTTGGTCGTCGCGACGTCGGTCGTCGAGCTCGCCTTGCTCGGACCAGAGCTCGAGGAGGAGGAACCGCCGAGGTCGAGGAAGTCGCTGTGGGCGCAGATTGTCAGAGACGGGCTCAGGTGTCTCGTCCGGCCGAGAGACAGGGAGTTAGAGGACGTACGAGGGCATGACGTCCGACGGAATGGCAAAGGCGCGGTAGTTGGCGTCCCAGATCTCGGTCGACTCGACAATTCGCGCGCCGTCGCCCGAGAGGAGGACCTTGCCGTCGGCGTCTTGAAGCGACTGTCGGGACGGGAGAGGCGATGGCGGGCGTGTTTGCGTGAGGGACGAAGAAGAGACGGCAAAGAGGAGGGGCGGAGGAAGGAGGAAGGAGAAGTCAGGGGGGGACCTTCTCAAGTCGAGAAGGACGAGAGCGCGAGCGTACCACGGCGGTGTCGCCAACGCCGAACGGCGCCATCAACAGGTTGACGCCTGGCTGGACGTTCTGAGCGTCGAGCGCCTTGCCACCGGCTGCGAGAGGGAGTGAGAGTGTGAGCGAAAGTTCGACTTTTGCCGCCGGCGTGGGTCACGGCGCCGCCCACCGACGACGTGAGGAGGGGAGGAATGGAATGGTGACGCACTTGTGAACACGAAGGAAGACGCCGTAGAGCCCTCGGGGATGAAGACGACCGCGTAGAGGTTGTCGTACAGGCCGTCGCAGCTCTTGCTCTTGGGGAGCGGGTCGTTGGTCGGCGTTGAGGCGGCGGGCGTGATGCGGTGAAACCAGAAGATGGCCGGCGACGTGATTGTCGGCGGTGAGCCGTTCTTGTTCTCGTAGTTCCAGTAGGCCGACATGAGGGCGAACGGGAAGTGGTCGCTCGGGCGGACGTACACGGCCGTGTCGACGGTGCCCTTGGGCGGGTCGGCGTTCTCGCGCACCGGCAGGACGTACGTAGACTCACCCCAGTCCGACAAAGTGATAAAATATAAGAAAGAAGGAGAGGAGGAGGAAGAAGAAGGAGAGGAGGAGGAAGAAGAAGAGGAGGAGGAGGAGAGGTCGATGAGGGAGCGGTACCGGGTCTGTGCGAGGGAAAGGTCAGCAGGTCGGTCCGCGCCGCCGGCGACGACATAAGGACACTCACGGGAAGGAGGAAGTGGCCCGAGATGTAGCAGTAGTTGGTCTCGGGGTCGTTCTGGTGGACCTGGAGGAGCAAGAGAGGCGTCAGGAGGCAGTTTCGAGGAACTCAACGACGAAGAGAACGACGAGCGCACCTGGAATGACGCGCCGACAGGTGCCCAGTAGTCGAGGCCACGCTCAGCCGCCTTTTCGGCCCACTGTTGAGCGAGGGAAAGAGTCAGGAGGGCGCGCGAGAGACGACTTGAGAAGGTGGACGTACACTCGCGTCGGCCTCTGCCGTCACGTTGTTCCTCGAGCCGACCTCGCCGTGCCCGAACCAGTTGGCGATGCCCGACATCTTGAGGTCGGCCGAGTCGGGGTCGGACAGGGGCGTGTTCGAGAGCCAGGTCGGGGCAAAGTAGAACTCGCTGCCGACGGCCTCGGCGGCGGCGTCGAGCACCTTGTTCCACAGGTCGTTCGACTCCTTGAAGGTCGAGACGCCGTCCATGAAGGTGCCCTGCTGGTTGCCACTGAAGGTCGTGAGGGCGGGCTTGCCGTCGATCCGGAGCCACTCGTCCTTGCCGGCGTAGCGCTTGAGGCGCTCGATGAGGAGGTCCGACGAGCCCTTGACGTTCCAGTGAAGCTGCAGGCGTCGTCGAGCGAGTGTCAGTGAGAGGCGCGAGGCGGGCTTAGGGGGCGAGAAAGAGAGGTCGAGGAAGGAACCGAGCGACGCACCATGTCGACCGAGAGCGTGATCTTGTACCCCTCCTTCTGCGCCGCCTCAAAGATCAAGTCGAGGTGCTCCTCCTCGTACGTGTCCTTGCCCGAGTTGACGGCCCACGCGTCGATGAGGACCGCCTTGCTGAGGCGCATGTCGGCGGCGTAGTCGTCGACCGTGTACCGCTGCGTCTCGCCGCCCATCCAGTGGCCGATGACGCTCTTGGCGTGGGCGTGTTGTACGGCGACCCAGACGAGAGGGAGGAGGTGGAGGAGGGAGCCGAGCATGGCTGCCGGAGCTGCTCGGGTCGAGGAGGAAGGCGAGGGAGGCGCGGTCGAGAGGGACCGAGTCGAGGAGGAGAGACCGGATGGCAGACGACGAGGGACGCTGCCAGAGGTCCTCGAGAGTCGGTGAAGAGAAAGAGAGAGAGAGAGCGGGCGACAAGCGAGCGCGAGAGGCGACGAGAGGGGTGCGGACGGCGCACGGTCCTCGCGCCTCCGCCGACGGACGGCGCACCGTTCCTTCTCCACCAGACCGGGTACAGACCGCATTCAGGACGAGGCCGATCGACGGGCGAGGCTGTGGCGAAGTCCGGGTGCCGAGAAGCGCAAGCCGAAGCGAGGGAGGTGCGCTCGACAGCCGGCAGCCGAGCGAGGAGCGTGCGCCCGGCCGAGCGTCGGCTCCGCACCGGCCGACGGCGCCGAGACGAGTCGGAAGCCGGTCCGAAGGCAGCTCCGTGGCAGCCAGAAGCGCGAGCGAGCGGAAGCGTCCGTGCGCGACGCAGGCTCGACCCCTCTCGCTCGCTCACCGCCGCGAGCGAACGACGGCGACCGCTCCAAGTTTCTATAGACGCCTCGAGACGTGCTCATCGATCTGCTCTACAGCTGGGCGGGCCGGTCATGCGTGCGCGTTCTTGTCGCGGAACTCGCGCATGAAGGCGACGAGCTTCTTTACGTCGTCGAGCGTGACGGCGTTGTAGATCGACGTGCGGATGCCTGCGGGTCCGCCACGAGTCAGTCTCGCGTCCGACGCAGGGGAAGAGAGGAGAGAGAGAGAACGAGGACGCACCGCCGACGCTGCGGTGTCCGTTGACGCCCTTGATCCCTCGCTCGCTCGCCTCCTTGACGAAGGCCTTCTCGAGCGGCTCGCCGCCCGTGGGCAGCCGGAACGTGACGTTCATGCGCGAGCGCGCCTCCTTGTCGGCCGTGCCGATGTAGAAGCCCTCGCTCGCGTCGAGCTCCGAGTAGACGAGGGCCGACTTTTGGTCGGCAAAGTCGGACAGGGGCGAGAGGGGCCGGGCGTCGGGAGACGAGAGGGGGAGAGGAGGCGACTCGAGGAGGGAGCGCAGGACGAGGGAACAGACGTAGATGGTAAAGGTTGGCGGCGTGCTGCGGGTCGGGGCGGACAAGGTCAGACGCGGGTCGTCGAGGTACGAGCGCTCGACGTGCGACGCGAGGGATGGACTCACTTGAACATAGAGTTGGTGTCGGCCATGTTCTTGTAGCTGAGCATGGACGGGACGCGGCCGGCGCCGTACTTGACCGCCTCGTCGAGATCGACTGCGGGAGGCGAGAAAGGACAGGGTCAGTCTCGCTCGTCGCGTGCCGTCTCGTCCCTCGAGAGTACGACGAGGGGGAAGAGGGACGTACCGAGGAGGTCGTCGCGGACGATGACGAGCGTGACGCCGGCCGGGCCGAGGTTCTTCTGGGCGCCGGCGTAGATGATGCCGTACTTGGACACGTCGACGGGGCGCGACAGGAAGTTGGACGACATGTCGGCGACGACAGGGATGGCCGGGTCAAACTTGTCGAACGGGAACGCCGAGTCCGAGTCGGGCGCGCCAAACTCGACGCCGTCGACCGTCTCGTTGTCGCAGTAGTAGATGAAGGCGGGCTTGCGGCTGTTTTCCTCGAGCTGCGGGACGTCCCACGCGTCGACGGGCGCGATCGAGGTGAACTTGTTGTCCTTGCCGTGCTTCTTGCCGTCAAAGACGGTGCGGGCCGTGACGCCCATGCGGGTGCCCTCCTCGGCGGCCTTCTTGGACCAGCTGCCCGTGACGGCGTACCAGCCCTCGACGTCGTCGTCGGCGGTGAGCTGGTGCTTTGTGCGGTACCACGCGGCGAGGTTGAGGACGGTGGCGGCAAACTGGGTCAAGCCGCCGCCTTGCATCCACAGGACGTGGTAGTTGTCGGGGATGTCGAGGAGCTGGCGCAGGTCCTTGTTGGCGTTGGCGACGACCTGGTCGAAGGCCGACGAGCGGTGCGAGATCTCGGCGATGCCCATGCCGGGCGTGTCGGGGTACGACAGGAGCGAGGCGGCAGCAGTCAAGAGGGCGGCGTCGGGAAGAGGGGACGGGCCGGCGTTCATGTTGATCTGCGAGGGGACTGGTGGGTCAGCGCACGGTCGAGGTAGGTCAAGACTCGGGCCCGGGCCCAAGCGAAGACGAGGGCGACAAGTCAAGATGAGGAGGGAGATGAGGCGAGATGGGGTGGAGGAAGAGGGGACGGACCGTGTTGGCGCGCTGTGCAAGCTGTTGAGAGAAGTCGGCCATGGCTGCAGAGCTGTCCAGGCTTTGAGCAGCTTGAGACGAGAGCGAGGATGGCGACCAAGATGAAGCGAGCCCTCGTCGTTCGCTCCTGCAACACCGCCTCTGTCCTGCCCTGTCCTGCCCGGCTAGCCAGAAGAGGCACGAGCACTCGAACGCTAGCCGCAACACCACCGACCCCAAACAGCGCCGCGCAACAAGCCCGCACCCCGTTCCTCCTCGTCGTCGCGTCGACCCCCGCATCTCGCTCGCTCGCTCGCCCTCTCGACGGCGACCACCATGGCCATCTCGGCCTTCTTCGTCCTCAACCTCAAGGGCGAGGTCCTCATCAGCCGCCTCTTCCGCCCCGACCTCAAGTCAGTCCCCTCGCTCCTCGTCCCCTCCCCCGCTCGGCCTCGTCGCGACCTCGGTCCTCGCCCTTTCTCAGCACCCGGGCCAGTGGACAATTGTCCGCCCGAGCCTCTCAGCTGACTCTCGCACCGCACGCAGACGCTCCATCTCGGACATCTTCCGCATTCACGTCGTCGCCTCCTCGACCCCACCAACCTCGCCCTTGATCACGCTCAGCAACACGACCTTCTTCCACGTGCGCCATGGCGGCCTCTGGCTCGTCGCAGTGTGCAAGCACGTGAGTCGCCCGTCGTCCTCACCTCGTGGGCGGGACGAGATGGGTCGACCGGCGTCCGCAGCTGGCGGTCGAGCGAGGAGCCTTGTCGCCCCGCGCTCGCCGCCTAGTTGTCGTTGATTTGCTCCCATCTATACGGTCGACTGACACGCGAGTGCACCCGCAGAACGCCAACGCCGCGCTCGTGTACGAGTTCACGTACCGGTTCATCAACCTCGGCCGGTCCTACTTCGGCAAGCTCGACGAGGAGAGCGTCAAGAACAACTTTGTGTGCGTCCCCTCTGCCTCTCTCTTATCGCCTCGAGTCGCGAGACTGACTCGACGCACACCTGCAGGTTGATCTACGAGCTCCTCGACGGTGCACACACGCCGTCCCTCACGTCGTCTCGCTCGAGCCGCACCCTGACGCACGGCCGTCCTCGCGCGCAGAGATCCTCGACTTTGGCTACCCGCAGAACTCGGAGTCGGACACGCTCAAGATGTACATCACGCAGGAGGGCGTCAAGTCGGAGCAGGCGGTCGTGCGTCCCCTACTCGTCCTCGCCCTGAGTCTCGTCACGCGAGATCCTGACCCGAAACCCTGCGCAACAGCGAGAAGAAGCGTCCAAGATCACGATCCAGGCGACGGGCGCCATCTCTTGGCGGCGCAACGACGTCAAGTACCGCAAGAACGAGGCCTTCGTCGACGTGATCGAGACGGTCAACCTCAGCATGAACTCGAAGGGTGCGTCCCTCTCTCATCTTGGTACGCTCGTGTGTGAGCAGCGTCACTGACGACCATCGTGCGCGCAGGGACGGTCTTGAGGGCAGACGTCGACGGGCAGATCTTGATGCGCGCCTACCTGAGCGGCACGCCAGAGTGCAAGTTCGGCCTCAACGACAAGCTCGTCATCGACAAACCGTGCGTTCTCGTGTCCGCTTCCGTCCTCGCCCTACCCGGCGCAACCACTAACCTCGCTTGCCCCCACCCTCTGCAGCGGCGACTTGGCGCGAGCCAAAGCACCTCTCGGCGGCCTCGAGACGAGCTCGGTCGAGCTCGACGACTGCCAGTTCCACCAGTGCGTCAAGCTCGGCAAGTTCGACTCGGACCGCACCATCTCGTTCATCCCGCCCGACGGCGAGTTCGAGCTCATGCGGTGCGTCCACCTCGCCCTCTCTGCGTCGCGCGCTCGCCTCTCTCGGCGCGAGTCCTGACGCTGACGGGTACGGGTCCTGACGCGCAGGTACCGCTCGACGTCCAACATCAACCTGCCGTTCCGGGTGCAGCCCATCGTCGAGGAGATTGGCAAGTCGCGCGTCGAGTACACGGTGCACGTCAAGGCCATGTTCCAGGCCAAGCTGAGCGCGACCAACGTCGTCATCAAGATCCCGACGCCGCTCAACGCGGCGAGCGTCGAGTGCAAGGTCGGCGTCGGCAAGGCAAAGTACGTCCCGGGCGAGAACGTCATCGTGTGGAAGTGCGTCCCCCATCTCTCTCTCCGCCGCCCTTCTCTCGCGCACGCACTCGTTTGCGACGTCGTACAGAGTCGTCCTGACAAAAGTCGGCGTCCCTCTCTGCGTGCGCAGGATCCCGCGCTTCCAGGGCGGCTCGGACGCGACCTTTACGGCCGAGGCGTCGCTGTCGCAGACGACGGTCCGCAAGGCGTGGTCGCGCCCGCCCATCTCGATCGACTTCCAGGTCCTCATGTTTACCGCGTCGGGCCTGCTCGTGCGGTTCCTCAAGGTGTTTGAGAAGGGCAACTACCAGAGCGTCAAGGTGCGTCCTCTCTTTCCCTCTCTCTCTTTCCCTCTCTCTCTTTCCCTCTCTCTCTTTCCCTCTTGCGTTTCTCGCCCCGTACTGACGATGTTTCTCGTCTCTTTGCAGTGGGTACGATGTGAGCTCGCGTCCTTCTCCCTCTCGCGTTCCCTGCGCTCGAGCCTCGCAGGGCAAATCGCTCACCTCGCCTTTCCCTCCTCGCGCCGCAGACCTCACAAAGGCCAACGGCTCGTACCTCATCCGAGTGCGTCTCGCTCTCTCTTTCTCCTCGAGCAGCATCGAGCTCACTCTCTCTCTCTCTCGGACCCGCAGATCTGAGCTCTCCTCGCGTCCCGCTCCGTGCCGTAGTCTGTGTACTAGTTGTGCCAACACTGCCCCCTCGTCGTCCCTCGCCCGCGCTATGTACAGCACCCTCTCCCGAGAGCTCGGGCCCCGTCACGGCTTGACGACACACACGACCCTCCCGACGCGCCCGTCCTCGAGCCGCACCTTGACCCCTCGCGGGTGGTCTCCCCTCGTCAACCGCTCGGCGACGACCCCCTCCTGCGTGACGCCCGTGCCTTGGTCCTGCTTGAGCGTGATACGGACGGGCGTGCCCGGCGTGAGGGCGCGGTGCGGGACGGGCTTCCACCCGGGCGGTTTCGAGGGGTCGTCGGTGCGGCGGGTGCGAGAGGAGGAGGAGGAGGGTGGAGGAGAGGGGGAGCGGCGAGCGGCGGCGGGTGGTGGGGCGAAGGCGGTCTCGAGGAGGGAGGCGGGCGTCCAGCTTGCGCCTTCCTGTTGCCCGGATGGAGGAGGACGAGGGGTCAGCGAGCTGGTTGGGCGCAGGGGGGAGGAGAAGGGAGCTCACCGAGAGGCACCAGTCTGCTGCAGCCTCGACCTCTCCGCCGTGCTCCCGCAGAGCGAACGCCGCCTTCTGCTTGTCGATGCCGAGCGCGAGGAGCGAGTTCAGAGCTGGGTCGGGCATGACGAGGCGGCCGAGAGGAGGACGAGTCGGGCGAGTGGGCGACGAGTCGAGCTGGCTGAAGGCGGTGTTGTGGCGCGGTATGGTGCTGGTACAGGCTCTCGGTGCGCTCGCCTCGATCGGACTGGCAGAAGGGAGGAAGGAAAGGTCGTCGTCGTTTCATCTCGTCGCTCCTCGCCTCGACGACCACCACCGCAGAAAGGGGCTTGTCGCTGACACTTACGATCCGCACGCCTTCCTGCCCGGGCTCAGGAGAGAGCCAGAGCAAGGGGAGCGCGCAGGAGATACGGAAAGCTTGTTGTGGCTCGCTCTGCGCGCCCGCCTTGAGCGAGCGCCGCGCCCCTCGCGAGAGAGGGGGCGACGCCCGCTTCCCGTGGTGCCGTCCCGCCTCGTGCTGCCCTGGCGGACGGCGCGGCGGGACGGTCGAGCGGCGGCGCGGCGTAAACTTGGAGAGAAGAGAGGGACGAGGTCGCGCGCGCTCTCGCTCGCGCGCTGAGAGAAAAAGCTGCGACTCGTCTGAGGGTCACGCTCGTCCGGTTGCATTGCAGGCGGGCCTACACGGGGCTATACAGAGAGAACGAAAGGCGCGCGCGACTGACCCGAGGCGGGAATGCCGCCGACCGCCGCTCCCGGGCCCCTCGTCGAGTCGCTGCGTCTGCGCTCGCTCGACGTTCCTCGCTCGGCGGTCGCCTGTCGCCCACCCAGAGAGCCGCACTCTCGCCATCGCTCGGCCCTGGCGATGAGGTGCCGGCCCTCGACGGCTTGTGCCGGACGAACCTCCTCTCGCTCGTCCTCCTCGAGCTCTTGCGCAGCGAGCGCACGCACGGAGACAGAGACAAAGAGACAAAGCAGACGGATGCGGGTTGATGACGATGGCGGGAGAATGACGAGGGGGCAGCTACCAAGGGAAGCAGAGACAAGGGAAGGTTCGAGGAGAAGAAGCGCAAGCAAGAAGCTGAGCCGCGCGTGGTGGGTGCCGTCTTGCGCCTTCTTGACGACGACGAGGTTGACGACGTGCACGTCGATGGACGCCTAGACGCCGTTCTCGAGGGCGGCGCTGGCGAAAGGGCCAGCGAGAGGCGGGTCGAGCGGCGCAGGTGGGTCGGCGGCGGCGAGCTCGTACCGGCTCTGGATCTGTGCGCGGACTCGACAAGGCTGAGTCAGGTCGACGAACAGGCGCTCAAAGAGCCGACAATGAGAGGAGGACGAGGCGACGCACCGTCTGGAGCAGCGTGAGGAACCACGGGACGGCCGCCTCGAGCTGCTCGAGCGCCTCGGGGTGGTCGTACAGCCGCAGGCGAGGCGGATACGTTGCGTCGCGCATCGCTCGAGCCATGAGGACCTGAATCTGCGGCGAGATGTCGTCGAGAGGCTGTGCGCGCGCCATGTCGCTGTCCGCAGTCAGTCGCTGCGCCCGAGAAGGGAGCCCGAGCCGACAGGGTAGGGCGAGAGGGGGGCGCACCTGCGAGAAGAGGTCCCACACGCCCTTGTGGCGCTCGCCGAGCTGCGGCTCGTCGTCGGCCGCACGCGTCTCGTCGTTGACGGGCACGCCGTCGCGCTCGCTCGCCTCGACGCACCGCCGCCGCGCCATCTTGCACACGGCCTCGAGCTTTTTGCGCTCGGCACGACGACGCTCCTTGTTCTGCGCGACGCGAGAGAGAGAAGGACGAGGGAGAGAGGGAGAGCGTCAGGGTCGGTCGAGGAGAGAGGGAAGGGGAGGAACGAGCCGGGCTCGTGGACGCACCTCCTCGGTGTCGTCCTCGTCGGCCAGGTCCTCGTGGCGCGAGCGCTTGCGGCTCGGGCGACTGGGCGACTGAGGCGTCGCGCCCGAGCCCGGCGGCGCCCTCGACTCGTCTGCGGCCCCCTCGTGCGCGTCGTCGACCTGCGCGCTCTGGCCCTCGGGACCCGCCGCCGCCGCCGCGGCCGTGCCCGACAGCGACTCGCCCCTGACGGCGCGCAGTACCTCGTTGAGCTCGTCGGGCTCGCTCTGCGCCGGCTGCGCCGCGCCGTCCCTCTCGCGCTCCTCGATCTCGCGCCGGCCCTTTTCGCGCTCGACCTCCTCGCGGTCGCGGTCGCGCCGGGCGAGCTCGTCGCGCTCGGTGTGCCTGCGCGCCTCGTCGGCGAGGTCGCGCTCGCGCTCGCGGACGGTGACGACGCGGCGCTCCTCGACGGCGAGCTCGCGCTCGAGCGTCGCGAGGTCGTTGGCCTCGCGCCAGTCGAGGACGGCGTCGGTCGTGTGGCGCACGCGCGCGACGAGGGCGTCGGTGCCGCCGACGGCCGTGACCCACACGCGGCGGCGGCCGGCGAGCAGGTTCGGGTGCTCGAGCGACACGGCGTGCAGGTCGGCCGCGAGGTCGAGGAGCGAGTTGACGAAGCGCAGCTCGAGGTGCGTGTACTGGGCGCGCAAGGGGGCGAACGTCTTGGGGCTGACGGACCGCGCGAGGTACAGGAGCGGGATCGACAGGTCGTTCGGGTCGAGCGGCGGATCGGCTGGGGCGGCGGCTGGGGCGGCGGCTGGGGCGGCGGCTGGGGCGGCGGCGGCTGGAGGCGCGACAGGCTCGGTCGAGCTGCGCGCCGAGGCGGGGGGCGGACCGTACCCGTTGGACGACGCGGCGTGTGGAGGAGGGGGAGGACGGGCGTAGTAGTCGTGCGCGGCGGGTGGAGGAGGCGGGCGGCCGTAGTAGTCGGCGTGAGGCGGGGCGTACGGGTCGCGCGGCGGCGGGTAGGCGGCGTACTGCGGACGTGCGTATGGGTCGTGCGGGTGCGGGGGCGGGTAGGCGCCGTAGCCCCTGGGCGGGTAGTGCGGCGGGTAGGCCGGTGCGTGAGGCGGCGGCGGCGCGGCGTACGGGTCGTGGTAGGCGTGCGGGTGCGGGTGAGTGGCGTAGTGTGCACGGTACGGGTCGTCGACGGGGTGGCCAGGGTAGTAGGGGGCGCGGTCGTCGTAGTGGTTGCGGCGCGAGGCGTAGGCGGCGGCGGTGGCCGGGTCATGGTCGTGCGGGTGCGGCTGGTCGCGGGCAGGGTCGCGCTCTTGCTCGTTGGGGACGGGTACGAGGGGCGGCGAGCCTTGCGGGCCTGCTGGCGGTGAGCGGTCGGGCTGGGTGTCGGAGGTGGGCGGCGGGAAGGACGAGTGGTGGCTCATGGTGCGCGCGAGCTCAAGCGGGGTGGCAGAGCGCACCCGGGGTACAAGGTGTGGCCGTGCTCTGTGTACCAGGCGAGCGTCGAGCGGGGTCGAGTGAAGGTGAGCGACCGTCGACAGAGATGAAGCTGGTTCGACCCTCTTGCTCTCCACCTCTCGCCTCTCGAGCACCTGCCAACTGCTCACATGGCTCGACAGGCTGCTACTGTCTCCGGCGTGTGGAAGAAGGACTCGGTCAAGGTCCGTCTCGCCCTCTCCTCGTCCTCATCTCTCCCCCCCCCCTCCCCCTCCACTCACCGTCCCGTCTCCCCCTCCAACAGGACGTCGCAGAGTCGCTCGGCATCGCCAACCTCCCAGACGACGTCGCACAAGCACTCGCAGGCGACGTCGAGTACCGCCTGTGGGAAATCATAGAGGTCCGTCCCCCCCGCTCCCCCTCCCAGCGACAACCACACCTGACCGCGCCCCTCCCCCTCGCCGACACAGGAGTCGATCAAGTTCATGCGCCACTCGCGCCGCACCCGCTTGAAAGTCGACGACGTCGACGAGGCCCTCAAGGTCCGCAACCTCGAGCCCCTGTGGGGGTTCGCCGCCTCGTCGCACCAGCCCTTCAAGAAGACCGTCACCGCGACCGGCACCGTCTACCACGTCGACGACGACGAGATCGACCTCAGCCGCGTCATCAAGACCGACGTGCCGCCCGTCCCGCGCGACATCAGCTTCACCGGCAAGCCCCTCGAACTCGCTCTCTCGCTCTCGATGCGCACGAGTCACTGACGAGCCTCTCTCCACGCGCAGCACATTGGCTCGCGATCGAGGGTGTGCAGCCCTTCATCAAGGAGAACCCGACCCCGCAAGGTGCGCTGCCCCCGTTCCCTCTCCTCTCTCGAGCGTCTGCCCTGACTCGCCGCTCCCCTCGGTCCCACAGAGCTCGCCAAGTACGCGCCAAAAGCGGCCACGACATCCCTCATCCCGACCGCATCGACCTCGTCCGGCGGTCCCGCGTCGGCCGTCACCCCGCTCGTCAAGCACGTCCTCTCGCGCGAGCTGCAGCTGTACTTTACCCGGCTCGTCGACGCGCTCGGATCCGACTCGGCGGCGTCGTCGTCGACGGCAGGCGGGGCAGCGGGAGCAGGGCAGGGCGAGACGAGCTCCGAAGTGAGGGAGGCGGCGCTCGGGAGCGTGCGCAACGACCCGGGCCTGCACCAGCTCGTGCCGTACTTGATCTCGTGGGGCGGCGAGCAGGTGCGTGCCTCACTCTCTCTCTGTCTCTCTTCCGTCTCTCCCGTTCCTCGCTAATTCAAGCTCCCTTCCACAGATCGCCAACCACCTGCACGACCTGCCGGCGCTGCAGCGCGCGCTCGACCTCTTCCACGCCATGCTCGAGAACCCGACCCTCTTTGTCGAGCCGTACCTCCACCAGCTCACTCCCCCAATCCTCACCTGCCTCCTCACGAGCGCGCTCCCGCCCGTCCCGAGCGGCACGTACCCGTCCCCACCGACGATCCGCACCCTCGCCGCCTCGCTCCTCCACCTCGTCCTCGAGCGTCACGCGTACGCCTACCCGTCGCTCCTCCCGCGCGTCACCAAGACGCTCCTGCGCGGCCTCGCCGGCGACGCGCGCGGGCTCGGCGGCCGCTGGGGCGCCGCGAGGGGCCTCGGCGGCGTCGTCGTTGGCGTCGGCGCCGAGCCGGCGCAGCAGCAGCATGGGGCGGGTGGTTCGGGCGCAATGGGCGGCGCCGGCGGGAACAAGGCGGTGAGGGAGTGGATCGGCGGCGGGCTCAAGGCGCTCGGCGAGATGATCGAGGGCGAGGAGGAGACGTACGACGGCGAGAGGGGCGAGCTCGTGCGCGAGGTCTTCGTGCGTCCTCGGCTCTCTTTTATCAGGACAGCTTCTGCCCTCGTCGCCATTCGGCTGCGAGGATGAAGCTGTACTTGTCCTCGAAGTAGCTGACACTCGTTGCCCCGTCCTCGCGCAGAACGTCCTCCGCGCCTCTCTCCTTCCGCAACCGCCCTCGTCCTCCACCGCCGCCTCCTCTCCCGCACCCTCACTCGACACCCTCGCCTCGCAGCACGGCGCCCTCTTTGCGTCCTACATCCGCGACCAGTGGAGCACGGGCGGCGGGCGCGAGGTGCACGAGGCGGTGACGGGGATCCAGGCTGCGCCCGAGGCCGAGGACGACGTCGAGGCGGACGAGGACGATGAGGGAGATGCTGAGGGCGACGACGACGACGACGACGACGAGCGGAGCGCGATGGAGGAGTGAGTCGCCGCTTCGAAGGAGCGAGCGCACTGCAACGACGTCTCTCTCGCTCGCGACTCTTGGGACACGGCGCGCTCGACGGCGCCAGAAAGCTGAGCAGGCTCTGCATTGCGAGGAGAGCGACGGGAGGGCGGGTTGAGCGCAGGATGCATGACGAGGCGAGCGACGCAGCAGAGTCGGCCAAGGCCGAGTTCACTCAACCCGGAGCCGCGCGTCGAGGTGGACGACGAGGGGAGGAAGCGAGGGCAGGGCTTGCTCGACGAGGAGGTGCGGCTGTCGAGAGCGTGGCTTGTGCAGTTCGAGAGCAGCGGAGGTTGAGAGAGGGAACCGTGCGGCGAGAGCGAGGGCGAGATCGGCCAAAAAGGCGACAGGCGCGGAGGAGAAGGGGGGCGCGTGGGTGTTGTCCTCCTCCTCCCTCTCTCTCGCTCCACCACCAGCGCCACAGCACCCACGCAGAGCTACAGCTTGTCGACTAGCTGCACCCACACCGCCACTCGCACCACCGCCCCGAGCCCCTCGTCTCGCCCGCCGTCCCCCCCAGGCGAACCCGGCTCTCGTCCTCCCCCTTCGATCTTGGTCGCCCAACTCGGCCACACCCTCTCTTCACGGCGCCACCTCTGCGCACCACCACCACCACCACCACCACCACACCAGCCCTTACCATGAAGGCCACCACCTTCCTCGCCGTCGCCGCCGCCCTCTCGCTCCCCCTCGTCGCTCAGGCCCACGGCCCCGACTCGGCCGCCCACTCGCGCCGGTTCAACCGCGTCCTGCGCGGGCCCGACGACGCCCCGGTCATCGACCTCGAGCTGAGCGACCCGGCCCACAAGGCCGACTTTGCCGTCCGCAACGCGAGCCTCGTCGCCCAGGGCGACTCGTCGTCCGACGGCCAAGAGCTCCACAGCCTGTCCAAGCGCGGCTACAACGGCAGGGCCACCTTCTTCGAGCCCGGCTTGGGAGCGTGCGGCACCTACAGCGGCGCGGGCGACTTTGTGCGTCCCGCCTCTCGCTCGCCGTCCTCGCGCGGCCGTTCGACCCTGGGTCGTCCGGTCGGGCGTGCTTGTTGTCGGCTTTCGGAACTCACACTCGCTCCGCGTCCTCTGCAGATGGTCGCCATGAACCAGGCCCAGTATGGGGACCTCGGCGCCGTCTCGTCGTGGTGCTTCCAGACCATCACCATCTCGTACGGTGCGTCGGCTCGTTCCTCCCTCTCGTCGTGCCGTCCTCCGTCGAGCAGCACTGACCCGAGCCCTCCTTCCGTCTCACAGGTGGCAAGACGGCCAACGTGCGCTCCTGCTCCTCGGTACCTCTCTCGCCTCCCTCGTGCTGACCCGCCCTCCCTCTCCCGCAACAGGCCCAGGTCCTCGACGCGTGCCCCGGCTGCCCTTACGGCGGCCTCGACATGTCGCCCGCCCTCTTCCGCCACTTTGCCGACGAGTCGGTCGGCGTCATCTACATGAGCTGGTCGGCTGGCGGCGGCGGCGGCGGCAACAACAACAACGACGACCAGAAGAAGAAGGAGGCGGCGGCAGCGGCTTCGTCCTCGTCGGCAGCAGCAGCATACGGTGCGTCTCGTCGTCTACATCGTGTCGGGCGCGCAGAGGAGCAGGCCCTGACCTTCCGTTCCCGTCCTTGCAGCTTCGTCCCAGTCGGCTGCCGCCGCATGGGCCTCGTCCTCGTCCTCGCGCGCCGCCGCATGGGCCTCGTCGTCGTCCCAGCGCACAACGCGTGGCTCGCGTCGTCCAGTTCGTCCGCCGCTGCCGCCGCCGCTTCGTCCGCGAGCGCCCAGAGCGCGGCGGCTCAGGCGGCTCAGGCCTCGCGCGCATCGGCCCAGTCGGCGGCGTCGGTCGCGTCGGCTGCGGCTGCTGCCCAGTCGTCGGACGCTGCGCTGTCGGCCGCCGCTGTGTCGGCTGCTTCGGTCGCGAGGTGCGTCCCTCTTTCCCAGAGTCGACGACCCGAGGGGGAACTTTACTCACGCCTTCTTGCCTGCCTCGCAGCGTCGCCTCTGCCGCCGCCGAGTCGGCTTCGGCCATCCCGAGCGCGACCATGTCGTCGTCCGCGAGCCTCGTGTCGGGCTCGGCCTCGGCCTCGGCGTCCAGCTCGGGCGGCGCCGTCGCGCCCGTCAACGTCGCGGCGCCGGCCATCCCTGCCGGCGCCGTCGGCGGCAACCTCGACAGCATCGCGCAGCTCGTCATTGCCATGGGCAACGTCGTCGCCGCCAAGGCCGCCAACGCCGAGTAATCGTCCCTCACCTTTCCGCAACCTTGTTCCGCCGCAAGCGCCCCCTCTCACGCCCCGCCCTTAACCTTAACGAGATACCCCCCTCCCCTTGTCCTCGCCCTGTCCCTATACCCCCTCTCCCCCTTTCCCCTCTTGTCCCCCTCGTCACGCCGTTGCCCTCCCGCGCGCGCTCGTTCGCAGCGCGGTCCGAGTTGCGCCGGCTCTTTCCCTCGTCTTGTTCTGCCCCTCCTGTGCCGCGATGTGTATGCAACGGTGAGCTCGTCCTTGCTCTCGTGAGCGCGAGCACCAGAGAACGAGAGGCCGCTCGAGCTGGCTGCCCCGACTTGGCCGCGAGGGCGACGTTCGCCTGTCTTCCTTCTCTCCCTCACCTCGTCTCGCCCCGCTCGCCGACGCTGGGCCCTGAGAAGCTTCAGAGCATCGAACACAGCTCTGCGCCCGCCCTCCTGCGCCGCCCGACCGCCCACGAGCCGTCCTCGTCCCTCATCTCCGCTCAGGCCCCGACCTCGTCCACCTCGCCCCGCCTCGTCACGGCTCCCGGCGGTCCTCGGCACGGTCGTACACGCCTTCAAGGGATCGGCTGCAGCGCGCCATACTCGGCCCGCGTCGTCTAGCAGGTGCGTCGCCTGCTTCCCTCGAGCTCTCGGTCGCGAGCGGGGCGGCTCCTGTTGCTCCCCTCGAAGGACCGTGTCGCTGACATGCATGCGGGCACAGCATACTCGACACTCGCACGAGCAGTCGCAGCACACTCACACGCCAGCTCGACCTGTGCACCTCGGTCATTCGCGCCTCTCGCCTGCACCCTCGCCGCCACTTCTTCCTCTCGCCATGTCGTTCAACCCTCGTCCTGAGCCCTACCGCTACGAGCAGCACCGTCCCGGCGGCTACGACCCGCACAACGCACTTCTGGCGCCCAAGCTCGAGCCGTCGGCCAGCCCTCGCCGGTTCAACTTCTCGCCCTCGTTCTCGCCGACCGACTATCCCGAACAGCTCGGCCTGTACAACCCGTGCGACCCCGGCTACTCGGCGTCGACGTCGGGTCCGTCGAGCTTCGAGTCGGGCGGGCACGACAACCGCGAGCGGCAGGCGGGCCCGAGCGGTCAGAACACGTCGTCGCAGCCCCAGCAGCCCCAGCAGCCCCAGCAGCACGGCCCGCCGCCCATGAGCATACGTGCTCGCAAGCATGGGGCCGGCAAGGCGAGGCCGAGGGGCGGCAAGGTCGAGCGCGCGCGGCGCGAGAACGCCCTCGCGCGCTCGCAGCAGCAGCAGCAGCAGCAGCAGCAGCAGCAGCAGCAGTAGCGCAACCAGCACGAGGACCACTTTGCGCCTCGCCAGCAGCAGCGCATGGTGCCCCTCGACGACCTCCTCGCCGAGCGCAAGGGTCGCCTCAGCGCCGAGCGGTGGGCGGGCGAGGCGGACGAGGCGCGCGACGAGGCGCTCAGGGCGCGCGACGAGGCGGTCAAGGCGCGCGAGAAGGCTGAGGAGGAGCTGAGCGAGCTGCAGGACGACCACGGCCGGCTCGTCAGGCTCGTGAGCGCGGTGTGGGGCGCGAGGGAGGGCCAGGCGTGAGCGAGGGAGAAGGAGGAGAAGCTGTCGCAGGAGGGTCAGTCGCTTGAACCGTCGTCTTTTCGTCTTCTCCGTACATGTAGATCGTCCCTCTCGTGCTCGTGTGTGCAATCATTCAATCCGTGTCTGTGAGAAGCGGCTTCGCCGAGCTCGTCGCTGTCGTTGCTCGGTCCGCCAGCTTCTCTGCTTCTCGCTCTCAGCCTCCCTCGGCCCTCGTCGCTCTCCGAACGAGTCATAGCCTTCTCGCTTCTCGCCGTCTACCAGGCCGCCGTCCCTCCCGCACGCACCGCCCTTGCGACGCCCTCGTCGCCGCGCCGCCGAGCCAAACTCACTCGCCCTCCTCGCCATCGCCCCATGTCGCACGAGTACTCGCCCGCCCTCCGCACCATCGCTCTCACCCACCCAACGCCCGCCGAGCGCTACTGGCAAGCCTGCGCCCTCGTCGCCGAGCAGCACACGGCGCAGTGGCACGCGGCGTACACCTCGGCCGCCGACCGCGCTCAAGTCGCCGAGCGGGCACACGCCCGAGAGCGGGAACGCACGCGCGACGCGATCAAGTACGTCGAGACGGGCACCGCGATCGGGCAGAAGATGAAGGAGGCGCAGCGGCGCAAGGAGGAGGTCGAGAGGGAGCTTGCGATGACGAGGAACGCGCTCGTGGACGAAATGAGGAGGAACAGCGAGTTGCGGCGGCGCGTCGAGGAGCTCGAGGGAGAGAAGGAGGTGACACAGGAGGCGGTCGGACACGCGCTGGGGCTCGTCGAGGCGGCACTGGCTCGCAGGAAGGCGAGGTCCGAGGAGCATGCGAGGGAGGGTTTGTGAGGTGGGCTTGCTGCAACGTCGCACGGGGCCGAAGAATGTCGAGCTTGCGACTGTGAGCGAGAGAGAAAGCGAGCGCGAGTGTCCTCGAGCCAAGCCGGTCGAGAGCCGTCGCCAACCTCGCGAGCTGACCTTCTCAAGTACGGCTCGGAGCCGAGCAGCCCGCCCTGGCGCCGAGAAAGCCTCGCGGCGACAGCAGACGTCCTACAGAGGACGTACTCGACGAAGCAAGTCGGTCGGCGCTAATGCCGACCGTCGAGAGTCGCCGACGTCTTCCCGCTCCTGCTCGAGCGTCTCGTCGTCCCCTGAGCTTTCCTCTGCGACGAATACGGCCCAGGTTGCTCTCGAAGCACAGTCAAAGACGTGTGTACACTGTTGGTTGCAAGCGGCGGCCCCCCTCGACACAAACTCGCCGTACAAGGCTCCTCGAGGCTCAAACGATGTCGCCGACGTTGATGGCTGAGGACGAGTCAGCAAGGACGTGGATGCGAGGCAGAAGGCGGACTTACGCATTTCGTCAATCTGAGTAGCGTAGTGTTGCTCCAGGTCCCTTAAAATCTATGCGGAATGCGTGTAGCGGCGTCAGTAGAGCGTCCGGGAGGAGTGGGAGGACGAAACGAGCGCTGCGGGCTCACCTTGATGTCCTCGTTGGTCGCGAACTGCACGACGCATGTGTCAGGACCGTGCACACACGCAGGAGGCACAGAGAGAGAGAGAGAGGGGACGCACGTTGATGGCGACGCCCTTGCGGCCAAAGCGGCCCGAGCGGCCGATGCGGTGGATGTAGTTCTCGCGACTCGGGAGGTCGTAGTTGATGACGAGCGACACCTGCTGCACGTCGATGCCGCGGGCCCACACGTCGGTCGTGATGAGGACGCGCGACGCGCCCGAGCGGAACTCGCCCATGATGGTGTCGCGCTCCTTTTGCGGCATCTCGCCGTGCATCGACGAGACGGTAAAGTTGGCCTCGCGCATCTTCTCGGTCAACCAGTCGACCTGTGGAACGTGAGCGAGGGCGAGGGCGAGGGCGAGGGCGAGGGCGAGGGCGAGGGCGAGGGCGAGGGCGAGGGCGAGGGCGAGGGCGAGGGCGAGGGCAGGAGAGGGCGAGAGGAGAGAAAGGTCAGGAACGGCGTCGAGACGACGAGGGCGAGGAAGGACGGCGAGGACGCACCTTCCGACGCGTGTTGCAGAAGATGACGGCCTGGGTGATGGTGAGCGTGTCGTACAGGTCGCACAGGGTGTCAAACTTCCAGTCCTCCTTCTCGACGGCGACAAAGAACTGCTTGATGCCCTCGAGCGTCAACTCGTCGCGCTTGACGAGGATCCGGACCGGGTCCGTCATGAACTTGGTCGTCATCTCGAGGACGTCGTGCGGGAGCGTGGCGCTCAGGACGACGACCTGGGTCTGCGGCGGGAGGTACCGGTACACGTCGTAGATCTGGTCCATGAAGCCCTTGTTGAGGAGCTCGTCGGCCTCGTCGAGGACGAGCATCTTGATGTTGCGCGTGCGCAGGTGCCGGCGCTTGATCATGTCAAACACGCGCCCGGGCGTGCCCGACACGATCTGCTGGCCGTGCTCGAGCTTGCGGATGTCCTCGCCGATCGACGTGCCGCCGATGCACGCGTGGCACGACACGTTCATGTAGTCTGCGCCGGCTCGAAAACAAGCGTCAGTGACGATGCTCTGTCTCGGTGAGAGAGAGAGGGCGAGGGACGCACCGCCGAGAGCGAGGATGACGCTCTGGATCTGGGTCGCGAGCTCGCGCGTGGGCGACAGGACGAGGGCCTGCGTCTCGCGCACCGACGAGTCGATCGACTGGAGCATCGAGATGGAGAACGTGGCCGTCTTTCCGGTACCGGATTGTGCCTGCGGGGCGAGCGAGCGTGAGTTTCGTGCGCTCGAGGCGGGTCCGAGCGAGCGAGGGAGGGGTGCGCACCTGGGCAATGACATCGCGGCCCTTGGTGACGGGGAGGATTGCACGCTGCTGGATGGCCGAGGGCTTCTCGAAGCCTGCAGGTAGCTTGAGGGTGAGCGAGACCGACGACGAGAGAGGTGGGAGAGAGTGCGGCGCACCGTAGGCGTAGATGCCGCGCAGGAGGTCCTCCTTGAGGCCGAGCGAGTCAAAGGTCGGGGCCTGTGGGAGCAAGTTTGGGTCAATGGGCGAGTCCGAGAGTACGGTGGGCGTGCGAGAGGAGGAGGAAGACGCACGACCGAGACGGACTCGGACGTCTCGAACACGAGCTTGTTGTCCTTTGTGCGGTCGATCTGGGTGCGGGATGGTGGTCAGTGGGGGGGTTCTGACCGAGTCTAGACCGGTGCTCGCGGCCCAGAGAGGGAGTGCGGGCGGGGAGCGGCGAGTGCTGATGGGGAGACGAGGGGAAGGAGGCGGAGTGATGCGGCGCGAGGTGGCTGTGGCGACGGGCGGGAAACGGGTGGACGGCGAGGGGACAGGTTCGACGTACCGACATGATGCTCGCTAGTCGGCTCTGTGCTTGAGCGAGATGAGCGGGAACTAGTCGCCTCCTCCTCCTCCTCCTCGTCGTCTCCACCTCTCTCGCTTCTCTACCCACACCGGCTACCCCCGCCTAGCTCGCCCCACAGCCATGGCCAGCAGCGTCATCGAGGACGCACGCGGTCTCGCAGAGGACCAGGACCTCTTTGAGCGCACCCTCGCCTCGCTCCTCGTCTCGCTCGACCTCCCGGCCCAGCCCCACCGCGACCGCCTCGCACGCTCGCACCGCGCACACGACCTCGCAAACCGCATCGTGCACCGCAACCAGGCCCTCGCCGTCGCCCTCGCCCCGGACAACGACGACCGCCAGCGCGAGATCGACGCCCTCTCTGGCGGTGGTCAACCGGGCCAGGACCTCGCAGAGTTCTACCAACGCCTCGCCAAGCTCAAGGACTACCACCGCAAGTACCCGGACCAGGGCCAGGCTCGCATCGCCGGCGACCGCGACGTCGACTTCGGCGCCCTCGAGCACGGCGACCCAGAGTGGCTCGACAAGCGCTTCACCGGCGACGAGGGCCTCGGCCGCTACCTCGACCTGCACGAGCTCCACGACCAGTGGAACAACCTCGCCCCCGCGTCGAGCAGCGGCCAGGCGAGCGCAGGCGGCTGGCGCCGCTACTCGTACCTCCAGTACCTCGCCGCCCTCACCGACTTTAACCTCTCGCGCCAGCTCAAGGCCCAGCCCGCCTACGCCACCTACCTCACCGACCTCCTGTCGTACCTCTCGGGCTTCTACGAGCGCGTCCTCCCCCTCGGCGACCTCGACGCCGTCCTCGAGGCGGCAGATGCCGCCTTTGCGCGGCGGTGGGACGCGGGCGAGGTGCTCGGGTGGGCGCAGCAGGCAGAAGGGACGGGGGAGGGCGAGGGCGACGACAAGAAGGCCGAGGGTGAGGGCATCTGGTGCGCAGCCTGTGCGTGTCGTCCTTTCCTCCTCGTCTGGCTCCTCCTTGGTCCCGCACTGACCCTGTCTCTCTCTGTCTCGACAGGCCAAAGATCCTTCTCGAAAGAGTCGGTCTACTCGGCGCACCTGACGGGCAAGAAGCACGTCAAGGCGGCCGCCAAGCTCCAGTTCGGCTCTGAAGCCCTCTCGGCGCACCCGACCGCGTCCTCCTCTTCCTCCACCGCCCCTCCCACCTCCTCGACCTCGTCCCTCGCCTCTCTCCGACACGCCAAGAACCGCGCGCTCGCCCTCAAGGAGGCCCTCATCACGGCGCTCGTCTCGCCCGTCGCACCCGTGCTCGACGGCGCAGCAGCAGCAGCAGGAGCAGCACCAGGCGCGACCGCGCCCGGGCCGCTTGCGGGCATCCTCGCCGACACGCAGGCCAACACGGAGCGGCGTGCGGCCCTGACGGACAAGGAGCGCGCGGCCGAGGCCGAGGAGCTCGAGGCGCGCGAGGCGGCCGAAGCGGCGGCGGCGGCCGCAGCGGCGTCGGCGTCGGGCAAGGGCGGTGCGGGCGCAGGTGACGGCGACGACGACGAGGACGACGAGGCGCGCATCTACAACCCGCTCAAGCTGCCCTTGGGCTGGGACGGCAAGCCGATCCCCTACTGGCTCTACAAGCTGCACGGGCTCGGCGTCGAGTACAAGTGCGAGATCTGCTCCGACCACGTCTACCAGGGCCGGTCCGTCTCTCTCTCTCTTTCTCTCTCCCCTCTCTATCTCGCGAAGAGGTCGCAGAACTGACCCTTTCGTCGAGCGCGCCGCAGCAAAAACTTTGAGCGCCACTTCCAGGAGTCGCGCCACGCGTTCGGCATGCGCGCTCTCGGCTTGCCCAACACGAAGCACTTCCACGAGATCACGCGCATCGAGGACGCCATCGCTCGTGCGTCCTCCCCTCCTCCTCCCCTCTCCCTCCTCGTTCTCTCGCTCCCGGCCTATTCTCCTTTCCCTTCCTCCCGCGCACCCGCACAGTACCTGACCTACCTCTCTCGATGTCACACAGTCGCCGAGAAGCTCAAGCAGGAGGGCCGCGCCGAGCTGAGCCACGCCGAGCTCACCGAGGAGCTCGAGGACGAAGAGGGCAACGTGTACAACCGCAAGACGTACGAGGACCTCAAGCGGCAGGGCTTGGTCTAGCACGAGTGCGCGAGGGCTGCAGTGCATGTTTATGCGGCGAGGGACTCGTGTGCGCGGGTTCAAGCGAGAGGACGAGAGATGCTCCAAGCGGCTCGAGCGGGACCTCTCTCTCGGCGGGCTCTCTCTTTCTCGCTCTCGCTCTTGGACACTCTCGGTCTTGCTCCTCGTCCACATCTCTCGCTGCTCGGCTCGGACGTGCGCTCGTTCGCTCCAGTGACAGGGCGTGTTGCGAAGGCGACGAACTACAAGCCGACGAGTCGCTCTGCTCCGAGCTCAGCAGTACCGATCACTGCGAGGAAGAAGACAGTGTCAGTACGTGCTCGTCGAGTCGAGAGGCAGGTCAAGAGACAGAAGAGAGAGAGCCGGCGCACCTCTTGAGCTTGGCGCGGCGGTCGAGCATGGCCTCGGCGAGGCGGCCCTCCTTGCGCGCCTTCTTGAGGTTGCGGACGTCGTCGGCCGTACCGACCGAGGACGAGCCTTGACCGTGGCGATGGAAGCGCTTGCTGCGAGAGGGCGAAAGAGAGAGGGGGAGGGGAGGGAAGTACTCGGGTCAGTGCGTGTTCGCTCAGGAGAGGGACGAGGGAGAGTTGGACGTACATGGCGTCGACCTCGGCGCCTGCGAGGTCGGTGACGACCGTGTAGCCGGCGTCAGGCTTGGTCTTGATGCCGTTGCGCTCGTTGAACTGCTGCTTGGCCTTGACGACGTACTCGCCCTGCATCATGATCTGCCACCGCTCCGTCTCGCCCTCCTTGTCCTCGTCGGCGCGCAGCTCGACCTTGCCGCCGGCGACGACGTCGACCGACAGGTACTTGCCGTACGCGCTGCGGATCGCCATGCGGTCCCGCTTGCCCTCGACCGCCTCGAGCGTCCACTCCTCCTGCATGCCGCGCGCCTCGCGCTCGGCGCTCACGCGCCCGAGCTCGTCGCTCGCGAGGAACCGGCCCGCCCCGCTGCGCAGCGTCACCTTGTCGTTCGAGTCGAGCACGCGCGCGCACACCCACACGTGGTGCACGTCGCTCGGCTCGTACTGGTCCTCGTGCGCGCCGCCCCCTGCTGCGCCGCCCGCCTCGGCCGCGTCGACGAGCGCCTCGAGCTCGTCGGCGTCGAGGCCCGCGAGCGCGGACGCTGGCAGTGCCGCCGCCCCACCGCCGCTGCCGCTCCCGCTCGCACTCGCGCCCGGCGCCGGGAGCGCGTGGGCGTACACCTTGCCGGTGGTCGGGTTGGTCGCGACGCAGACTGGCGGGGTGAGGTCGGTGGCGGGGAGGACGAGGTAGCTCGGGCCGAGGAGGAGCGCGGGCGAGGGGGCGGGGAGCCACCCTTCAAGGTGGGCGTCCGGGTCGGCGCGCGAGCTCGAGCTGCCGCCGTGTGACGATGACGAGGGCCGCGATGTCGACTTCTTCTTCTTTTGGGGCTTGTCGCCCTTGAACTTGAGGCCCATGGCGAGGGGTGAGGGAGAGGCGGAGGTTGGAGCTGATGAGGATGAGAGCGGGTCGGCACGAGCCGAGGTGGCGTGGGGTGAGGCTGTGGCGGTGCTCAAGTGTGCTGTACGCCTGCTGCTCGTGCAAGCGGCGAGGTCTCGGGGCGAGAGCGAGGTGGAGAAGGCGAGAGGACGAGAGGCGAGCGGGCGACGAGGCGGTGAACCGACTCTCGCTCAACAGGGGGTCTGGCTAAGCCGCTCGTTGGCTAGATGAAACTATCTTCAGTGCACTGCGAGTCGAGGCTGACCCTCTCGACTGTGCGCGCGAACGAGAGCATGTGGCGGCCGCATGCTCGCCAGAGCCGCGGCGCGCGAAGGATAGGAACGACTGTGCAGGTGCAAAGAGAGAGCTACGACAACACGTGTGAAGGATGCACCGAAAGAAAGAGAGCCCGCCGCACGACCACGCCCGCTCCGACCTCCTCGTCCTCTTCGACTCGCGCAGGTCCAGCCTCGCACGAGCCCGTCGCCCGCTCCGCCGCGCAGCCTCACCTCCCAGGCAGGCGCAGCGTGTCGTCCCACGGATGACGGACGATGGCGTCGTACAGGTCGGCCGGGAGGACGCCGATGAACTGGACGACGAGGGGGATGATCTCGCGCGAGCGCAGGGGCGGGAACGTGCGCAGGAGCTTCATGGGCCTGTAGACGTGGGACAGAGGGTCAGGACTGCGGCACCACGCGCGCCAGGTACCGGCCGACCTCGCTCGGAGCGGGCGAATCGACCGACACCGCGACAAGAGAACGCCGCGACAAGAGAGGACGATCCTGACGCACGATTTCTCCGCCAGCAGTGCCTCCCGCATCGCGACGAGCTGCGCGACGACGCACAGGACGTTGAGGCCCGGTCCCCACGCGAGGAGAAAGTCCCACAGCTCGAGTACCTCGCGCAGAGGAGGCGTCGCGGCGCAGAAGGTGAGGATCGAGGGGAAGGCGTAGATCTCGGCCGTCAGGTTGGACGCGACGAGGTGGGCGTAGAGTGGTGGGTCGATCGAGGCGAGGCAGAGGTCGACGAGCTGCAGGTGCATGCACAGAGTCAGCGCCGGGCTCGAAAGGAGCATCCTGGTCGAGTCCGTCGAGCGACGAGCGCGCTCGTCTCGAGGGCTGTCGCCGCTTCGCATGAACGTAGGAGGAGGAAGTTGGGACGCACATGAAGGGCATCGTGAACGCCGACGAGGGTGGGCTGAACGTAGCGCGGGACCTGGCGCTCGACAAAGGTGGTGAAGCACGCGAACGCCTCGAGCTGCGACGGGAGGACGTAGAGGAACGGGGCGGCGAGGACGTTGAGGCCCTGAACGTAGGGCACTTGCGGGTCGATGGACGACGGGATGCCCTGGTCGGCGTGGACCTGCTGGCGCCAGACGAAGGCCTCGAGGCAGCGCACGAGGCGCTCCTCGCCGACCTTGTCGAGGAACTCTTGGTCGGTGGCTAGGGTGCGGAACGTGTCGTTGCGGACCTTGCTGTACATGGGCGAAGGATCGCGCGAGCTGTGTCGTGGGCGGACGAGGAGTGTGCGGGAGAGGGGGGGGAAAGGGGAGGAGGGTGGCTCAAGCCGTCAGTCTGGGTAGATTCGGCACGAGAGGACACGAGAGGACGCACACGAGATCGAGGTAGGCTTGGGCATCAAGGAGAGGGTGCAGCTCGCCGTCTGGCACGACGTGGAGCTGCAGGAGGAGCTTCCACAGGTGCGGGCGCAACGCGTCGCCCTCGTCTCCGACCGGCAGCGAGTCGAGCAGGATGGTCTGTGGGAGGGGCTGAGTGTCAGCTGGGTCGAGACGCACGCACTCTGCGAGAGGGAGAGGACGCTGGATTCACCTTGCGGAGCTGGAGGAGGCGGTGCTGAGGCGGGGTGTGGGCGGGCGACTCGAGGAGGAGGCGCAGTCGGCTCGGTGGGCTTGCGGCAGCCATTGCGCGCGTCGCACAGGTGGCGCACAGCCTCTCAGGCGGGCGGGACGAGGAAGGACGACAGCCAACCTCGGTCTCATCTCGAGCCGGTGCTCGCTCTCTCGCCCACACGCTACCGGCCCCTGCTAGAGCTGTTGCTGCATCCGTGCCAAGCGCAGGGACATGCTGCATGGACCCGTCCCACCGCCCAGCTTGTCTTAGCTGTCCGTCTCCTCCTCATCCTCTCGCCCCCATTCCTCTCGCATCCTGCTCACCCTGTCACCCACACAGGCGCACAACGTGGGTCCACCAACCTCGACTGCGACGGCGGCCATCCCTGCACCCCCTGCCGCACCTCGAGCACCCGCTGCGCCTATCCTCGGCCTTCGACACCGCCCTCAGCTTGGACAAACATCGCCCCGCAAGCCGTCCAACGATGGCCCGAGTCGGTCCAGCTCGTCCCTGGCGAGGCGGCATCCTTTCGCCTGCGAGCCGAGCGCGACAAGGACGGCAACGTCGACGCCTTCAGCCGCGAGTGGGTCGTCAACCAGGACCAAGGTGCGCTCACCACTTCCCTCCTCGCGTCGCTTTCGTGTTCTGCGCCTGACCAGGTGTACCTCCACAGATCTACGGCTTCGAGCGAGGCGCGGCAAGACGAGCCTGCTGTTCCCGGCGTCAGTCGACGACCGAGACGAGGCAGAAGCGCTCGACCTCGAGGGCGACCCGCTCGACTTTGCCCGTGAGGGTCACGTTCTGCTCAACCTTGTGCGTCCCAGAACCCTTTGAGCACCTCGTGTCGAGCGTGCATGCTCACCTTGTCGCCCGGTCGCAGCACGACGTCCTCCGCCACGACCCGCTCCAACCGACCGTCGGCCTCAACGCGGCCATCCAGGACCGCCACAGCTCGTCGTCGAAGCAGACGCGCATCCTCCGCACGTTCGAGACTCGCGACCCGAACCTCGGCAACGTCCTCGCCGCGTGCGACGTCCCGCTCGACGACGGCGCGAGCTCGAGCAGCACGTGCGTCGCCTTCCGGCGTGCCGAGACGCCCGGCGGGCGCCCAACGGCGGTCGGCTGGGGCAGCTTTGCGCCCTTGCCGCGAGAGCTGCGCGCGCCGAGCCGCAAGGGCAAGGACCGCGAGCGGGACGGCGACGCGCGCGCAGGCTTCCGAGCCTCGACCGAGCCGCTCTTGACGAGCGCGCACCCGGTCCGCCAGGTCGAGCTCTCGCGCCTCGGCAGTAGCTCGTCGGCGCTCCTCGGCGTGCGGACGCAGGGCTCGCTCGACCTCGTCCACCTCTCCCTTCCCTCTCCCTCCTCGGATTTCGCCCACCCCCCGCCGCCGACAACCCTGTCGCGCTTCACATACACCGCCTCGTCCCTCTCTCGTCGCCCCATCGCCGACTTTGCCCTCAGCCCCGCCCTCGGCGCCGGCCTCGTCGTCGACACGACGGGCGCCCTGTTCGGCTGGGGCCTCGGCGCGAGAGGGTCCGGGCGCATCGGCGACCGGGACTGGCGCGGCGCGCAGCCCGACATGTTCCGCCTGAGGGGAGGGAGGAAGAAGGGCGAGGGAGGGTACAGCGGGCTGGCGCGTGTGCAGTGCGGCGGCGTGAGGGGGACGGACGCGGTCGTCGCGGTCGAGGACGAGATGCTCCTGTACGACCTACGAGTGCGTCTCCTTCTCTCTTCTCCATCTTGCCGTCCCGATTTGTCGACTGAACCATCGTGCGCCCACAGTCACCCAGAGCGTCACTCCAGCTCGTCGACCCGCACCTACTCGCTCAGCACCTCGCCCACGGCGAGACCGACCCCGCCCGCATCGTATCCCTCCTTCAGTGCACCCCTCCCACCTCCAACTCGTTCCTCTCATCGTCCACCTCGACCGCCCAGCACGTCGTCGCGACGACGCACGACGTCCTGTACCTCGACGAGCGTATGCCGTCCCGCGCGCTCCTGCGGTGGAAGCACGGCCGGTGCGGCCCCGAGTCGAAAGGCCTCGACCTCACCCTGTCGCTCATCGAGGTCCCGGCGCACGTCTGCGACTCGCCGCAGCGCGACAGCGTCGAGCCGGTCGTCGGTCGAGCAGCCCTCACCTCGCGCCTGCACCCGCACGTCGAGCTCTACACGACGCGCGCCGACCCGGCGCACGCGGCCCAGTTCGCGCTCGGCCCGTACGCGCTCGAGGGCCCGCGCTCGTCGGCGTCTGCATCGTCGCCGAGGTCCGAGCGCTTCACACGCGCCGGCACGGCGTTCGTCCCGCTCCCACCTCTCGCCACGAGCGCCGCAGCCGGCCCGTCCTCCTCGCGCGAGGCCATGGACGTCGACGGCCCGTCACGCTCGTCGAGCGACGAGGACGAGGACGGGCCCGCCGCGCGCCGAGAGCGCCTCGCCGAGGCGCGCCGGGCCGCCCGCAGCAGGTCGTGGAGACTGCTCGAGGCCGGCGCGCGAGGCGAGCTCTCGGTCCGCCAGGTCGAGCTTGAGCGGTTCACGGTCGCGTCGGGCGACGAGGACGGCGAGGGCGAGGAGGTGGGCGACGGCGCAGCTGGCGGTGCAGGTGCGGCCGAGCCCGCGCACGTTGAGCTGAGCGCGGAGCTCGCGCAGCTCGGCGCCGAGGCGGAGCGCGTGCGGAGGAGGAGGTCGAATCGGGACCGGCGGCGGCAGAAGGAGGAGGAGCGGCTCGTCGACGTCAGCAGGGTCAGGAGGGTCCTTGCGCCGGAGCGGGTGCTTGAGGCGGGACGGGCGGCGGACGAGGTCGGCGACGGCGTCGACTCGGCGCAGGCGGCGGTGCAGCTCGTGCGAGGTGCGACGGTGAGGGAGGAGGGCGATGTCGGCGCCTTGACCGGGTGCGCGCTCGGCCCTCTCTCTCGATCTCCTCGCGCCGGGACTGACCCTTTCCTCGTCCAGGCTCGAGCTCCTGTCGCTCTCGTCTCGCCACTCGGCCGCCATGACCGACGACGACGACCTCGCCCCAGCACCACTGCCTCGCCCGTCGGCGTACGATGCCCTCGTCTCGATCCCGCCCGAGTCGACCGCCGCTCTCGACGCCGCTCTCGCCGCCGCGCCGGCCGCCCTGCGCTTTCGACCCATACCCACCCCGACCCACTTCTCGACCCTCCTCCCTCGGCGACTTCCGCCCTGCACCGCCGCACCGACCACTTCGGCAGCCCAGCGCCTGCGCGCTCTCGCCTCCGAGCGAGTCGAGCGCCAACACGCCCTCGCCTCTCACGTCCTCCTGCCCCGAGCGATCGAGCCCGACGAGCCCGTTCGTGCGCCCAACCAGCCGCAGCCGGCCGACGAGGACCCGCCGGCGCTCCACTTCTCGTACGTGCGGCCCAAGGCGCCGACACCGAGCGGGCTCGGCGACCTCGACGGCGACGGCGAGGTCTCCGGCCTGCGCAGTGTCGGTCGCGGCACGAGACGGCGCAAGAACAGGGGCGACGACGTCGACCCGCCCTCGCTCGACTCGCTCGGCGCGCGGCTCCTCCTCGCCGAGTGGCACGTGGGCGCCGACCCGCGGTCGTACACGTGGTACAGCCCGTACGACGACGACCAGGACAAGGACCTCGACGCGCTCGCCGTCTCGCAGGCCCAGGCGAGCTCGTCGTCGCGGCGCAAGAAGCGCGAGCGCGAGGCGTCGACGATGGGCCCGACCTCGTCGGCCATGAGCTGGCAGCCGTCTTTCCCGCCGTCGTCGGCGAGCTTCGCCACGTCGTCGCAGTCGTACTTCCCGTCGCTCGGGCCGCCGCAGATCGGCAGCAACCCGTCGCACGCCCAGTCGCAGTCGCAGTCGCAGGGCTGGCCGCAGCTCGCCGCGACGCAGCCGACCATCTCGGTCAGCGGGCCGGCCGACGCGTCGGCGTCGTCGCAAGGTCCTCCAGCGTTCGGTGGCGCGGCGTCGCAGACGGTGCCGGGCGCGTTCGGGTCGAGGTTGACGGTCGGAGCCGGGCGAGGAGGGGACAAGGACAAGAAGAAGAAGGGCAAGAAGCGCGTCTCTGGCTTTTGATGGAGTTGTTGTAGCATCTCGTACTGCATTAATCGCAACCCTGGGCACGCTGCATCGAGGTCGTTAAGGTTGACTTGCCGGACCTTGCCGCGGTCGCAGCGTCCGCCCGGCTCCTCCGCTCTGTACCTCGCTCCTCGCTCTCGCCCGCCCGCCTAGCTACAGCCGACTACCACGGCGAGCCCACGCACGCCGCCCTAGCCCCCCGCCATGCAGTCGGAGTCGCGATCGCCGGCGAGCAACCCAAGTCGGTTCATCAAGGACGACGAGCTCCGCGACCGCATCTACCGTGCGTCGAGCCATGCCCGCCTATCCTCCCTCCTGGTGCTCCTGGGAGAGCTCGGGCGAACGCGCTGACCCTCTGCCCCTCGTCGTCGCCCCTCCCCCTCGATCGTTCCTCTCGCCCGCTCCCGACTCGTCGCAGGCAACCGCACGACGCTCGCTGCGCTCACTGCGAGCTTCACGTCGACCATCGCAGGGTGCGTCCTGCCTGTCCCCTTGGTCTCTGCTACGCGACGCGAGCTGACGCCGCTCTCCTCCCGCAGGTTCCCGCTCGACTCTGTCAAGTGAGTCCTCGTCCCGCCCCTCTGCCCCCGCGCGCGACGAGCAGCATTCTTGCCTCTACCCAAAGAAAGAGGAGACGACGGCGCTCACGAATCCGTGTCGCAACAGGTCGCGGCTGCAGGTCAAGCGCTACTCGTCCGTCCTCGACTGCGCGAGGCGGACCTACGCCGAGGAGGGCATCCGTGGCTTCTTTCGAGGCGGTGCGTCCCGCCTGATTCCTTTCTCTACGACCACAGACTGAGGTACTGACGGTCTATTGTCGCGGCCGCAGTGACGATCCCGCTCGTGACGATCACGCTCGTCCGCACGGCCTCGTTCTCGATCTACACCTGGACCAAGGGCTTCCTCGAGCAGCGAGAAACGTTCTCCAAGGGCTCGGCAACGTCGTCGGCGTTGACCGGCTTCTTTGGCGGAGCGGCGTCGGGCCTGCTGCTGAGCGTGGGCACGAGCGCGTTCGAGTACACCAAGATCAAGCTTCGTGCGTCGGCCGCTCTCCTCTCCTCTTCTGCCTCGCTCGTTCCTCTCCTGACTAGTTGTCGTACCCACAGAGCTCGAGTACCTCATCGCGTGCGCTCAGCCGACGACGACGACCTGCCCTCGCGACCCGCCCCTGACTGTCTCGGTCTCTTGCCTCGCAGCATGAAGAAGGGTGTGCCGTACGTGCCTCGGGGCACCGTCAAAGGCTTCATGGACCTGTACGCGCAAGGTGGCTTCCGCGGCCTGTACACGGGCTTCCGCCTGCACGCTCTTCGGGATACTCTCGTCCGTCCCTCTCCCTTTTTCCCTCCTCGTCGCCCTCTCTTGACGACTCTGGCCACCAGGGCACTGGCATGTACTTCGGCATGTACGACAGCGCTCAACATCTCATCAAGAGCAACCCGGACACGTTCGGCAACGTCCCCGTGACGCTTTCGACTTTCGCATGCGGCTCGATCGGTGCGTCCTCGACCTCCTCCCTGCCCGTACTCGCGCTTTCCGCGGTGATACTCACTGCGATGCTTCGGCCTCCTGCAGCCGGTGTGTCGAGTTGGGCCGCCATCTACCCGGTCGACCTCGTCAAGGCAAAGGTGCAGCGCAACGCTCTTGCCGATGTACCGCCCGAGCGACCATGGTCCATCTTCCGGCGCCTGTCCGCCGGCGGCGTCCCCAAGCTGTACCGAGGACTCGGTGTCTCTGCCACGTGAGCCCCTCATTCATGCACCTCTCCCTCCTCGTCGCGAGGGACGTCGACTGACCCTTCTTTCTCTCGGATCTTGTCCTGCAGGCGCAGCATTTTTACGCACGGCATCATGTGGACCATCCTCGAGAAGACGCGCACCGCCATTGCCGAGCGCACAGCTCCTCCTGGCGACGCCAAGACAGAATAGACGACCTCGCGCCAGATCCTCTCGCAGCCTCGAGCTCGAGAGAGGCGACAAGGATACCCCTTTGCAGTACTTGTTGTACAACGTCCTCCCTCCCTTCATCCGTCTCGCGACGTCTCGCTCTATATCCCTCTCGTCCCGCACCCGCATCGTCTCGCTCGGCCCTCCTCCCTCTCCTGCCCTCGCCGCACTGTATCGCAAGCCGCACCGTCCTCAGCGCCCTCCCCTGCCGCTCGAGAGGGCCTCGTCGTCGCTCTCGACGTCCGCGAGAGTGCGCGTGCGCGCGATCGTGCCGCCGCCGAAGCACCACGAGCCGCGGTAGAGAGCGACCGTCTGCCCAGGCGAGACGCCGACGAGCGGGTCCTTGAGCGAGATCTGCAGCATGCCGTCGTGCCTGGGAGAGAAAGAGAGAAGCGGTCAGTCAGGCGCACGAGGATCGAGAGTGGGCAGAGAGGACGGGGACGCACCGCAGCTTGACGACGCAGTCGGCGAGAGCGCCGGCCGGCAGCGAGCGCGTCTGCGCCTCGGCGGTGAAGCCGGCGTCGTCGTGCACCTCGGGAGGAGGATGGCTCGACGACGTCCAGCGAAAGTCGGACGTCTCGAGCGTCGTGCAGCGCAGCATCGGCGAGCTGAGGAGGGAACGGAGGTCAGTGTCGTTCTCCAAACGCGAGAGCGAGAGAGCGTGACAGTGGCGGGCGCACCTCTTGGGAACGACGACGACGACGTTGCGCTCGGCGTCCTTGCGGCCGACGAACATCTTCTGCTGGAAGCCCGACAGCCTCGCGCCCTCGCCGACCGTGTACCGCCACAGGCCCGAGTGCTCGCCGACGACTCGACCGTCCTCGGTCTCGATCGTGCCCGGTGAAGGAGGGAGGTACGAGTCTGTGCGGGTTCGAGTTGGCCAGGGACGAGACGCGGGGAGGATGAACGAGGAGGGGACTGAGCGCACCGAGGAAGGACGAGAAGCCCTTGCGGACGCCGACGAAGCAGATGCCCATGCTGTCCTTCTTGTTGCCCGTGTGCATCCCCCACTTGCGCGCGAGGTCGCGCACGTCGTCCTTGGTCGCAAAGCCGCCGAGCGGGAAGAGGGTCCTGCGCAGCGCCGACAGGGGCGACGTCGAGAGGTAGTGCGACTGGTCCTTGGCGAGGTTGGCGGCGCGATGCAGGGCGGGCTCGGCGGGTCGTAGTGGCGAGGGGAGGAGCTGAGCGTAGTGGCCCGTGGCGATCCAGGCCGAGGCGTCGCGAGCGAGAAGGCGGTCGGGGAGGACCTTGAACTTGATGTGCCTGCAGCGCAAAGAGGACGATGGCGTCGGTCAGACATGGCTCCTCTCGCTCTCTCTCCCTCGGACAGTCTCGGGCGCCGCGCTGGAAGAGGAGAAGGCGAGGCGCACTGGTTGCAGGTCACGTCCGGGTTCGGGGTCACGCCCGCCGCCCAACCCTCGAGCGCCGGCTCGAACACGCTCGTCCAGTACTCGCGCGACAGGTCGACGAGCTCGGGCTTGACGCCGCCGAGGTGCTCGTCGCACACGCGGCGCACGTCGGCCCAGTCGCGCTCCCACTCGCACCCACCCGATCCGCTCTGCTCGTCGAGCGTCTCCCAGTTGCGCATGAAGACGGGCGACACGTCGTAGCCTTGCTCGAGGAGAAGGCGGGCGGCGACGCTGCTGTCGACGCCGCCCGACATGCACGCGAACACCTTGGTGCCGCGAGGAGGTGTCGTCCAGGTCGGCGACGAGGCGGGGGTGGTGGCCTCGAGCGGGTTGAGCGCGCTTGTGCGGAGCCATCGTCGCACGCTCGGGAGGTTGGACGAGCGCATCCGCCGTGTTGGTGCTCGAGCAGCCGCGAGTCGGGGGGTCGAGAGGAGGGTCGGGGCTGGACGAGCCATGGTGGCGGAACACGAGCGGGCGAGGGTGCTGGACGTCGGCCGGTTGAGCAGACGACAAGCAGGAGCTCAGTGACCACTCGCAGCGTCTGGTCGGGCAGAGACGGAGCGAGCTGGGCGGGTCGAGGTGAGAGGAGAGCGGCGCTCGCAGCTCGGATTCGACCAGGACGACCGCTCACGCTCAGAGCGGCCGTGACCATGCTGGTTCGACTCGACGACCTGCTCTAGCCACGCACAAGCAGCGGCCGGCGTGCCCTACGCCGCCGCGAGGCCGCCGCCTTCATCGCTCACCTCCTCCAGCCGACCGCCTGCTCGACTGCCGCAAGCGCAACTCGAGCGGCTCTGCCGTCCATCTCAGGTGCGCTCTCATCCCTTTATACACCCCTGCGCCCCATTCCCGAGCGCCAGCCTGTTGTGACTGACCTGCAACTCTCCCTCCTCGCCGTCGCAGCCAATCACACCGACCTTTGCCAAACGACCTCTGCCCGCCCTCGTACCGCCAGCCAGAGCCGGGCGACATCCTCAGGGCAATTCGACGATTTTTCCAGCCCCCGGCTCCCCAACCTCGAGTCGCTGCGCCCTGGCCGAGCGAGCCGCGACCTCACCGACCGATTCGCCTTGCGCCCCTCGCCATCCGCTTTGTTCCGCCGCTCCACCAACCAGGCCCATCAAGGGCTACATCATGCGGCCTATGCGGCCGCTGCCGCGGTCGCAGACGGCCACGATCACGAGATGACACCGACCTTGCGCCTCTTCGAGCCGACTGCACCATCTCGCGCTGCAACGCGACCCTTTCCTCCCTCGTATCCCGTCAGAGATGTGTCGAAGGATCTTGAGAGAGAATTCGGCGACGAGCTGGGCAATTTTCGACGTCCAGGAGCAGAATGAGAAGGCGAGGACGGTCGTCGCGACGGCTCTCGGCCTCTCATACTCGCCGTGGGCGAGTCCACCTGCTTCGAGACGACCCGTGAAAGCTCGTGAGAGAGTCTGAGCGTCGCAAAGCGAGAGCAAAGCCGTGTGAAAGCTGTCGAGCGAGAAAAGAGAGACGCTCTTCCCTCGGGCCTCTCGGCTCTTCTCCCCGCTCGCCCTGCGTCCAGCTCGCGCACTCGCGAGGCCGTCCAGATCTCGCCCACCTCTCTACGACGGCGTCAGCAACTTTCCAAGGCCGTCCACCCCTCGCCCCGCCGCGTGCTCGTCCTCGTCGCAGTCGCCCGCCTCCCCGACCTCTCACCGGCCGTCGTTCACCATGGCCAGCCCCTCGCCAGCGCCACCGACCTTCATCTCTGCGCTCGACATCGTCTTCTCGGACGACGAGGACTCGTCTGCGCCCCCAGCGTCGACGAGGATGGCCAAAGCCTCATCGGCGCAAGGAGGCGGCAGCTCGACGGCCAAGCCGACCATGACGACGGGCGCCGCGAGCCGCATGAACGTCCGAGCTTCCAAGGCGACAGCTCTCGCGGCCATGGCGGCCAAAGCAGCAGCGGCCGCCGCCGCCGGCGAGCCTGCCCCTCCTTCTTCCGCCTCGACCGCTGCGACGCCGCCGCCGGTCGTCAAGAAGGAGGAGATCCTCGGCGCGCACCCGTCCAAGAACCCGTACCGCCAGCAGTTCACCCTCCCGCGAGCGCCGCCTCTCGACTACTCGACCCTGCGCATGGAGGCGCCTCGACTGCCCAACCCGCCGCCGCGCGACAAGCCCCGCATGTTCGAGCTCGAGGAGGCGCCCGTCTACTTCCCGACCGTCGAGGAGTTCGCGCACCCGATGGAGTACATCGAGCGCATCGCGCCCGACGCGAGCGAGTTCGGCATCTGCAAGATCGTGCCGCCCGAGGGCTGGCGTCCTTCGTTCGCCATCGACAGCGAGGTGCGTCCTCTCGACTCTTCTCTCTCTCTCCCACACACGCACTGACTGACATCCTCCCCTCGCACAGACGTTCCGCTTCAAGACCCGCCTGCAGCAGCTCAACTCGATGGAGGCGTCGGCGCGAGCGAGCCTCAACTTCCTCGAGCAGCTGTACCTGTTCCACCGCCAGCAGGGCAGCTCCGGCATGACGCTCCCGGCCTTTGGCGGCAAGCCTGTCGACATGTGGCGCCTCAAGCGCGAGGTGACCGACCTCGGCGGCTATCACGCTGTGCGTCCCTCCTCCTCCTCGAGTCCTCTCTCTCCCGCGACCGTCTCTAACTCTCGTTCCGCCCACAGGTCACGCACGACCGCAAGTGGTCGACCGTCGGCAAGCTGCTCGGGTACAACGTCGCCCTCAATACGAGCGTCTGCACCCAGCTCAAGAACGCCTACCACCGCATCATCCTCCCGTTCGACGAGTACACCCAGCGCGTCAAGCTCGCCGGCGGCCCTGCTCCTCCCGACCCGGTCAAGGAGGCCGTGTTCGCCGCCCAGGACGCCAAGTCGGCCGAGATGAAGGCGTTCGCCAACAAGCTCGCCACGTCGCCGCCCGTCGGGTCCGACTCGCTCGCCACGCCGTCGTCCGAGGCCGGTCCGAGCCGTCGCGCCGACGAGTCGCCCGACAAGGTCCGCACGGCGTCGGACAAGATCCAGGAGGACCGCGAGTTCAAGCTCAGCACGCGCTCGGCTAAGGACACTCGCACGCCCGGCGAGGTGCGTCCCCTCCCTCACTCTTCTCTCTCTCTTTTGCGTGACTGACTAGCCTCTCTCTCACAGTCTTGCGAGTTGTGCGAGCTCGACCACGACCCGGACCGCATCGTGCTGTGCGAGGACTGCGACCGCGGCTACCACCTCGAGTGCCTCACGCCGCCGCTCAAGCAGGTCCCGGCGTCCCAGTTCTACTGCAACCAGTGCCTCCTCCTCAACGGCGCCGACTACGGCTTCGAGGAGGGCCAGGACCACAGCCTGTACAGCTTTCGCCGCCGCGCCGACGCCTTCAAGCGCAAGTGGCTCCAGGACCACCCGCTCCCCGAGCGCAAGGGCAAAGGGCGCGCCGAGGACGGGCCCAACGGCGCGAGCGCCGACCAGGACGACGTGTGGGGCGAGCAGCTCGCGATCGAGGACCACTTTGAGCGCGAGTTCTGGCGTCTCGTCGAGTCGCCGCAAGAGACGGTCGAGGTCGAGTACGGCGCCGACGTCGCGTCGACCAAGGACGGAGCGTGCGTCCACCTCTTTCTCTCAGTCTCGTCGTCATCGTCAACGTCGAGCAGGACTGACGCTCTTTGGCGTGACCTGCAGCGGCTTCCCCAACCTCGAGGTGCACCCGAACGACCCGTACTCGCGCGACGGGTGGAACCTCAACAACCTCCCGATCCTGTCGGGCTCGCTCCTGCGCTACGTCAAGTCGGACATCTCGGGCATGACGATCCCGTGGATCTACGTCGGCATGGTCTTCTCGACGTTCGCGTGGCACAAGGTCGGCCCCTCTTTCTCTCTTGCGATCCTCTTTGGCCCCCTCGTGGGACGACTCTGACCCACCTCGTGGACGTACAGGAGGACCACTACAGCTACAGCATCAACTACCACCACCTCGGCGACACCAAGACGTGGTACGGCATCCCGGGCGAGGACGACGAGAAGCTCGAGGCGGCCATGAAGCTCGCCGCGCCCGAGCTGTTTGAGCAGCAGACCGACCTCATGTTCCAGCTCGTCACGCTCATGAGCCCCGGGCGGCTCAAGGAGCACGACGTGCGCGTCTACGCCGTCGATCAGCGCCCGAACGAGTTCATCATCACGTTCCCGCGCGCGTACCACTCGGGCTTCAACCACGGCTTCAACTTCAACGAGGCCGTCAACTTTGCGCTCCCCGACTGGCTCGACAACGGCCTGCGCTGCGTCGAGCGGTACCGCGACATCAAGAAGAACCCCGTCTTCAGCCACGACGAGCTCCTCATCACGATCTCGCAGTGGGAGAAGGACCCTCGCACGTCGCGGTGGCTCCTCGCCCACATCCGCGAGATGGTCGACCGCGAGCTCGGCGCGCGCGAGGTCCTGCGCTCGAGCGACTCGGCCCCGGACGAGGTCGTCGAGGCGTGGGACCGCGACGAGGAGGACTACCAGTGCCAGCACTGCAAGTGCCTCGCGTACCTGTCGCAGGTCGTCACGGACGACGGCAAAGGCGTCGCCTGCCTCGACCACGCGTCGACCCTGCCCGCCGGCCCCAAGACGCTCCGGGTCCGGTTCACCGACGCCGAGCTGAGCCAGCTCGGGAACCGCGTGCACTCGCGCGCGCAGAAGGCGCAGCGTCAGCCCGACCCGTCGACGGGCCTCCTCGTCGGCATGGACGCGCCGCGCCAGAGTGGCCGCAAGCGCAAGCCGTCGCAGGCGCTCCTCGAGGCGGCCGGCGAGGACACGCCGCCGGCGCCGCAGCGCGTCAAGCGCTCCGGCTCGGACGACGACGAGGACGACGACGACGACCAGGGCGGGTACGACGAGGCGCAGTACGACGACTTGTCGCGAGGGCCGCCGGCGCACGAGCCCCTCCAGCACCACGTCTCGTACCCGCAGCAGCCGCTCCAGCAGCACCAGCAGCAGCAGCAGCAGCAGCAGCAGCACCACCACCACCAGCACGCGCCGATGCACGTCCAGTACGACTCGCAGGGCGACCTCGTCGTCGGCGCCGGCGCCGCCGTCGACCTCTCGAGCACGCACGGCGGCGCGCCGCAGCACATGTCGGGCTACTATCACGACCCGAGCGCCGCCGCCGCCGCCGCAGTAGCAGCGTACGGTCACGGTGCCGGTCAGGGCGGCGACGACATCGTCGTCGACAGCGGGCTGTACACGCCAGGGCACTCGGCCTCGCCGGCGCCGTACGGCCTGCAGAGCGCCGCGCCGACCGGGTTCTCGCCGCCTCGCGCAGCACCAGCCGCACGGTCGATGCCGAGCTTTGGCAGCCACGACGGGTGGTCGGGCTCGAGCGGGTGGCAGTAGCGCGTCGTCCTGCCCTTTCGTCCCCTCTTCTTTCCTCTCCTCTTTCCCTCCCTGGCTTTCTATCTCGTCGGCCTCTCCTCCTCTCTCTGCGCCCCTCTGTGCCCCCGCCGTGTCGTCCCTGTGTCTACCCCTCTCCCCTCCTCTCGTCCCCCTCGCTCGTGATAGCTCCTCTCTTTGCGCCCCTCCCCGATCAACAACATGCTGTACCTCGCCTGCCCCTTGCATTGCACTGCCTCGTCTTGCTCTCTCTCTGGCTCTCTCTCTCTGCCGCGAGAACGTGCGCTCACACGAGAGCTCGAGAGTCCTGTGCCCGAGAGCAGTACATTGCACGCGATAACGGGAGAGCGCCTCGCTCGCCCAAGCTGCGCGCTCACTCGATCCTGCGCCTTTTGCCGTCCTCCTTCGGCTCGTCAATGTCGTCGTACGCCCTCCTCGTCCTGCGGTCCTCCTCTGCGCCCCTCGGTGCGGGCGCCGACGGCGCTGCCGCGCTCAGGCCGCGCGAGCTCCTCCTCTCGCCGGGCCCATCGTCGTACCCGCGCGCCGACGACCGCCTCGGCTCGTCGTCGTCGCGCCTCGAGCTGCGGCGGTACCGGTCGTCGTCGTCGTACCCGCGCCGGGACGACGTGCGAAGCTCGTCGTCGGCGCGCGACGAGCGGTGCCGGTCGTCGTCGCCTCTCCTCCGGTCCGACTCGTACCGCGACGAGCGCGGCCGGTCGCGCTCACTTCCTCGGTCTCGCCCGTCCCGGTCACGCTCCCTGTCCCGGTCACGCTCCCTGTCCCGGTCGCGCTCCCTCTCGCGGTCCCGGTCCCGCTCACGCTCACGCTCCTTGTCGCGCTCGCGGTCCCGCTCGCCGCCGCCCCGGTCGCTCCCGCCGCCGCCCGCCGCCGACGAGCGCGGTGCGTCGCGCGTCCGGCTGCGGTCGCGCCTGCCGCTGCTGCTGCTACCGCCGTCGCGCTCGCGCTCGCGCTCACGCTCGCGCGGCGCCGACGCCTCGCGCCCTCCTCGGCGCAGGCGCTTCTCGGGTGGGATGGGCCGGAACGCGACGGCGAGCGACTGGGTCGCGCCGCCGGCGTTGGGGCCGTAGCCGTTGGGGCCGTGCGCGCCGTTGGGTCCGCCCGGAACGCCCGGGCCCTGGGTCGAGGTCGGGGCCGGGATGGGCGCGGTCGGGAGCGGGCCGCGCGCCTTCCACTCGTCGATGAGCTGGCGCAGCTGGTGGTAGCCGAGATGCATCTGCGTGAGAGAGGAGAGGAAAGGTTAGTCGGCGTCGGGAGGTGACGAGGATGGGGGACGCAGGAGAGGAGAGGGAGAAAGGGGATGAGGACGCACCTTGCCGCCAAAGTGGTCGGCGAGACGCCTGTCCGAGTCAAGGATCGACAGGTAGGCGCCGCAGATGTCGCACACGCGCAGCTTCTGGTTGCCCGACGCGCCGGCCGTGTCGGTGAGCTGCTGCAGCTCGCGCTCCTTGTCGAGCTTCTCGGCCTTGAGCGCCTCGGCCTTGGTGAGCTGCGTCATCGACTCCTCGACCTTGCCCTGCGAGCCGAGCATCTCGACCTCGGCCATGGCGGCCTGGTAGGCGCCCTCGATCTCGCCGACCTCGCGCATCTGCAAGGAGGCACGACACGACCGCGGTCAGGAACTTGCTCAGGTCGAAGTAGACGGCCAACAAGAGAGAGAGAGCGACGCACGAGGGCCGTGGTGCGGTTGTTCTCCTCGGGCGTCTTCTCGAGGCGGCGATGAGCCGCCGCAATCCTCCGGTCGCACTCGCCGACGAAGCCCATGATCTGCGGGAAGGCGCGCTCGGTCAGCGTGCGCTCCTGGAGGAGCGAGAGGAAGAGGGAGAGGCGACGAACGACCTGCTCGTAGTTCATCTTGAACGAGTTGAGCATCTTGATCTTGTCCTCGTCCTTGTCCTGCTCGGCCTTCTTGAGCATGCCCTCGTACTCGTTCTTGAGCTTGATCGAGTGCGTCTTGGCGCACGTTCCGAGGTCCATTTTCTGCGGGGCGTCCGACAAGGATGAGCGAGACGTGGCGGGGAGAGGGAGAGGGAGAGGGAGAGGGAGAGGAGAGGAGAGGACGAGGACGGACCGTATTGGTGAAGAGGTCATGCGGGCAGATGCCGGCGACGAACGGGTGGCAGAGCTTGTGGTCGTAGAGCGAGATGTCGTGCGTGACGATGCCGAGCGCCTCTGTTGCGTGGACGAGTAGGGGGAACGAGGACGAGATGAGGGAGGGGGAGCGATGAGGAGTGAGGGGGAGGGGAACAGGCGCCGGGTGCAGGGGAGACAGGTGGGTCAGTCTCGTGCACTGAACCTGATGCACGCGAGCACCCGGCCGTGCGAGCCAGGGCGGTGTGGTGCGGGGCGGCGAGTGTGGGAGGAGGGGGAGATGGGAGCGGGCGGGGACGACACAGCGAGACGGGGGAGCGCACCTGCGCCCATGAGCTGCTCGAGGAGTTTCCTCTGCTGCTCTGCAAGCCGCCCCATCGTTGCTCAGAGCTGCGGCGAGCGAGGTTGATGAGGTCGACGAGGCGCGCCTCCTCGCCTTCGTCGCAGCGCCCAAGTCCCGCCGCCCCGGCTCGCTTCTCGTCTCTCTCTCCGCCAGGTCGAGATCAACGACGTGCATTTCACAGTACGTCAACAGTGCGACCCGATGGGCGCAACGAGAAACGAAACCGAGACCGCGACAGCAAGCACGCCCGCACCGACCGCAGGCCCGAGCACGACCAGCTCACACCCTCCTCCTCACGCCAGCGCAATCTCGACAAAGTGCTGCCGCATCGACTCGCCTTGCTGCACCGAGTCCTGCGAGGGTGGCGGGCACAGCGTCAGGGGCTCGTCGTGAGGAGGGCGCGAGGAAGGAAGATGGACGGGTGGGACGCACGTGGTCCAGCTCGTGCAGCTCGTCGAGCAGCACCCGCTTGCTCTCGCGCGTCCGCTTGAGGGTGCGGCGAGCGGCACGTGGCCGAGCTTCGACTGTGGGTGCGCCGCTGTCAGGAACGACCCGCTCGAGAGAAAGACGGGCAGGGGGGAAGAGGACGCACGGGCCTGTTGCGCAGCGACGAGCCAGTCCTTGGCGCCGTCAGGCTTCAAGCCCTGCATGATCGAGACCTCGATCGCCGTAGCGAGGCACTGCTCCTGCAGCTCGACAGCCGACAAGGCCGACTCGTAGTCGGCGCTCGAGCGCGTCACGAGCGACTTTGGGCGGTCGAGGTGCGCGGCGTTGACGAGCGCAGTGCTGCGGGCCGCAAGAAGACGTCAAGTGCGCGGGTCGAGGGGGTGGGGCAGAGGCAGGTGGACGCACTTGCGCTCGAGCTGCTTGTGGACCGACGAGTCGGCCTCGCGCTTGCCCTTGTCGACAATCTGCCGCAGGTCGCGCTGCGCACTCGCGAGCCGCTGCTCGGTCGGCTTGATCGTCGACTTCTCGTACTTCTGCGTGCGTCGCGGGGAAGCAGGGTCAGCATTGCGAGGCCGAGGTTGGCGGGGAGCTCGAGAGAGACAGAGGGGGAGGGACGGCTCACCTCCATGATGCGCGCGAGCTTGTGGACGACACTGCGCAAGGGAGTAGGTCAGTGAGTCTGACGACAAGCCTCACGACATGAACCGGCCACTGTGCCGGCTCGCATCGAGAGAACGGTCGACGACTCACGGCTCGCCGCTGCTGCCGTCCTGCTGCCCGTCGCCAGCGTCCTCGAGGTCGTCGCCGTCCTCGTCTCCATCTGACTGCCGGTCGACAGCCATGCCCTCGTCGCCGTCCTGCTCCTGATAGCTGACCCGCTTCGAGGTCGACGCGCGAGAGGGGCGAGAGGTGCGTGCCGAGGTCGGGCTCACTGCCGGCTTGGTCGGGCGGGACATTTGGCGCTGTCGAGGCTGCGGTGCAGTGCTGGAGGGTTGAGCTGGCTGTCGAGTGTGTTGGTGCAGACGAGGACGCGGCGAGGAGGTCGACGGGGTCGGGGTGCGGGCGGGGTGCGCGAAGCGCGGTGGGGCTGTAGGCGGCAGCCGAGGCGGCGGACAGGCGCGTCTGGAGCAGCTCTGTCGAGCTAGCAGGTCTGCACGAGAGGCGAGCGGCCGAGCGAGGAGCCAACGGAATCCGTCGCTGAACCGGACGCTCTCTCTGACGCGACCGCACTCACCACTCGCTCCAGACGAGCAAGCAAGACGCGCACGCAGCTCTCCGATGGCTCTCCGTGCCTGCCCGCCGCTGCGCACCTCCGACTGCGCTCGAGGTGCCTCTCGCCCCCGGCGCTCGCGATTCTTCATCTCCCTTCGCCAATCTCTCGCGACGGACGACGTCAAGCTCTTTGCGCGTGCGCCTGATGCCATGTCGAGCGAGAGCTTGGGGTCATCTGCTGTCCCAGTCGGCGACTCGAGCGGTCCTGCTGCCCTCGCTCGACGCTCCTCCTCCTCGTCCGCCACGCGAGCGTTCGCGCTGGGCGTTTGGGGTTGCGCACGCTGCCTACTGGCGCTCCTCGTGCGGCACAAGCCTCCTCGAGCCCGCGTGCCGCCGCTGCGAGCGAGCGCGCGGCGGGACCCGCCGGCTCTGCGCGTTCGCCGTCTGCGACTGGACCGCTCGCTCTGCCCTCTCTGCCCTGCGGTCTCTCCTTAGGACGATGTCGAGGATACAAGTAGCTCTCGACGTCTGCAAAGCTTCTCTCGAGGCCCGTTGCGGTCACGTCGGCGTTGCAAAGACGGCTCGAGGGTCCAGCTCTGGCCGCTGCAGGATCAGGTTGCGCAAAGGGAGGAACAAGTTGGTGTCCGGGTCGAGCGCGAGCTCCTTCAAGTGCTCCCAGCTGCACCATTCCCACCGCTCGCATTTGTCCGGCTCGAGAACCTGCGAGAGAAGCGAGACGAAGGTCAGGAGAGTTTCGTGTGCGTGCACGAGCGAGAGCGAGGGCTCACCTCGGGCTTGACGTCGTCCACCCGACAGGCGACAAAGAGGGTCACGTAGTGCTTCCGCTCGGCCGCAAAGACGTCGTTTGTCGCCGTGAGGAAGCGCACGTCGTCCTCTCGCACGACGAGGCCCGTCTCCTCTGCGACCTCGCGCACGGCACACGCTTCGGGCGACTCGCCCATCTCGAGGTGCCCGCCTGGAAGCTGGATCGCGCCTGGAGAAAGAAAGTGTGAGCGAGTGCGCGAGCCCACGCCGGCTCGAGTCGAGGAGAGAGAGAGAGAGGACGCACCTGCACCGTGGCTCCCCTTGCGCACACCGGTCACGAACTCGAGCTTCGAGTTGAACAGGAAGCAGCCGACGCCGACGCGTACGTGAGCAGCCATGGCCGAGAGCGTGCGTGGAGGAGAGCCGAGAGGAGGTTGCTCCACCACCAATGCCTCTGCATGCGGCGCCTCGTCCTGTTCGAGGGCGCGCCGACTATAGAGCAGTGCTACAGTTCTCTCGACCTTGACCACCAGCCCGACACCTCCTGGCACATCGTCACCCTCGACTTCTCGCCTCCTCATCAGCCAACACTCGGCGCTCCTCGACCCGCCTCGCCGGCCTCGCCAGCGCCACGTCCAGCAGCTCAGCAGCCGACTATCAAGCCCGAGGCGACTGCTCCATCCGCAGGCGGCAACCCCTGGGACGTCACGGCGTCGCAGTTCCAGGACGCCGTCGAGGGCAGCCCTGTGCAGGACGCGCGCGCGGGAGCAGAGCCTGAGGAGCAGCCCGACAGCCTCGAGCTGTCACGCAGGAGGACTCGCAGGAGGTCGTCGTCCTCGCCTGAGGTCGAGCGGTCCGAGCAGGAGGATGAGGGCGAGGGCGTTTCGCGAACGAGTGCGTCCCAGATCCTCCCTACCCGCTCTGGACACGGTCTGACCTTGCCTACGCGACGCAGGCTTCATGATGCCTCCGCCGACGCAGGCCCGGTCGCGATACTCGGCCGTGTTCCGCGCCCAGCACTCGCAGCCCGTCCTCCAGCCGCCTCACGACGACGTCTCGTTCGCCTTTCCTCCCTCGGCAGCCTTCCTCGACGTCTCGCGCGACACGACCGTCAACTACACTGCCGACGACTCGTACGACCCGACCTACGCCGAGGGCGCGTCGCTCGGCGCGCCGCCGCACTTTGCCTGGAAGGTCTACGACCTCACGGCGCTCAACCAGCTGCGCAAGAAGCTCGTCCAGGCGTCGGTCCGAGGTGCTCCGTCGTCCAAGGTGTCGGTCCTCGCCGCCGTCAACAGCTTTGAGCAGCGCGACACGGCCAAGAGCAAGCTCACCGAGGTGACGCTCATCGACGACTCGGGCCAGCACGTCAAGCTCGCCATCTGGGGCGCGGCGGGCGTCGAGATTGGCAAGGTCATCCAGCGCGCCGACATTATCTACGTCGAGAGTGCGTCCCCTCCCTCTTCCCCTCCTCGGCGACCGAGCCTGCAGCTCACGGCTCCTTTCTCGAGCAGACGTCGCCCTCAAGGAGTACGGCGGGGCGCTCCAGCTCTCGTTCAGCGACCGCGACTCGCAGCTCGGCATCTGCTGGCGCACACACGCCGTCGACGTCGACGACTGGGCGTACCGGTTCCACGAGGGGTGGCGCGAGTCGCTCGTCGAGGCCGACGAGGTGCTCAAGCAGGCCGACTGGTTCTCGAGGCGGTTCGGCTGAGCGTGTGTGGGTCCTTTCCGTCGTTGTTGTTGTCATGACTAGTAGTTTGAGCCTCTCCCTCGCTGTCGTCGAGAGCGTGTCCGTCTGCGGCGCTGCGCACGAGGAGGATCGGGTCGCTCGCCCACCTCCTTCTCGGTTCGCGCTCTTCCAGAGCGAGCGTAACGTCTTTCAGAAGCTCCAGAGTCGCACAGTAAGCCCGTGCGAGAGTCGCGAGCGGTCACCTTGGTCGACTCGCCGAAGTGCGCTCGACCGTGGCAAGCGCTCGCTCGCTCGCCTCGCCGTCAGAACACACACAGCTGCTCGCGACGCGCACCGACCGGCACCATACAGCGCCACCTAGCCCAGCTACAGCGCGCCCTCGCCCCAGCTCTGCCTCGAGCGCGCCTCCCCCCCCTCATCTCCTTCCCCGTCCACCACCAACCGCATCACCTCCTGTACCTGCACAGCGCGCCGCACCGCCTCGCCATGCCGCCAAAATCCGCCGCCAAGCGCGCCCCGAAGCGCAAGGCCGCCGACGAGCTCGACCCGGCCGACGCCGCCCCCTCCGCATCGACGTCGTCCCCGCCTGCCGCCGTCAAGGAGGACTCGCCGCTCACCGACCTCGAGGGAGATCACGACGACGACAAGCCGCAGAAGAAGAAGCGCGCCAAGAAGGACAAGGAGCCCGTCAAGCCGCTCGACCCGACCTTGCCGACCAACAAGACGGTGCCCGACGTCGTCGAGCCGTTCCCGCGCCCGGCGGCAGGGTGCATCCGCATCTCGGCGTGGAACGTGGCGGGACTGCGTGCGAGCGAGAAGAAGGGTGCGTCCCGCTTTCGCTCTCTCGGGAGCTCGAAGCCGCGACCGCCGACTGACTCCTTGTCCCTCCTGCCCGCCCACACACAGGCTTTTCGCGCTACGTCGAGGCAGAAGACGCCGACGTCCTCATCGTGACCGAGACCAAGACGCCCGCCATCCCGCTCGCCGCTCTCGACGACCGCTACCCGCACCGATACTGGGGCGACCACGGCGCCGTCAAGAAGGGCCAAGCCGGCACGGCCATCTTCAGCAAGGTCAAGCCGCTCAACGTCACGCTCGGCTTTACGGCGAGCGACGAGGTGTCGGCGGCCGACTCGGAGGGCCGCATGGTCACGCTCGAGTTTGAGAACACGTTCGTCGTCGGCACCTGTGCGTCCCTACTTTCCCCTTCCTCTCGCACCCCTCCTGCAGACTTCCCAAGGCTCTCCTTCCGCTCGCCTCCTACCCAGACCCTGCATGGTCCGGTCCCTGACCTCTCCTGCCCCCTGCAGACGTGCCCAACGCCGGTCAAGGGCTCAAGAACCTCGCCGACAAGGAGCGCTGGAACCGCGCGTTCGAGACGTACCTGCGCTCGCTCGACGCCAAGAAGCCCGTCATCTGGGCGGGCGACCTCAACGTCGTCGCGTCGGGCCCGATCGACATCCGCAACTGGAAGACGAACCACAACAAGTCGGCCGGCGTCACCGACGTCGAGATTGACGGCTTCAAGCGCCAGCTCAACCCGGAAGCCGGCTCGGGCCACGAGCGGCTCGTCGACGTGTGGCGCGAGCGACACCAGGACGTCGAGGAGGACCCTCAAGGCTGGACGTACTACTCGTACAAGTTCCAGTGCCGCGAGAAGGGCATCGGCTGGAGGCTCGACTACCAGGTTGTGCGTCCTCCTTCTCTCTCTCTCTCTCCCTCTCCCCCCCTCTCTCTCCCTCTCTCTCTCACCTCTCTCCCCCTCCATCCATCTCTCCCTTTCTCCCTCCCTTGAGAGAGGACGATCGCTCACCCCTCTCTCCTTCGATGCAGGTCTCCGAGCGCATCCTCCCCAAGGTCAAGGCGTGCGAGGTCCGCCACACCATCTGGGGCGCGAGCGACCACCTGCCCATCGTGCTCGACCTCGAGGGCCCGCTCTAGCTCGAGCGGCCGACCGACGAGGAGACGGACCGTAGCTGCTCTCGAGGTGCAACGCGAGACGGGCACGGACTTGATCTACAGTACAACGACAGACGGCTACAGAGAGAGACCGAGAGCGAGAGACCGAAAGAGAGGCAAAGAGAGCGAGGAAGAGAGGGTCTGTGCGACTCAGCGTGGGCAGTACTCCTTGCGCGGCTCGAGGTCGAACCCGATCGGCGCGTACGTCTGCAGGCGCTGGAAAAGCGAGAGGTACTTGTCGCCGTCGAGGCCGCTGCGTCTGAGGGCGAGAACAGAAGGTCAGTGCGGCCCGACGACCTTCGCAAGAGGAAGAACCCGACTCACCCCCTGACGCCGTCCAAGAACCTCGCCGTCTCCCTCGCGAGCCTCCTCGCGCCCTCGCTCGTCGCCCGCATGCCGCTCGCGAACGCCTCGTTGCGCCACTGCAGCTCGGTCCACGCGGCGCGGTCGGCGTTGTTCTGCGCGTGGCGGCGCAACTCGATCGAGCGCGGCAGCTCGAGCTCGATGTCCCACGACGCGAGGAGGTGCACGATGCTCTTGTGCAGCGAGAGAGTGAGCTTCGAGAGGGCGGGCCGGTCTGCGAGGCCAAGAGAGTGCGAGTCAGTCGACGAGGGTCCGAGAGCGGGTTCGCCGAGAGGCCGAGGAAAGGGGAAGCGGAACTCGCTGGGACGCACCGGCAAAGACGTCGACAGCGAGCTCGGTGTAGCCTCGGACGGCGCGAGCATCGCGCTGCGACTTGACGCTCGGGTCGATGCCGCGGTCGTTGTGCAGCGCCCAGATGCGGCGCCACTCGTCGTCGTCGCCCCAGCGGATGTGCACGAGTCGAGAGGCGACCTCGGCGTTGATCTGTCGACAAAGAAGGACGGGCGAGAAGGGAGAGAGAAAAGGTCAGGGCGTCGGGAACAAGGAGGAGAACGAGGGGGAGATCGAGAGCTCAAGGACGCACGCGCATGCCGTCCTCGCTCCCCTTGATCATCCTCAGCACCGCAACCGCCACCTCGATGACGCACCTCGTCGCCAAGTACGTCTCGACCCTCATGGCCTCGACCGCCTTCCTCCCGCCCTGCCTCGCCGCCGCGCACCGGTCGCGCACCTCGGGCACGTACGCCTCGAGGACCTGCTGCGCGCGCGTGACGGCGACGTACTCCCAGTACGCGACGCCGAGGCGGGCCTTGCCGCGCGCGACAAACAGGTTGCTGCGCGCGAGGACGGCGCCCTCGGGGTGGACGCCGGTAACGGACGCGGGCGGGATCGACGGGTCGATGAAGGCGAGGTGCGGCGGGACGGGCTGGAACGACGTCGTCGAGCGGCCGGTGCTGCTCGTGCCCGAGACGGGGCGCGACGGCGGCGGGGTCGCGAGGCCCGTGCGGCGCGAGGTGTACAGGCTCGACGGGCGGTTGAGCGCCGGGTGCGTCGTCGGGCGACGCAGGTCCCACGTGTTGGTCGGCTCGCGGCGCAGAGGAGAACGAGGAGCGCCGGACGGTGGGCGCCACGGGTTGATCGGGGTCGAGAGGCGCGCGAGAGGGGTCGGAGGGTAGGTCGTCGAGCGGGCGGGCGAGGGCGGGCGGACGCCGGTCGTCGATGAGGTGTAGGTACTGAGTCTCGCGAGGGCTGGACGTGGTGGAGCAGGTGTCGAGCCAATGCGGGACAAAGGGCGTGCTGACGCGGCGGTCGACGAGCGGGAGAGGGTGGGCGAAGGAGCGCGAGTCGGCGACGGCGCGCGCGAGGGCGAGGGCGAGAAGCGGACGTGGTGGGGCGGCGGTGCCGACGGCTTGGAGGCGTAGGTGCCCACTGCTGGCCTGACGGGCAGCGGGCGGATCTGCAGAGAGCCGAGTCGGGTCAGGTGCGGGTCGTGAGAGTTCGCGGCCGCGAGCGGCGACGAGAGAGAGGGGCGCACCGGCGGGGTCGACGGTCTACTGAGCGCAGCCGAGTGTCGCCTCTCCATCGAGCGCAGCCGTGCAGAAGCGCAGAGCGAGGCGAGATAGTGTTGCGAGCGGAGGACAAGGCGCGTGGGGCCACTTGCTCGCACGCGGGCGGGTGGGGGGTCACGAGGCCAAAGCGGGTGCGGTGCTCACGCCTCTCCGCTCTAGGCGGACGGACCGGAGCTGAGAGTCCGGCGGACAGGGGCGAGCTTGGAGATGAGCAGGACGAGGCGAGCGACCGCGACGAGCACGCGACGAACGCGACAGCATGGCTCGCGAGCTGAAGCAGTACTTGCGGTACAGCTCTGCCTGCCCTGAGCTGCGAGCGCGAGGTGGGAGGAGGTGCGAGGCGAGTGCGACGGCCGAGGTACTTGTTGCTCTCGCAACACTCGGCTCGCGGCATGAGCTGCCGCTTGAGCACCGCCAGTGCGACCAGCAGGGCTGTCAGAGCCCTTGCGGCTCGCCTGTGCCCCTGCCCGCCACCCCTGTCGCCGTACTCGTCATCAAGCACCGCCTCATCACCTCGTCCTCCCGTCGTCTCGCCGCCCTCGGCACCGCACCGAGCTGCGCCAGCTCTCGACGCTGTCAACGAGCTCCACAAAGGCGAGCTGCACCCTGTGCCCAAGAGCGCGAGGTCCAAGTCGCCGCCGGTCCTCACCCTCGCCCAGATCCGCGACGCCATGGTCGACAGCCTCGCGACCAACAAGCCCCGTCGAGCGCTCCAGACCTTCCTCGACGCGCTCGCACGCCGTGGCAACGACCGCCTCTCGTCGCGCACCGTCGACGGCTTCGCGTGGCTCTTCTGCCAGTACCGCCAGCCCAAACTCGCTCGCGACGCCGCCGCCGCCATGCACGCCCAGGGCTACGTCGTCACGCCAAAGTTGGCGTCGCGCCTCCTCCGCATGTCGCACCACGACCTCGTCCTCCAGCCCGACGTTCTCGCAAAGGTCCTCGCCTGGATCAGCGACGGCATGCTGCGCGACAAGCGCGACGGCGGCAAGGACGTCGACGAGGCCATGCTCGAGACGGTCCTCGACGTCCTCAAGCGCATGGGTCGCAGCGACTGGCTCGTCGACGTCCTCGACGCCTACCGCGCCACGCTCGACTCGGGCCAGCCGGGCTCGCCCCGCCTGTGGGCCCTCGCCATCTCGGCAAAGGCGTCCGAGGGCGACGTCCGCGCCGCGCAGCACCTCTTCTCGACCTGGAGAGCGCTGTACGAGGCGCACGAGCGCGCCTCGGCCAAGCGGCGCGACCTCGCTCCCTCCTCGCCCGACGACACCGCCCCTCCCCCTCGGCGCCGTCCTCCTCCCGCCGACCCGTACCTCGCCCTCCTCCATCACTTTGCCGCCGGTACGACCTACATCGCGACGCGCGACCCGGCGTACAAGCTCGTCGCCGTCGCAACTGAGCACGGCCTGTCGCCCTCGGCCGACCTCGTCAACGCGCTCCTCCGCACCGAGCTGCACCGCCGTCGGTGGGCGTCGTTCTGGGGCCTGTGGGCCCAGTTCGACGCCCTCGCGCTCGAGCGCCGCGAGGCGTCGTGGGCGCTCGCCGTCAAGGCCAAGCTGTGGGCCGAGGCCGAGCGCCGACAGCGCGGCCGGTCGCACTCGAGCCCGCTGCACGCCGTCGCGCCCTTCCCCTACGCCGAGCTCCCCTCCCCTCCCTCGCGCACCCTATTCCGCTCGGCCCTCTCGTCCCGCCTCGCCGCGACGCACCACCGCCCGTCGCGCATCCTGTCGACGACCGACGGCCCCTCGTCCCTCTCGCCCGCCGTCCTCAACCTGTTCCTCGACCTGTTCGTCCTGCGCCGCGACTGGGCCGCGACCGCCGTCGTCCTCGAGACGTTTGGCGTGCACCGCATCGAGCCCGACGCGCGCACGCACGCCGCCGTCGTGCTCGGCCTCGTGCGCCTGTGGGAGCGCGGCCGGCTCAGCGACGAGGCGCTCGCGCGCACGACGGCCGGGCGGGGCGGTGCTCGGGACGCCGCGCGAGAGGTGGACGTGTACGACGAGCGCGAACAGGCGAGGAGGCGCAGAGGGGCCGTCATGGGCGGCCCGCAGGGCGTCGAGCTCATCCGGACGATCCTCGAGGGCCGCAAGATGCGCGTCGGCCTGTGGAGGGGCGCCGAGGCCGGTGCTGTCGAGGCGTCGAGCGAGCAGGGGCAGGGCGCAGAGGAGGCTGTCGCGGTCGAGGGCGTCGGCGAGGACGGGACGACGACGACGCCGAGCCCGCCGGCGTGGATGACCCAGCGCGAGACGCGCGACGTCGGGTACCTCGCGACGCTCCTGCAGCGGTGCGCCGGGCTCGACGACGCCGAGTGGGCCGCCGTTCGAGCGGAGGCGCGCGCCGAGATGCTGCCCGAGCGCACGAGCCGCAAGGTCAAGAAGGTCAAGAGCATCAACCGCGGCGCGAGGTTCCGCGACGACGCGTACGGCAAGGCGGTCAAGGTGGAGCAGGGCAAGGACGAGTAGCACTCTCTGTGCAACTCGCGCTGTCGCTGCTCTCTCTCTCTTTTCTCGCACGTCCTTGCTCTCGAGAGGGTCGCAAAGGGAGAAAGAGAGGTTCGTGTACAACAACATGCGGCCACAGGAACTGCTCGTGCTGCAGAGGTACTCGACGGCGATACAGACAGTGCGAGAGGAGAAGAGAGGGAGAGAGAAAGACTGCGAGAGGAGGAGAGGGTCAGTGCGTCGTCCGGTCGAAGGACGAGAGAAGAGGAGGGGAGCGAGCGCACCTCGAGGGCTCGAGAGACCGGCTACTTCTTCATGAGCCGCGCCAGCTTCATGAGCGACCACTCGCCATCGGCGTCGTCGACCGGGCAGCACTTGAGGAAGTGCGCGAGGATCCTCGCGGGCCGGCGCTTCTCCGCTCCTCCTCCTGCGCCGCCGCTCGCTGTCGCCGCCTCGTCGTCGTACCTCGCCGTCCATGCGCCGCCCGGGTAGCCGGCATGCGCGCCTCGGCACTCCTGCAGGCGCCACCACTCGCGCGAACCGAGCGGCAGGGACGGCGAGACGACGAGGTCGCCGGGCAGGAAGTGGACGAACGTCCTGGTCGCCGCCGCCGTGGTCGTCGTGTCGCTCGACGAGCTTGTGACGGGCACGATGGCGGGCCCGGCGAGCGAGAACTCGACGACCCACTGGGCGCGCGACGCCGTGAAGAACGAGTAGACGCTCGCGCGCTCGCAGTCGCGGGCGAACGAGCTCGCCGTGTAGAGCGTGTCGCCGGTGACGGTGCAGCCGAGGGGCGAGGTCGGGTCGAGCGACGAGTGGTCGAGATAGAGGCGGGTGAGGGACGTCTCGCCCGTCTTGCCGACACCCTGTTCGAGTCGAGGAGGAAGAGTCAGGCGGGTTCTCGAGCGGGCGAGGAACACGATGACGACACACCTGGATGTAGACAGCGAACATGTGCTCGTCATTCTTCTTGACCGCGGTTGACGTCGTCGCGCCCTTGACGGCTTGACGCATCGACCGAGCCCTGCTCGAGCACGCGGTCGACTTGTGCAACGCCGGCTCGAGCTCTGGCGAAACCTGGACGAGCAAGACGTGTGAGGTTCGGCCCGAAAGTAACGGACTCGAGAGAGAGAGGGAAGCGCACAGGAATGTCGGGCGATGTGCTGGACCCGAAAGAGCTTTGGCGACGGCGGACCGAGGTTGACGTGGCGAGCGGGTCAAAGCGCACGTCGCCGGCCTGCGACTCGCACTTGACCTTGCCCGCTCGCGAGGGCACCCGCTCGAGCGTCGACGAGCTCGCGACGAGCGCCTCGAGGTGCGCGTCGAAGGGCGCGTGCGCAAACCTCGGCGGCACGAGCGCGAAGCCGCTCGTCAACGACGCGCCGGCGTGCGAGACGGCGCCGGTCGAGCCCGACGAGTAGTACGACGATGTCCAGTCGGTCCCGAACGAGCTCGCTGCGACGTCCATGGGCGAGAAGACGGGCGAGCAGAACGACGACCGTGGGGACGACGAAATGGTGCTCGGCGCCGAGGTGCTGACTGACAGGGCATGGGCGTCGTAACCGAAGGAGCTGGTGGGGAGGCTCATGACGGCGTCGGGGAAGGGCAGGTCGGGAATGTCGACGAGGGGAGGGAAGGTCGGTGCGGCGGCGTCGTCGCCAGTCGCGCCGAATGGCGGGCTGAGGTCGAGGAAGGGCAGGCTCGACGGCAGGATGACGTCCTCGTCGAAGGTACCGATGATAAAGTCGCCGCTGTCGATCGTGAGCTGCTCGGGCGGGTCGAGCGGCGCGGCGAGAGGAAGCAAGGCCCTCGCCTCGGCTTGGAGGAGGCCCAGGATGTTCGGGTCGCTCTGAGCGGCTGCACGTTGGTCATCGATGTCAGTTCTAGTCGAAGGAAGAGGAGAAAGTACGAGAGGTGCTGCTCACCTCGTGCGACCTCGTGCGAGAACGCTCGCACCTCGCCCTGGAGGAGCGCCTGGCTGAGCTCGATGCGTTGGCGGTCCGCCTCGAGCTCACGAAGTCGACAGATGAAGTCTGTGGACGTTCTGCAGGTCAGTTCTCCTGCTTCTCGGGCAAACCGGAATCGCCGAGAAGAAGGAGAGGAGGAGGAGGGCACGCACCGCTCGCGGTTGGCATGCGTTGAGAAGGGCAAAGGCGGGTGTACAGGTGCGAGAAGGGCTAGAGCGCAGCAGAGAGGCACGAAGCTGAGAAGCAAGCGTGCGAGTGTCGAGAGCGAGAGGGGAGCCAGAGGTGACCCGCTCTGAATCGTGCGGAGGAGGCTGCCGAGCGAGCGGCCGCCAAGCAAGGCATGCCGACGGCCTTGCGCCTGAAAAGGGCGATACGCCGATATCGACAAGGCGCGTCGACGGTCGAGCCAAGTTCGGGTGCCGGAGCCGGCAAGCACCGCCTCGTCGCTTTCCCGCGGGCAACCACCAAAGGGTCGAGGGCAAAGCAAGCGGGTCTAGAGTTACAGGGGTACGTATGCAAAGGGGAGGAGAGAGAGAGAGACGGCGGAACCCTATGAACACCAACCGAGAGGAAAGAGGGAAAGGAGGACGAGGACCGGGCGCCGCTGTCACTCGTCGGGGCTGACGCCGGCCTGAACCTGTCGAACGTGCAGGCTCGAGTCAGTGTCCCGCCCTTTGAGAGAGGGTAATGAGAGGGGCGGGACGCACCAAGACGTCCTCGGAGACTTGCAGCTTGCCCTTGACCTTCTTGGTCCCGAGGTCGCGGAACTTGGCGTCGACCGTGTTCTTGTTGATGACGACGCCCTCGTCCTTCATCTGGTCGACGAACAGCTCGACGAGGACCATGCGCGACTTGGTCGAGCCGTGCACGTGGCGCACAAAGCGCGCGAGGTGCTCGGCCGGGAACGGCATCTTGGGCGGCGCGCGCTTGGCCTTGAGCGTGTTGACGGCGCCGTCGCTCGGCGCGGTCGTGGCGGGCGTGATCGAGTTGGCCTTGGTCGTTGAGGCGGGAGCGACGGCCGTGCTCGAGAGGGTAGAAGAGGCGGCCGGCGTTGCGGCGGCGAGGGCGACGTTCTCCTTGCCCTTGGCCTTGGTCGAGCTCGGCATCGACGAAGCAGGCGCACCAGATGATGCGGCAGGCGCCGTGGTGGGCTTGGAGACCCAGGTGAAAGGGTTGAGGCCGGACGCGGCATCTGCAAAGGGGGCGAAAGAGGGTCAGGTCGGCGCGCTCGATCGAGACGACGAGAGCGAGAGGGGGCGCACCGTTGAGGAACTGGATGCGCATCGGCTCAAAGACGACGTCCTCGACGGTGCCGACATCGTGCTGCCAGCACAAGCCCTTGGCGACGGGCAGCATCGGGCCCCTCTTGGCCTCGCGCTCCTTCTTCTTGCGCTCGCGCTCGACCTTCTTCTTCTTGGCGTCGCGCTCGCGCTGGCGACGCTCCTTCTCGCTCTCGACGACGATGATGTCGTCGTCGTCGCCGCCGAACCCGCGCCCCTCGGCGTCGAGCATGGCGATGTCGCCGTCGGCGTCGTACCCGGCCTCGTACTCGATCTCGTCGTCGTCGGCGAGCCACGAGTCGGCCTCGCTCTCGGCGCCCGTGCCCGCCGCACCGCCCTCCTCGTCCGAGCGCGCTCCACCGTCCGACCCGACGTCCTCTGCGTCCGGGTCGTCGACCTCCTCCTCCCACTCGTCGTCCGAGTCGACGGCGTAGTTGAGGAGCGCCGTCTCGCGGGCAAAGGGCGTGCGCGGACCGACGACGTGCGACGTCTTGGTCCAGGTACCGACGTAGCCCGGGCGGACGTCCGAGTGGAACTTGAACAGCTTGACGCGGACCTTGGAGCGGTCCTCGAGGAGCGAGTAGTAGACGGTCGTGTCGGACGAGGTGAGGGTCGAGTCGTTGATGGCGACGACGCACTGGCGCACGTTGACGGGCGGGCAAGGGTGAGGGTCGTAGACAGGGATGCGGCGAGGCGATGCGGTCGAGAGGAACTCGGCCAGCGAGTCTGCGCGCTCGAGTCGTGTCAGTACTCCTGCTCAGGGTCCCGACGCTTGAAAGAGAGGATGAGGGACGGACCCTTGAGCGTGAGGTCCGGCATGCTGTCGAGGGCGACGTCGACCTTGGCCGAGTCGTCCTTGAGGAACGCGTTGACGGGCGCGACCGTGACCTTCTCGCGGACCGTGAACGGGTGGAAGACGCGGTCAAAGTCCGACTCCTTGCTCTTGGGCGGCTTGCCCGGCTTGGGCGAGTCGGCTGTGGGCGAGAGGGGCGAGGGTCAGTCCAGTCGACGATGGAGGTGGGTCCGAGCGGTCGCGACGCACCTGGACCAGCAGCTTCGGGCGCCGGCGACGACGTGGGCTTGACAAAGAAGCTGCTGAACATGTTGGTCTGCTTCTTCTTGGCCTGCGCACACATCGACGAGTTCATCAGTACGACCTTCTCAATCAAGATGGACGGAACGGAGAGAGGGACGACGAAGCGACGCACCTGGGACTTGCGCTTCTCCTCCTCCTCCTTCTCGAGCCGAACACGCTCCTTCTCGGCTTTGACGCGGTCCTTCTCGGCCTTGCGCTCGAGCTTCTTGGCGTCCTCGTCGGCCTTCTTCTGGCGCTTGAGCTCCTTGTCGGCCTCCTTCTCGGCCTTGATGCGGGCCTTCTCCTGCAGGCGACGCGAGGGAAGAAGGGAGAGGGTCAGTGTCGGGGGCGGCGAGAGGCGGCACGAGGGAGAGAGAGAGAGAGAGGGTTCGAGCGCACCTCGGCGTCGCGCTTCTCCTCCTCGGTCGGCTCCTTCTTCTCCTTCTTCTTGTGCGACTTGCACTTGACCTCGGTGCCGCCCTCGCCCGTCTCACCCTCGCCCTCGCCCTTGACCTTCTCCTTCTCCTTGCCCTTGCCCTTGGCCTTCTTCTTCGCCGCCGCCGAGCCCGAGCCGTCGCCCTCGTTGTCGGCGTCCGACTCGTCGGCGGCGGCCGCCTTGCCCTTGCCCTTGGCCGCGCCCTTGTCCTTGGTCGTCGTCGACGAGGACGTGGACGGGCCGGCCTTGGCATCGCCGCTCAGGACCGCAGCTTGCTCCGACTCGGACAGGGCGTGGAAGAGCGCGACGGCCGCCGTCTTGACCTGCAGCGAGGCACCCAGGACGCGAGGTCAGTGACTGTCTGCGGCTCGTGACGACCGCGGGCCGCTCGAGAGAGACAGTGGACGCGAGGACGCACCTCCTCCCTCTCCCTCCTCCTCCTCTCGAGCTTCGACCTCATCTCGCTCGGGAGCATGTCGTCGTCCTTGACCTCCCAGATCCAGATCTGGAGCGCGGCGGGCACGCCCTTGACGCCCTCGGGCAGGTCGTCAACGTCGTTGAGCGCGATGCCGTAGTTGGTGCGGGTCGCGAGCTGCGCGATGAGCGCCTTGAGCGGGGCCGTCGGGATACGCTCTGCGGGAGGGAGAGTGAGGATGTTAGGCATGATGCTGAGGCAGACCTCGGACCCGTCAAGCGGGAAGTGAGGGACGCACTGCCGATCTCGACCTCGTCGAGCTCCTCGGCGGCGTTCTCGTCCTGCGAGTCGGCGAGGGTGATCATGCCGCCAGCGATGGACGTCGCGAGCGTGCGCTTGACGAAGCGGAAGACGCCGTCGAGCATGTTGGGCCTGTGGGTGCACGGACGGGTGAGTGAGTCGGCGGGTCGAGCGCGAGAATGGGGGGAGAGACGAGGAGAGAGGAGGACGGACGACTCATGCACGAGCTTGGCGATGAGAGGGTGGTGCGCCTTGGGGTACTCGTCGAGCTTGGCGTCCGAGGACGACAGCAGGTGCTTGACGGCGTAATCGAGGAAGGCGGTCATCTCTGCGTGCCGTCGAAAGCGTTTGAGTCAGCTCCTTCGCCTCATGGAAGACGGAGAGACCGACAAGGAGAACGCGAGGGACGCACCGCCCAGGTAGCTCATGGTAAGGTTGATGGCGACGGCCTTCTGCTTGAACTCGAGCTTGCTGCCCTTGAGCTCGACGAGCGCCGCGCCGCCCTTGGGCTTGTCGTCCTCGTCGGCCTTCTTGACCTTCTTGCTGTCGGTGCCCGACTTGGACGATGAGGCGGCCTTGGCCTTCTTCGAGGCGGGTTGGGCCGAGGAGGAAGAGGCATCTGCGAGGAGCGGAAGGAGGTGAGCCTGCCGCTTTGAGCCGCCGCGGGGCTGCTGACGCGCCGAAGACACACGTGCAGCCAGACGGTTCCAGAGCAAGGCAGGACGCACCGGTGCCCTTGCGCTTGAGGCTGGCGTTGGCCTCCTGGCGGCGGGTGGACGAGGTGGACGGGCTCGCGTCGCGCATGTCGGTGTCGGTGTCGCGCGACGAGTGGGCGGGAGAGGCGCCCTCGACGTCGCTCGACGAGTCGGACAGGACGAGGGTGGCAGCGGTGGCCGTGTTGTCGGGCTTGAGGGCGGACGAGGACGAGGTCGAGGTGGGCTTGGAGTTGCGCTCTGCGGTCGTGTTGGCGGTCGAGGGGCACGCCGAGCTGGTGGGCTGTGAGCTCGACGGGGCTGCTGTGGGGGCAGGGACGGGCACAGTGAGCGAGGTTTGGTCGCGAGTGGACGCGTCGAGGACGAGGAGCGAGGGGGAGCGCACGGTGAGTCGGGGTGGATGGCTCGGTGGAGGTGGCCATCGTGTGCGAGTCCAGTGCGCGTGTGCGCGTGGCAGCTGTGCCAACTGGAGCGAGTGGGAGGGAGACAGAGAGGGAACGGCGCGTCTCTCTCTCGTCGGCGCGACTTCATCAGCTCGACCCCCTCCTCCCACCACCAGACCGTGCCAGACCTGCCCACGATGGACGGCAAGAAGGACGCCTTTGCCATGATGCGCGCCGCAGCCGCCAACAAGAACAAGCCCGCCCCGTCCACCTCGTCGACGTCCGCCAACCCCGACTCGGCTCCCGAACCCTCGACCAGCACCGCAAAGCCCGCTCCAGCTCCCGTCTTCAAGGGCTCGGGCCTCGGTGCAGGTCCCCGCCACTTTGTCGACCCGGCCAACCAGCCTTGGGTCGAGAAATAGTGCGTCCCCCCCCCCCTCTCCCCCTCGACTGGCCTCGTCGTACCTCGCTCACTCACCTCTCTGCCCGCCTGCAGCCGCCCCAAGAACCTCGAGGAGGTGTCGGCCCAGGACCACACCGTCCAGGTCCTCAAAAAGACCCTCGGCTCGAGCAACGTCCGTCCCCCCTCCTCCTCCCCACCTCCCGATCCGACTGCTCACCCTCCTTGTCGACCCCGCAGCTCCCGCACATGCTCTTCTACGGTCCGCCAGGAACGGGCAAGACGTCGACCATCCTCGCCCTGTGCAAGCAGATGTACGGACCCGACCTGTACCGCTCGCGCGTCCTCGAGCTGAACGCGTCCGACGAGCGCGGCATCTCGGTCGTGCGCGACAAGATCAAGAACTTTGCCAAGACGACCGTCACGACCAACCACGACCCGTGCGTCCGAGCCACCCCTCCCTCTACGAGCTTCGTCGACACTGACCGCCCTGCTCGCCGCCCGCAGCAACTTCAACGCGCCCGCGTTCAAGATCATCATCCTCGACGAGGCCGACTCGATGACGCAGGACGCCCAGTCGGCCCTGCGCCGCATCATGGAGACCTACTCCAAGATCACCCGCTTCTGCCTCATCTGCAACTACGTGACTCGGTACGTCCCCTCTCTCTCTCTCTCTCTGACCGGCAGCTCGGATCGACTGACGCACGCGCACGAGCAGCATCATTGAGCCCATCACGTCGCGCTGCTCCAAGTTCCGCTTCAAGCCGCTCGACACGACGTCGACCGAGGCGCGCCTGCGCGACATCTGCCTCGCCGAGAAGGTCGACTGCCCGGACGACGTGCGTCCCCTCTCTCGCTTGTCCCTTCTGTCACCCGCCCTGACCCACACCGTCCCCTCTGCCCCGCCCCCTGCAGGCCCTCGCCGCCCTGATCCGCACCTCGGACGGCGACCTGCGCCGCGCCATCACGTACCTGCAGTCGGCGTCGCGCCTCGCCACCGCGACGGGCGAGCCCATCAGCCCCGTCGGCGTGCAAGAGATCGGCGGTGTCGTGCCGGACGGCGTCATGAACGAGCTCGGGAGGGCGCTCGGCGTGCGGCACGGCGACGACGACGAGGGCGACGACGACGTCGAGATGAAGCCGGCGGGAGCGGCGGGCGCGAGCGCGTTCGACACGGTGAGGGCCGCGGTCGAGAAGGTGTCGCGTGAGGGCTACTCGGCCGTCCAGGTCCTGTCGCAGGTGCGCACAAGCCCGCCTCTCTCATGCGCGGCACGGACTGACTCTCTCCCTCTCGCGCGCAGCTGCACGACCTCGTCATCCTCGACCCGCTCGTGCCGGCGCGCGCCAAGGCGAGCATCGCGCTCGACCTCGGTCTGGCCGACAAGGCGTTGACGGACGGGGCGGACGAGGAGCTGCAGCTGCTCAACTGCTGTGCGAGGATCGAGCGGGCCGTGAGGGCGGCGTAGCGTCTCTCGACGAGGTTGGAGGGGGACCTGCAGCTTGACGGACAGCTTGTTGTGCACAGCGAGAGAGAGACTGAGAGCGAGAGAGAGCTGCACAGAGATGGACTCATGAGTGAGCGGAAGTGGACGTCGTCACCTCTCCCGCCTCGTCGAGCTCGTGCCCTCCCCCTCCTTGCAGCTCCCACCCCCGCTTCTCGGCTATCCGACGACGGCCCTCGCAGCCCGCAACAGCGCCGACTACTCGAGTGAGCCCGCCCGACTGGCCCCGCCCCCTCTGCCACACCTCAGCCGCTGACCCTTCGCCACCCCTCGGCCAGCCAAACAGCGAGAGCGACCCGCCTCATCGCCTCTTGTTGAGGGAGCACCACCACACCCGGGGCGGGGCTTGCAGCACCACCAGCTCTCTTGCAGCCATCACCACACGCCCGACCACCTCTTCCCGACAGTGCCTCGTGCGGCCGCCCCCTCTCTCGCTCGCGCCCTCGTCGCCGTCGCCCCCCGTCGTCGCCGACCGACCCGCGCCACCCCTCTCCCTCCTCGGCCCTCCCTCCTCTCGCCCGCCTAGGCCCTCCCAGGGCTCGCCCCGGCACCTGCACGACCTCGGCACGACCATGTCGCTCGCCAACGCCTTCAGCACCTCGCGCCGCGCGTCTCGCGGCCGCCGCGCCGCCGTCGCGACCTCGGCCCGCGCCGCCTTGACGCCCCAGGCCGCCCAGACCATGCTCACCTCCTTCACGACGGCCGCACATCCGCGCGGCATGGCCGGCGGCGACGACCAGGCCGCCATGCTCGCCGGCACGGGCGCCAGCATCGCCGGCGGCGGGAGCGGCGGCGGGAGCGGTGCAGCAGGGACCGGCGGCGGCGGGTACGGCGCAGGGCAGGGTGACGACGATGCCGAGGCGCTCTACAACGCGTTCTTGAACGGCGGCGAGGGCGACGACGAGGCGGGCGCGCACGCGGGCGCGAGCGGGTCGGCTGGCGGGAGCGGCACCAAGCGCAAGGGCGGCGCGCTGTCGATGGAGAGCCCGACGCACGGGCACAAGAAGGCCAAGGGCGGGCAGGGCGCGGCAGGCGCCGCAGACGACGACGGCGGGCTCGACTCGCTCGACGACGCGTTCGCCCTCACCAACCCGGCCGGCGCCGTCTCGTCGTCGTCCGCCTCGGGCGCCGTTGGCGGCGGCAGCAGCAGCAGCGGCCTCGACCTCGGCAGCATGGGCATGGACGCCGGCGCCGGCGACTACTCGATCCCGCTCGGCGACATCGCGACCTACGGCGCGTCGGGCGACTTCTCGTTCGAGAACTTCCTGCGCGAGACGGACCCGGCGGCGGCGGCGCAGCAGCAGCAGCAGCGCGACAAGGAGCACAAGCAGCAGCAGCAGGGCGAGGGCGGCGCGGCCGGGACGGCGTCTAAGCCGGGCTCGGCGCAACCCGAGCAGGCGGGCGACCTGCCAGTCGACGTCGACGTCGACGTCGAGGCGACACTCGGCAACGTCGACGTTGGCGGCGACGGCGACGCCGACCTCGGCGGGTCCGTGTCTGCCACGCCCGACGTCGACCTCGACCTGAACGCCATCGACCCGTCGCTCCAATCGCTCGCGACCGCGACGCTCCCTGTCGCCGACGGCCCGACGGCCAACCACCCGCAGCTCGACGAGGTCAAGCACCTGTTCGGCATCAACGGCCTCCTCGACACGCCCATGTCGACGACGGGCGACCTCCCGCCGACCACCGCCGCCCTCGAGCAGCAGCACCAGCACCAGCAGCAGCCGCAGCAGCACCACCTCCACCACGACGCAGGCGTCGAGGTCGAACCGTCGCTCGCCGCGTACGGCCAGATGCACGACGACTCGCAGTCGCTCGAGCCCGTCGCGTCCACCTCTCGCGCGTCGTCGAGGAAGGCGACGGCCAAGAAGTCGGCGGCGACCAAGAGCAAGGCCAAGGCCAAGGCGGCAAAGCCCAAGCAGACCAAGGGTGCCGCCGCCGCAGCAGCAGCAGCCGCCGCCGCCGCCGCCGCCGCACCTCCGCCGACGGCCCTTCCCTCGCACCTGCCCGACATCGCCGGCTCGGTCTCGGCCTCGCCTTTTGCCTCGCCTTTTGCCTCGCCTGCCGGCACGCCTCAACCTGCCGGCGGCAGGTCCGACAAGGGCATGTCGCCGGCGCTGTCGAACGACGGCAGCCAGGGCAAGAACCGGCCGCGCACCCACACCCACATCCACCCGCCCGTCTTCAACCCGCAGGCGCCGACACCGCGCAACCCGAACGGCACGGCGCCCGGCGCGTCCGACTTTGCGCCTCCCGGCGGCGGGCCGACGGCGCGCGAGGCGGCGGCCGGCTTCAAGGGCGACGACGACAACCCGCACCCGTGTCCGATCATCGGCTGCGACAAGAAGTTTGCGCGCAAGAGCGACTTCCTGCGGCACTACCGCATCCACACGGGCGAGCGGCCCTTCGTCTGCCACCACGACGGGTGCAACAAGTCGTTTATTCAGGTGCGCCTCCCTCTCTCTCTCTCTCTCTCTCTCTCTCTTTCTCGTGCCCTCGTTCTCGGTCACTGACTCGCTCTCTTCCCTGTCATACAGCGCTCGGCGTTGACGGTTCACATGCGCGTCCACTCGGGCGAGAAGCCGCACGCGTGCCAGGACTGCGGCCGGCTCTTTTCCGACTCGTCGTCGCTCGCCCGGCATCGGCGCATCCACGCCGGCCTCAAGCCGTTCGCGTGCGAGATGTGCGGCCACAAGAGCTTCTCGCGCAAGGCGACCTTGACGCGGCACCAGGCCATCTGCCAGGGCCCGAACGGGCCCATCACCAACGACGACGAGGAGGACGACGAGCTCGACTCGCCCGGGCCCGACGAGCTCGCAATCGCGATCCCGACGCCGCCACCACCGCCACCGCCCAAGGCCGCCAAGCCCAAGAAGGCCGCCGCCCGCAAGCCTCGCCCGCCAAAGAAGGGCAAGGCGGCGACCGCCGCTGCCGCCGCCGCCGCCGCCGCCGCCGAGCAACAAGCGGCCGCCGACGCCGTCGCAGCCTCGGCGCACACGCACGCCCTTTACAACCTCCATGGCTCGTTCCCGTCGTCGGCGGCCACGTCGGTCGCGTCCGGCTCGCCCAACGGCGACCTGCACGTGCCGGACATCGGCGTCGGCTCGGGCCTGAGCGGCTTGAGCGGTCTCGGCGGGCACCAGCACGGTGGCCTCGCGGCCTACATCCCGCCCTACCCGGGCATCGACCCGGCGTTCGCGCGCGCGTCGCCGTCGTCGGCCTTCCTCAACCTCGACCGCTCGTCGCCCGGGACGGGTCGCTCGCCTCGTCTCACGACCAACCGCCGCCTGTCGACCGCCAACGGCGCCAACGCTGCCGGCCTCATGTCGCCACAGCTCGCGGCGAGCGCAACCCGGTCGACCGTCCAGCCGTCGCCGCGTCCGACCATCCCCAAGGACGAGCCCGACGTCGACGCCGCGGTCCAAGCGGCGTGGGGCGGCCTCAAGCTCGACCTCGGGCTCGGGCTCGGCACCGGGCTCGACGTGTCGACCGCGGCGCACGAGGAGTCGAGCGGGTGCAGCGACAGCGAGTGCGACGGCGACTGCGAGTGCAGCCGGTCTGAGCGCGGCGACGTCGAGGTGGACGTGCCCGAGGAGCAGGCGGCGGCGGTGGCTGCGCTCGTGCACGGCTTCACGGCCGAGCCGGCGTGAGCGTGCGAAGCGCGTGGCTCGTCGTCGGGCGGGCGAGGAGGGAGGAAGGAGGTTCCGCTTGGTCTTGGTGTTCGCTCTTCTCTGTCTCCCCCCTCTAGTTCTCCCACCCCCTTTTTTGCCTGCCTGCCAGGCGCACACCCACTCTCTGTGTCCTAGTTTGTCGTAGTGCCAGCTTTGCGATTCATCATCGTCGTCCGCCGTTTCCCACGACGAGTCGTCTCGCTCGAGCTCCCTCTCGCACGGCGGCTTGACCTCGTCCGCTCACCTCGCCCCGGCTGCGCCAGGCTACACACACGACCCAGTCACTCCTTCTACCGCACTTGAATCGGCCCGCGAGCACACCGACTCGCGCCTGTCGTCCTCGCCGAATCGCCAGCCTTCGTCTCGGCACCCCGCGTCGACCAGCTCCACTCGATAAGCAGGTGCGTCCCTCGCACCACCGTCCACGCGTGCACTGGACTGACCCTCGCTCCCGGCAGGTACATCGCTCGCCCTCACGGTCCCAGGCAGGTGCGCCCGTCCCCCCGCCTCCTCCTCCGTCTTCCTCGCGGCTCACCTGACCTCGCGTCCTTCCGTGCAGGGCCCGGCATGCTCGTCAGTGTCGACTGGGGTACCGTGTCGAGCTCGCTCGGCGTGGTCAGCATCGTCACGTGGCTGTTCGCCCAGTCGCCGCAGGTCTACCTCAACTTCAAGAACGGCTCGTGCGAGGGCCTTGCGCTCCCGTTCCTCGTCAGCTGGTTCCTGGGCGACTTTACCAACCTTGTCGGGTGCGTCGCGAGTTCCCCTTCCCTCTCTTGCCGCCGTTCGAGGCACCCGTCGCTCACACCGGTTCCCCCCC